GATCTGGAACATGCTCATGAAGGCCTCCGGGAAGGACTCGAACTTGGTGAAGTCGCACAGGAAGCAGAACAGCTGCATCGAGATGCTCGAGCTGATGATCAGCAGGCACATGGTGAAGATGATCAGTGATCCCAGTTTCTTCCCTGGTCCGAAGATCTTGTAAACGAATCCCTCCAGCATCGGCGAAGCCTTGATGAGTCTCACCACACGCAGCACCTGGAAGTAGGTCAATCCCGAAGGATAGAACATCGGCACTATATGCAGCGTAGTTCCAGCGGCCAGCAGCAGTTCGAATTTATGTATTGAGTGCTTGTAGTAGCCCCGCCAGCCCAGACAATAGATCTTGAAGAGCGTCTCCAGGTCGAGCAGGCAGGTGAACACCAGCTCGATGTAGTAGTACCGCTCGTAGAACACATCCCTTGGCCTCCCGTCATGCTTAAAAGTCATCGTGGCGGTCACAATGCCATTGGCCAGGATGACGCTCATCACCAGCATCCGGAAGTAGGGTGATCGCAGGATAGCATGACAGGTCTCGGGCGCCAATCCCCCGTGCTTATTATCATCGATCGTCACCAGTCGCCAGCCGGAATCGTTGCCGCTGAGAATCTGCGAGGCGGCGGTCTTCTGAATATGCCCCCTGGCACCCCACATCTGCTGGAACTGGACGCGTATCTCGTTGAAGGTCTCCGTGATCACGGCTATGAAGACGTTCTTCACCAGCCACGCCAGGAAGAAGATCATCGTGCTGAAGTAGAAGGCCGCTCGCCACGCGGGCAGCGAATCGATGGCCCGGTACATGATGAACACCCAGCCCTCCTGCGAGGCCGCCTGGTAGACCGTGAAGATGCTCGTCGCGATGTCCTCGAACCCATTGAAGCCGATCACATAGCTGCTGAGGAAGTCCATCTTCATGCAGACCATCCCCGGGGAGCACTGGTAGCCCGAGTCGGGGTCCATTGAGCAGAAGGTGTCCGGAATGGCCAGCGAGTTGATGGTCAGCACACTAAATAAAAAAAAAAAAAAAAATTTTATTTTTTTTTAAGTATGCAGTACAAATTAAAATTGTTTTCTTAAAATTTGGAAATTTCCTAACAAAAAAGCCTTTTGTTGCATAAAAATCAGTTGACCCGTTCAAATGTGGTAGCTTCTCAAAGATTTTCGGCCGAAAAACTTTTCCTAATTATAGGGTGGCAACCCTACATACGACAACTTTTTGTATTTCGAGAAACTTTTTACTCACGGTCTATTCTTCTCATCGTATGAAGTATTGTTCATCACGCAGTGATTTTTCAGCTCCCCAAAGAACTGAACCCCAAGCAATCCGTACAGGGACATGAAGAAGAGGAAGAACAAAGTAACATTGTAGATTTGCTGGCTCGAACGTCTGTAAAAAGAAATAGATGTAGGTTAGATTAGGGTTAAAAAAACGCAGAACGAAATCAGATACTCACTTGAAGATCTGGTTGATCCGACTTTTTGGCATACTAAATTTAAGGAAGACGCGTAGGAAGCGAATCATGATCAATGGTCGAGGAGCTCTCATAATGGACAAATAGGAGAACCTAAGATTTTGGGTTATTTTTGGGTTACTCAAACGATTTGATATTCACTAGGGCCGCATACTTACTTGGGAACTATCTCGAGCACCTCGAAGATCTGCAGAATGATCGAGATCCACAGGAAGCTGACCATAGAAGCATCAAACTGGCACCAGTGATCTTTGAGATAAGGCACCTCACCCTGTAAGTGAAAAAAAAAGTTTAATAGTACTTGAACTCGGGAATTTTTTAGTTTATTTCAAAGATTGCACTTAGTAGAGAGTAGTATAGTAATTCCAGGTATTTCCCCGAGTGCACCGTACTCAAATTTTATTTTTTAATAATTGTAAGAAAAAAGTTCAATGGTACTTGAACCCAGGACTTTTTTAGATTATTTCAAAGATTGCATTAGTAAAGTAGAGAGTAGTATAGTAACTCTAGGTATTCCCCTGAGTGCACCGTACTCGCATTTTATTTGTTGTATAATTTAAAAAAAGTTCAATGGTACTTGAACCCAGGCCCATTTTTATTTATTTCATAGAAAGTAGTATAATAACTCCGTACTCACATGCAGCACTCCGCGGATGTGCATCTTGGCGATCATCTCGGCGGTGAAGAGCAGCGTGACCGCCGTGTCCGAGGCGAAGGTGATGAACTGCAGCGAGGGATACCGCTCGAAGGTCTTGGGCGTGTTCAGCGACACGGAGGTCAGCGAGACGAGGGCACACAGCCGCATAAGGCGTCGCACCCACAGCTTGTTCACCCACTCGATGTCGGCGCTCTCGTTGAGCGACTCCTCGGGTCCGTAGTCCGCGAGGAAGGGTTCGCCGCCCTTGAGGCTCTGCTTCCGGCCCAGCATGATCTTGTTCCCGATGCCGGTGGCGATGCCCAGTCCAATGGGCGGTACTCCGGTGATGGCGGCACTGCCCACGGTGCTGCTAATCCCGCCACAGATGCCCATTCCAGCGGCCGCCGCTCCACCGCCCATTCCGCCCATGCCGCCCAGTCCGCCAAGCAGATTGAGGCCACCACCTCCGCCGCCACCGCCGCCGATTGCTGATCCCAATCCGGCTCCATTGTTGTGGCCGCCCGAGGATGGAGCTGCCGTGGTCGAGGAACCACCTCCTCCGCCGGGCAGGGATTGCTGCTGCTGCTGCGGCTGCATCCCGAAGGCGACGCTGCTGCCGCCGCCGCTGCCGCTGCCGGAGTTCACAATGGTCGTGGGGCTATTGAGCGCACTGGCCGCATCCTGGCGAGCGCCCAGACCCAGTCCGTTGCCAGGACTGCTGCCCGGCGAGGGATTGAAGCTGAATTGGCTGGCGGACGCTGGCTGCGAGTGGCGCAGGTGGGGATGCGGATGTGCGTGCGGATGCGTGTGCGGATGTGAGTGAATCGGATGAGAGTGGGTCGAATGCGGATGGTGATGGGAGTGCGGCGGTGGATGGTGGTGGTGCTGATTGAAGTGGTGCCCGTGGTGGTGCTGCTGCTGCTGCTGCTGTTGCGGCGTCAAGCTGTTGCCGCTGGAGGAACTCGTGCTGGCCGTCGCCGGCGTGTTGATGCCGCTCGTGGAGTACGGATGCGAATGGTGACTGACTGGGGTAGCAGCCGCTCCAGTTGCCGCTCCCGGAACCGATCCCCCTGCTCCTCCTCCACCTGCTCCTCCTCCTCCTCCTGCTCCTCCTCCTCCTGCTCCTGCTACTCCTCCGCCTCCTGCGCGTTTATTTCTAGCAGCTGCACCCAAGCGACGAATCTGTAGACGGTCAATCATTCAAACGGCGCATCCTGACCCTGCAATGGTCGGTAGTTTATGTTCGCTAAGGGGAAGAAGGTGAAAAAATTAAGATATTAATATAATTAATGAAAACAAATTAATTTAAAGTATTGCAAGAGTAGAAAACTCTTGTATGTCAACGATTTTGAAAAGTCTAGCTCTCTATTTATCTATCTTATATGTTTTCTATCTTTTCTGATCTTGGTAAGAAGAGCTTGGACTAACATTATTTAACAACAAAATATATATTTAAATATTTTAAGTGTAATATTTTATTAAATGTAAAAAAAAAGTTCATTGGTACTTGAACCCAGGACATCTAATTTTTTTATTTAAAAATATTAATAACTAAATACAAATAAGAATTTGAAAAAGCTTGATTTCTATCGCTATTTATATATCTTATATTTGTCCTACCTCTTCTAAAAACTTTTTGATCAAAGGCAACAGTGCGTATGAGTGATAAACTTTAAAGCCAATTTACAGGCCGTAAAACTGGTTTTCTTCAAATAATTTATTTTAAGATGTTAAGCCCAAATTCAAAATTTCCCTTTCAATATCCAAACGTCGACCATTATGACCGATTAATTTGCACTCCCATATTTCATGGATCACCACATCCAGCCAGGCGGCAATTAGAGCGAAGACCTGTGTCAATATTTACATTCGAACAGCTGCCAAGGTGGGCTGAAGGTGCACCACTCAAGCCCACTCACTCGTTGCACTGTGAGAAATAGGTGGGTAATTCGAAACCGAAAGAATAATAATAAAATAAGATAATATAACCTTTCCTTATCCAAGAATTGTATGTGGTAAGTCTTAGGACTATCAGATTAAAGGTTATTAAAGCTATTATTTTTATTTGTCGAAATCTTAAATGGATCTTCGAATCAAGATTTATTTCTTTGTGTGATTCAGAGACTGTCAAAGGAGGCGAATGGCACTTGCAACCCCCGAATGAGCAACCACTTCTCGTCCTATATGCGTATGTACTACATGTACTATATATTTGGCATTCTATACATCACATCCCCAATCGCAAATCCATTGTCATTACCAACGCAGCCGTATCCGAAAGGCCATGGGAACATCCCCATTCAATCTTAAATCGCAATCACCTCGATTCGATGTGAAGGAATTTTTCCTTCAGTTCTCGGCACTTTCTATGTCCTATTCATTAGGACATTCGTCTACTCACTTTTCGCCTGATGGTGCGGTAGGTGATTTCGGTTGAACTTTTGTGTTTGGCGGAGGAGAGCGGAGTTCGCGGGATTTCTATCACAGGATTTCTAGGCAGACAGTTGCGAAAAACATAGAAGCACTCATATTTTGTAACTTTCCGGTTTTCCCAATTGAAGGAAAGCCGTTTTTCTTTCGTTTTTCCAAACACGCGCCGAGGTCTTCGTAAATGGGGGAATTTTCTTCCTCTTCCGGAGGCGCGGATACTTGGAGTTACGGCCAAGTTCTCAGTCTGTTAGTCAGTTAGGCAGTGCTCCAGTCAGCCAACTAAAGTGACAGTTCAGTTCCATTCATTTTAATGTCTCTTGGTCTCTGGGTCTCTGGGTTCTCACTTCTCATCCAACCCCCAAAAAGAAAGGAAAACAGGACGACGCCTGCGCAGTTTGGCGGGTCGATTCGAGGCAATCGCAACGGAGTGGCAACTCCAAAGTGGCAACTCCGCAACTCCAGAGATTCCAACCAAGCATCCCGAGATTCCAATCGCATCGAAATGGGTGCCACGGCCTCGTGTAAGAAATCCAACGGCAGTGGCTATCCGGAGCACGATGATCCCAGCTACCGAAAGTGCCAGGAGCTCAAGGTGAGCCTCAAAGTCTTGCCCTGCTTTACATAATCCCCCACCTAAGCCGAAATCGAAACCATATAGATGGAGCGCTGGATCCAGATGCACTACCAGATCAAGCAGCGGGAACAGGCCTTGGCCATTGCCCAGCACCGCGAGCTCTTCTACTGGCTGAGCGGTTTCTACCTGAGTGCCGTCTACGGCTGCGCCAGCTACTACCAGAGGGTCAAGAGGGTCTCCGCGCTGGCTCCGCTCCTGCCGCTCACCTTCGTGGTGGGCTACTACACGGACTGGGCCTACGGCAGCAAGCTGCACCGCATCCAAGGTGGGTCTGGGATGGGATTGCCCCGTCCATTAGTGGGTTGCGCTTAGAATCTGCACATATTTTCTATCCAGTTGCTTTGAAAGACACTTTAGCCACTAGATCTAGCCATGTCCGTCTGTCCTTTCGTCTGTCCGTTCGCCTGTCCGTTCGTTTGTCCGTTCTTCTGTGCGTTCGTTTGTCCGTTCATCTGTCCGTTCGTCTGCCCGTTCGTCTGCCCGTTCATCTGTCCAACCATTCCTACAAAAAATAGTCCCTCAGTTTTAAAGCTATCAGGAGAAAACCTTCCTATAGCTCCCATAGAAATTATCGGAAAAAATAATGGAAAAATATTATAGCTTCGGGGTTTTTTGGAATGTTTTGAGTTATCTTCATCACGTAAAATTATATAATACTAAACATTCCCATAACGAACCATTTGAATCCCTTACAGCGGAGGCCAACATGATCATGGAGCACGAGCAGGAGCTGCTCCACTGGCCAGGCGGCCTGCCCACGGTGGCCGGAATCGATGAGGCCCGCGTGGAGACGGAAATGGAAAAGAAAATGCATCCGCACCACATGTAGAGGCAAAAGGCTGCCCCTCTCCCCGTTAGTCTGTAGGCGGGATTGGGTTCTCGTGCTCAGGTCCCCATTAAAAATATAAGGAAAATATTATGCAACGCAATCGATAGAATGCAAATCACAATCACACACAGTTTGAGGAGTTTGAGAAAGCCATTAGCTAGAATTGAATTGTTTTTAAGCATCAACATTCGAGAATGCTGAACTGTAGGGACCATTTAACAACACTCCACAACACAAATGAGTTTTAAGCATAGAAAAAATCTCCAGAATGCTACATTATAAATCACAATTCCTACACAGTTCTTTTCATCTACAGCATTTGCATTTTGAAGAAGCTGCCAGAGAAATTATTTCGAAACTTAAGCTTGTCCCTAACTGGAACACATCATATCATACAGCTCCTAAGGAGCGATATTTTCCCTTCTAAACTCACAAACATATATCCATATATCCTGCACAGAACCCCAGCCAGCCTACAGCGCCAGATAGCTCAAATATAGGCCTATATATTTATATTATATATATTTATATATTCAGAACTCCTCTGTAACGACCATTTACTTAGCCGCAGTTTACTTCTAACCTAATCTATCTATCTGTGTGTGTCTACTCACTTGCTCGCTCTGGAAGGCGGGACGCGCTTCACTTTTCCAGCAATTTTTTGAGACAATACTCCTTATATTGGATAGTTAATGATTGATATATATATATTATATATTATATACATACATATATGTACACTTGATAAAAATTGTAGTCTAGAATGTCTAATAAATGTTTTGCTCCCAGCTCAAATCAAAAGGCGAGATCCTCGTCATTCAGCAGTCCGTGCTCGATGAAGGCGCGCGAAGTGTCCTTCTTGAAGTGCCGCTCACAGAACTCGGCCATCCTGGCGCAAGCCTCCTCGATCATCGCACCTGGCACGGTGAGCACTATCCTTACGTATCCTGGATACTCGAAGCAACTGCCTGGCAGACAGAAGACGCTCTGCTCGTTGACCAGCTCCTGGACGAAGTGCGTGTCGTCCTTGAAGGCCGGGAAGCGCTCGATGCACACGCCGATCATCATGTACATCGCCCCGTTGGGCATCACGGGGTTAAGGCCACGCACCTGCTTCAGCATCTTGTAGGCCAATGTGGCATTCGACTGGGGATGGAATGAGTAATCGTTAAAATGTGATTTTTATTTTTAAATATAACATATTTTTAATAAATAATTTTTATTTACGGTCCCTGGAATTTTCACTTTAGAATAATTTTCGAACGGTTCTTTCAAACACCAAGAATAATTAAAAAATCATCTAGCCTAATATAAAAGACCCCATAAAAAACGGTCAGTAGCAAAATTCATCCAGAACGGATTGACATAAAAATCTAAAAAAAAATCACATAAATTCATAAAATAATATTTAATTAATTGTTTAATCAAGATTATAAAATTTTAAAAATTAAAAAAAAATCTTAAAATTCAAAAATTTATCAAAAACTAATCTCGGCAATTTTTGAAACTTTGGAATATATTATAAAACGTAAACAAATGTTGCCTTTTATAAAAATATAACAAGTTTAAATTAAAACAAAATGTAATTAAAGCAAGATCATTGTACTAATTATCGGATTTTTTAAATATCTATTGCACTTACGTGGAGCACTTCAATTACACCGTCAAAGTAAGACTGCGGTGTTTTGGTCAGGATCTCGGGCAGTGCACCCTGGATGATGGTGTTCGAGCCCAGGATGCGACCACACATGTTCTTCAGGCCACCGATGGCATTGGTCAAACGCTGCTTGCGGTCGTGCACAATAATCCATCCCATTCGCCAGCCGGGAACGAGGAATCGCTTGGTCAAACCGCCGCAGGAAAGAACTGGAACCTCTGTGGTCAGGCTGCTCACAGCCAAGTGTTTGGAGCCGGGGAACACAAAGTGCTCGTAGATCTGCGGAAGAATCGGAGGAATGTATTAATTCGAAATATTTTAAAAAAAATATTGTATTTCATTGAAATTTTGTTTGAAAATTTTATATAAAATATTCCAAATATTTGAACACATTTTTTAAAAAATCTATTAAATATTTGAAAATATTTTTAAACACCATTTTATTTGATTGAAAATGTATTGTTTGTTTATTTTACATTTAAGGCCAACAACCTTTGGCTAGATATGTTGTTTTGAGGTAACAGAGTGCTTAGAATTTTTTATAGGTCACTCACCTCATCGGCGATGATGGGCAGATAGTGGCGCTCACAGATGTCAATTAGCTGGCGCAGGTGCTTCTCATCGAAGACACTGCCGCATGGATTGCTCGGGTTGTTGATCAACAGGGCGGCGGTATTCTCATCGATCAGGCTCTCCAGCTGGACGAGATCGGCGCGCCACTGCTGGTCGGGCAGGAGATCATAGTAGCGCACCTCGATGTCCAGTCCCTCGGCGAGGGTGTGGTACAAACAGAAGCCGGGCCGAGGCACCAGGACATTCTGGCCGCGGTCAGCCAGCGCCAGGATGCAGTACTCCAGCGCCGAGGAGCAGCCGCTGCAGAGCACCACGTCGTTCGGATCGATCTCCTCGTCGTTCCGCTGATGGGCACTGTACTTGGCCACCGCCTTCCGGGCGACCTCGTGACCCTGGGTGTGAGCATATCCGTTGAACTTGCCGCTCTCCAGGGAATGCAACACCGCCTTCATTGTCTCGTCGGCAGCCTTCAGGTTGCCAAAGGTAGTTGGATCACCTGGGGAGGGAAAAAACATATATTTTATTATTTTTTGAAAATATTTCTTTCCTTAAAAAAGGTATTGTACTTTTAAAATCTTTATAAGTCCTAAAAATTGTTTGTATAATTTTAACGACTTTATAAAGACTACAAACAACTTTCGAATAGTGAACATTAATAAACAAAAAAGGGTTACTTATATTGCATTATGATTCCTATAGATCTAAGGAATATTTTGTTGAACCAAATATTCAAGTATATCATTTTTTAGGACAGGTTCATTATAACCTCAAACTTATAAACAAAAAATGTTCCATTATCCTATAAAACCTTGAATTCTGGTGAATATAAAAATAAAGATCCGTTGGATTTATAAATATTCCACTATATTAAGTAAATATTTAAGTAAATCACTTTGTAGGTCACGCGGTGGTGTTTCTAAATTTAAAACACAAAAATAAAATCAGGTGATTCCGTGCTCGAATCACAGATTGCATTGGGTCAATGGCTAACTCGTTCGTTTCCGCCTAGCTTCGATTCCGATTCCCGATTCCGATGGATAAACAAGCCGCAGAATATTCTGGCTCAGGTTCAGTTCAGATCCCGAGTTCGATTCTCGACTCCGCCAAACAGGTGGAACTACATTTTATGCAAATATATCCCTCAAAACACAAATACAGTGCGCGTGCCTGGCTACAAAAATAATACAATATTATTAAAAACAAAAAAAAAATGGAAAAAGACAAGAACAACAATCGAAACAACAACAGCTTTACAGATTTTATATATCTGGTATTTGGCATATTTTAGCACGAATTTAGAAACTCTCGCCGGTCGATAAAATGCACAATATATACATTTCTGTAAATTTCCAAAGATAGCAAACCCGAATTCTTCGGGGAATCGAGGAATACCAAAAACCGAAGATGTGTACATATAATCACCGTGCACCGATCCCTGATTGGTCCGATTTTGTGGGTGTGTACAGCATATATGCATCACTTTACTTCACATTATCATACCCCCAAATTCATTTCGGCGTTCATTTTTTGCGCTAAACTAGTTTAATCAGTTTCTGCCAAGTCAGCGGCAAAAGTAAAAGAGATCACAACAACCGAAGTATTCAAATGAGACCGAAAAACTTGTAGCACAAACGTCAGAGATGTTATGGGGATATGGTAAAATGAGGAGCAGGTTACCCACGAAACTGGATAGATAGTTCGCAATCGCTACTGAAAGTATTTTTCTATTCATTTAAGCTATAATTTAACTTAACAAATTAGCTTTTTTCGACATCTGGGATTAACTATATCTATACTATATCATTTTTTCAGAATTTTGGTTGCTACTAAAATGAAATTTTCTCAGAACTAAGGACATAATTATGAAATATACAGTAAATTCCAAGAAAATATATAGTTTTGAATAATTTACGTAAAATTCTCGGAAAACCAAAGTGGCGAATAGTCATAGCGTATAGATCTAAAACTTAATTCCTTCTTATATGGTAATCAGAGAATCGAATAAATCCAAATTCTGAGAAACACTATTTTTTAGGAGCTAATAAAAATAATAATATAAAAATACAGCAGTTTTCCTTCAAAATCTGATAATATTTTAAGGTTTTTAATAAGACTAACAAGTTTTTATTTTGGTTTAATGATCAATTATTCCAAATTGTGAGATACATTTATTTTAAGGAGCTATCAAAAACAGATAAAGAATTTTTTCTTGAAAAACTGACAATATACAAGGATCTCCATAGAGAAAACTAGTTTTTAAATAATCAATTTTATGTTTTAAACCTAACTTAACCTCCGATTAAAGTCAGGACTCACCGATGGACAGCGGTATCATGGGCTTCTCCGGATTCGGCTTGATCTTCAGCGACTCGACGATGTTCCGGATGCGATTGTGCGTGTTGAGGGACAACTTGGAGGCCTTGATCTGCCAACCGGAGCGTCCGCGTCCGCGGCCTTTGCTGCTGCTGCTGGTGGAGGCCATTAGGTGGACCTCCTGCGACTGCAGCTGCAGCTCGGCCAGCGCCTGGTCCACCACATCGCAGTTCGGGGTCACCACCTGGGACTCGGGGTCACTGGGACTCCCGGGGACACTGGGGCAGCTGGCCCGACTGCTGCGACTGCTCTGGAATCGGAACTGATTCTCGTTGGCAACACTGCTGGGCATTATCACCAGGCCGGCCTTTTCCTTTCTTCCCGAAACAAAAAAGAAAAACCAAAAAAAAAAAGGAACCGAAAAAAAAACAAAGTAGGATTGCTAATATTTCGATTCTACGTAGGTATCTCCGATTCCGATTCCTGGCAATTGGAGCACTCTGCTCAAATGAATGTAAAGTTGGTATCCTGTTTATCGTTCCAGACGAGCATTAGATATACGATCTTGGGGGATCTCTGGCTTGGATAGAGGGTCTTTCGCTTGGGGGCGGGGTTTCTTTCGGATCGTTTGCGAATTCTGAACTAAACTGATCTACTTCGGAGATGTCTTGGGGCTTTTATCGCCTCTGGCGGGCTCCGCTTAGCTTGGCCGTTTGTCATATAGGCTCTCTATATATATATATCCATGGGTATATAGCCCACACACTCTCACATCGGCGGATAGCACGCGCCTGACTTTGGCTTCGGTTCGGTTCGAGCCGAGAGGGCCGCCGATCGATCGATCGAAAGAAAGAAATAATAACAACATATACGGAGCGCCGGCTGATACGACTGATTTGAATACCCGCCGCCTCGAAATCATATTCATATAATGCCTGGCCCGACTCGGAACCAGATTTTAGTTCGATTCCATTCGATTTGATATAAACAATATAAACAACAACAGCCGCATCGCATCGAATCGAATCATTTAAATGCGCCAAAGTTGTCTATAACGTCTTGGACCAAATCCGAATCTGAATCTGAATCCGAATCCCAAGCCAACCAGCCAACCAAAACCATCAATGCATATCGAGTGGCGGAGGGCTGAGGGATAGATTTCGCCCCCAACCCTTAAAAACAACCCATCAACCCACCCCAAACACCAACCCGGTCCACCGATCTTGGCGGTCATCGATCCGATGATCACTAAACACTGCAATTATTATCGAAAAACTCACCATATATTATTAAAAGACTTACCATATATAACCATACATTATTAAAAAACTCACCAGATATCATTGCAAAGTCCTGTGATATACTTGTTTAGTCATCTTTGGCCATTGGTATAACTTCAATTAATATAATTAATGATTATTTGTTATATAACTGATAAGTTCACATATATTTTAAAATACCTCTTATGTTTGGAAAAGCTTTACATTATTCCTACTACGTACTCTTACAACAAATATATTATTTGAACAAATTAAAACTAATTCTCTTACTTGATAAATTACTTAAATATATTGCTTAATTGAGCATAGGGCACACTTTTTAATTTGCAGACCATAAATATGGATCACCTTGTTTAAATATAATATACCCATTCATTGCTAAGAAAACAAGCTCTCTTGACTCTGCTTGATAGCGAGAAGCTATTTACACAAAAGATAATTGCTATAGATAATTAAAATATTTACTTCTTTATACGCCAAGAAAATATTATTTCATTGTGCATTTCGGTTAGCTCTTTTCCGTGTCAAATTAAAATCGCATAGGAATTATTTGTAATCTTCACTTGAAGCCAAGGTGCTTTTAAACATCCGTGTTTAAATGGGCAACGTATTTTATATTGTCAATGGGAATTCTGTTGTAAACAAACTTTGAACACGGAAAAAGGGGAATTTTCTTGAAATTGGTTTATTATCAAAATATAATAGAAAATGTAGTTCCCTACTTATATTTTTAAAAGATAAGATCAAAGAACCAAGCACTTTAAATTCGTATAGATAAAAACGTAGATTTTATTTGTAAAAAAAGAGACTAACCAAAAAAAGCATTTAAAACTGGGTATTCAAATATTAATATAACATTAAAGATACTTGTAAAGTACTTTTACCCGGAGCACATCTGGACAAACGAGGAATTTACTAAGCTATTCAAGTCCATTGATGTAATCGCATCGATTTGCATATTGAAATATGCATTAGCGACTCTAGACTATGTCTATATCTATATCTATATCTGAACCCGATCAACTAGATCAGCTAGATTGACTGGCGACCGCACCTGTTGACGATGACAACGCAATTCCAGGGATTTGCGAAGCGGGGATCCCGGTCATTTTCGGCACTGATCCCCGGACAGGAATCGATTGCAGTTCTATAGAATACCTATAGAACCCAGAGCTTAAGTTTTGACAAAAGGAGACATTTCGAAATGAATGAGAGAATCAAACTTGATAAATAGCAAACAGAACAATGTGGGGCCGTAAATTACGATTTATTTTAACTGAAAATTGGATTAGTGTCACGAACGCGGTTATTCGAATCAAAACAAAGTTATTCTGCTATTTTAAGCTTCATATTTTTATTCTAAACAGAAATAGAATATCATGGCTACAATGAAAATATTAATTTAATTTTGATCCGATTATATTTGTACTTTGGACCTGCCAAGCTTTTGGAGTTAATTTTATTTTTAGCAATGAACCAATGACATTTAAATCCTTTTTAATAAATACTTTATAATTACTAATTCCAAGCTAAGAAAAAAAGTGAATTTATTATATTTATTCTTATATCCATAATTCTTAATTCCATAAATTTGAAGTGTTTTTTGATGGTAAACCCTCTGATCAATAATATCTGAATTAAGGATTCTTAATACCATTCAGTTCTATTTCATATTCATCCATTCTAATCGTTGTAAATATTGTTTGTTATTGAAAATCTCTGGCTTATATGTAAATATTCTTCATATTTACAATGTTCTAAACTTATATTATATTTTGCCTATAACCGCGGTTAGTCAAAGCTGTTGTTGTTCCCAGGCATTTAATTGGCCTTTAATTTCTCGATAAACAAAAATATGTTTTTCGCGCTAGCCTTGCCATTGCATCATAACAGTCCCCGATTTCTCAGATCTCGGACTCGGGCTAGTTGGTCGGTTGGTCGGTTAGTCAGTGGGTAAGTCAGCCGATCGGTGGAGCGAGCCTCCTGCTCACCTTGGCCGGAGCAGGTTTTCTTGAACTTCTTTTTTCTGGCCGCTTGTACTGCCGTTTTCACGCCCCCCGATATTGACACTCAACCTGAAGGCAACCTCTTAGTCTTGATAAGAGTGAAAGTGAGGTAATAATATATTATATATTATATTATTTAAATGAAACCTGAAGACAACCTCTGAATCTTGATAGTTTCTTAGATAAGAGTAAAAATAATCTAATATATTAAAAATTGAAGACATTGATACACTGTACATATATATATATTCTTACAAAAATATATTTCATCTAAAATAAAAAAATCAAAGAAGTTTTTAACCGTTTTTGTAGTATATTGTATTATTTTCTGAAAATCAGTAAACCAGATTTTCCCAAAAAGCGCTGACAACTAAGCGTTCCACTAGCTGATCTAGAAAATATTCAAATTACAATCGAATCATTTTTGTATTATTCCCACCCCCAAATAAATGATAATTATCTTGATAGAAATCCGCATTTTTTTCGCTCACTGAGCGCAACACATTTTTCCGCATTAAAGACGAAAGACAGCATTTTGTTTGATATGTACACATAAATTTATTTTCGTTATGTTCGGCTTGATATTGTACCATTAAAACATATATATATATATTCTTTAACATAGATTTCTATATCCAAAACGAGTTTTACTGAGAGGAAAACAGGAAAAAAAAAAGGCTTAAGTCAAAATAATAAATGAGGATTTAAATTTTATCCGAAAATTATATCCGCTTGAAGATCGGCGATGAGTAGGATAATACTACTTGCGCTTGAACATGTTGCTGAGACGTCGCTTGGGCGGAGAGTTCTGAAAAACGAACGAGATGTTGATGAACTAAGGGCTTTACACTAAGCGAAATTTGTGCAATTTGCTTGGGTTTTGCTTGATTTTGCTTGGATGTTGTTTTATAAATTCTAATTGCGAGTGGTCAGCAGGATCAAAACCATGGCAGCGAGGACAACGGTGAGGGCCAGCACCATCGATCTGTGCTCCAGCTGAAAGAGGCCCAGCATCACGACCATCAGAGCCAAGCCCACGATCAGCCGCTCGCCGAGACTCAGGCGTCCAAGGATTCGGAGGCACTGAGACGAGAGCGAGCGGTTGGACGTGGATTTAGTTCGGTTAGAGCCCGCCGGCTGGACATAGGTGATATTGATGTGCGGTATGGGCGTCATGTGCACGCTGGCCATCGAGTAGGTGGTGCAGGAGCCGCGTGACGAGGTGCTGGTCATGTTGGTGGTGCCGCTGGCATCGGTGATGTTGCTGCAGGATCGGACTAGCTGCGGCAATTTCAGCTCATCCTGCTTGTAGTTGAGCGGCTGCAGTTGGAAGGGCGCCGTGGATTCGGTTTCCTGGCACAGCTGCTCGAAATGCCACACTTCCTGCGTCTCATCCGCCGATGCCATTGCCCAGGTGGTGGCCATCTGGTTCTCCGACTCGAACTGCAGCTGCTCCAAGGTCTCGCCGCTGTGCTGTTCCACGCTGAAAGTGGCCGCCAGACTCCGCTTCTCCAGCACCATCGTTTGACCCATTAGCGGTTTCTCCTGCTGCTCCTCATTGCGATTATGCAAACTGTAGTTGTTGTTCTCCGCTGGGGATTCAGGTGAGTACATCTGGTCGAGTTGACGGGCCTGATCGAAGCGACCCATCCGCTCCTGGCGCAACTTGCGGCGCTGCTGTAGTCGCTTGCCACCACCGGAGGAGGTCACCTTCAAGGCCACCGGTCGACTTTTGGCGCAGAAAATATTACCATGCAGGCAGAGTGAAGCGCGACTCTTGCGATTCTTCGCTTGACCATGGTTAGTCAGTCGGCGAGTGTTGCCCTTGGTGAGGGCCAATAGCGCTGCAGTGGACAAGTGCGGAGTGCCCTGCTGGTCAGCTCCTGGTTCCTCCATTATCTCCTCCTCCTCTTCCACCTCCACCTCCTCCTCTTCGACCTCCGCATCGCTGGCGCGGATCAGACGCTGCTGATCGTAGTAGGAGCGGCTCTTGCGAGGCGTCGATGTGCAAAACAAGCCCACCGCCTGGCGGAACCTACGTCGCTGTATTCCGGTCAGAAGGGTCGACCGCTTGCGTTGCGGCAGCTGTGGGAGAGGTCAGGTCAGAGGTCGAGTCACTAGGATGACGACCGGACGACGACATTGACGAAGACAACACGAGTACGCAGACGACACTTTCTCAAACTATCCAAGTTACAGCCCAAGTTACTAATATAATTATCTACAACACTGAACTTTCAACTAGGGGCCCTGCACTTTCCATGTAAATTATAGTTTTGAAATATTTTTTAATATTTTAAGGGGAAAATTATGGGGGATTATTAGAAAGTCAATTTATTATTTTATTTACTGAACCACTGTAGAACTTTTGTTGTTGCAGTCACAAAGAAAGCCTGCGGTAACACGACTTCCATTGGGCACACGCCGATTCTTCTTTGTGTCGCTATCCAAACTGATAGGATAGTCAAAAATTTCAGTGCAATTTTTTTTAATTTTTCTAGAGCCTATAGATATTTCCACTTTCTAATAAATACACAGATAACAGGCATTACTAAGTTTCAAACAAAGAACCTTTTAAAAAAAATCAATTTAAAAAAATCAAAGTTCTATATAATCATACAAGTTTTTGTTCTGACATTCCTAGCTAAATTTCAATTACGATAAAATTAATTAGCATTTTCCTAGCAAATATTTCGATTACCTTAAAATGTAGTTAAAATCCTAAAGTCTGAGCCTAACGAAGGCCCCCGTAAGTTCAGTTTCACCTGAGCCGCAGCCCAAAATCACAATCCACAAAACAAGCAAAACATTGAAAAGCACAAATCTACTCTACTTCGGATTCCTCCGATCAAAGTACTCACCTCGTCCCGGGGCAGCGTGCTGCTGCCAACGCTGAAGCGCTGGGTGAGGAACTTGAAGCGCGCGGGCGTCTTGGAGGTGTTGCTATTGTGGTTGTGATGGTCGCCGCCAAATTCCCGCAGGATTTCGCGCGGTGGCTCTGAGCTGCCAAAGGACAAACGTCCGCCGTTCTTGCTCGGCGTCGGTGGTCCAGGTCGCTTGTAGTGCGTGCCCATGGACTTTTTGCGAGCTCCGGTGCTCGAAGAACTCAGCAGCGCACTCATGCTGTCGTCAAGACTGTGCGGTCCGTCCTGTAAATAAAAAATAAATACGTATTTAGTGAGAAACTTTAGACCTTTAGTGCCAGGATTAATGGGACAAGCACAAGAACGAAACAAAAAACAGGACAAGATTTGTTTAAACGAACACAGGACACGTCACAAAAGCTCACTCGGTGTCTTTGGTTGGGGGGCTAAGATAAATATGTTTTGTTCGTTCTACTGCCGTCGCATCAGGCGGGCAAACTTGGCTTTCATGGCCGCCGGTGTGCTGGGTTTTCTGGTGCTGCTGCTGCTTCTGCTGCTGCTTCTATCGGAGCTTACTTTAAGATCCTCGTCCTGGCTGCCCAGATCGTACTGGGCCGCATAGGTGCTCTTCAGATGCGGCGGCTGCAATGAGTTTCTGTATATAAGTTCCTCCGCCCTGTAAATACAAGATTATTATTATAAATAAATAAATCACTAAAGTATTAAATCAAACATCTTACGTCATGTCTGTGGGAACACGTCCTAGTTTTAAATCCGTCAAATAAGTGTTGTTGAACACCTCGCCCTCCTCATCTTCCATGGCCAAATTGGAGGATGGAGCATTGGGTCGCTTGAAGGGCTGCCAATCCTCAGTCGAAGATGCAGCCGCTGAAGAACTACTAATCCCCTTTGCCTCGCTGACGGCTGGCTGCATCTGCAGGTGGCGCAACTTGGTGCTGATGATGGCGTGCTGCTTCTGTTGCTCCAGCACCTTCTCGTTGAGCCGGACAATCTGGTTGGACAGCTTGCGCGTGTGCTCCTCGTACTTGGCATTCTAAGTAGTAGAGATTAATATCATTTATAATTTATATAATATTTTATATATTTTTCTATTTACCTGGGCTGTCAAGGCCTCCAATTCAGCGGCACTTTTGGCCGCATCCCGTTCCTGTTTCTCCTTCATGCGCGTCACCTCCGCCGTGTACAGGGAGCGCTACGTTTGAGATGATGGTGATGTCCGTGTGGCATGTGGCATGAGGCAAGTGGACAAGTTAAGGCGGTGTAAATTCAGGTGTAGGTGCGCGTAGGTGGGTGGTTGGTTGGATGGATGGTTGATTTTGGGTTGGTGGTGAATGGAGTGAGAGACAGCAGTGAGAAGGACAACAACAACAAAACACAAAAAAAAATATTTTTTGGGACAAAGTGCTAATTTATCAGAAATATATAAAATATATTTAAATAAAATATATAAAAGTACAAACAACATTTAAACAGCTAATAACAAAAACTACTAAGGGTTCTATTATCATCTCAGCCTCTAGAACTCGTTGGGTTTGTCACAAACGATGGCCACCTTGGCTTCATTGAAGCGCAGGACCATGGCAAAGATGGTTCCCAATAGAGTCAAGGCGGTGGCACCCAGGCAAAATGCATTTCGGGTGCACTTGCAATTCTTATCGCATCCACGCCGCTTGATTTCTTCTAGTTCTTGTCTTAGTTTTCGTTCTAGTTCTGTCCCCGCTGCTGCTGCTGCTGCTGCCCCTTCTTCTTTCCCCTCTTTTTTCGAGGGGATCTGTTCGATCTGTTCATTAACCCTCGGAAGGACCGAAAAATACGACTGCGTACATGCCTTTTTCTTTTTGGGCTGGGATGGGGATGGAGTTGGGGGAATTGGGATGGGATAACGGTGCGGATGGTTGATAATTAGTTTTTTTGAGGCAGTGAATAAGGGAGAGAGGAAGGAAAGATAAATGATTTTTAATTTCATGATGTGACAATTCAGTTAAATAGATCTAAGCAAAAGCAGCTTCAAATTAGATTTTTTATAGCTAATTTGGATACGAAAATCGAGCGTTTCTCCTTTAATTTATTAAATATATCAATATTACTATCATATAAGGAAATTCTATGATATTAAAGACCTATCCTTTTATAAAACCCTATAAAAATTTATATTTTATAAGGACTAGATCAAAAATACTATGTATCATATATAAATATAACACATATATGTATTATATATAAATATACCCCACACATCCTTATTGAAATCCGATTTTTCGGGTCTTTTGGTGTATTATATATAAATATACCCCACACATCCTATAAAAATAAAAAAAGTGGACCTGTAAAAACACAAAACGATACCGCTACCAACAACATCAATCCCTAATTTATGGACAAGTTAGTAAAGCTAAACAAAAACAAAACAAAACGACGAACATGCACCTTAAGAAAACCCAAAACAGTTGGACTTACCATCTTGGACTTCATCTTGTCCAGCTTGCCCTCCATCTCGAGACGCTGATCCTTGATCTTCTGCTCGCATCGCTGGATTTCGTCCTTGGCATCGCGATACTTGGCCTGCAGAATCTGGCAGTCCAGGGCCAGCTTGCTGTTGGCCTCCTCCGGGCGCAGCTGGCCAAGATTGACATCGGATTCGGGGCCATCCGCCTTGCTGTAGGTGGCGCCGAGATCACTCGGACCGACGTTGGTCAATCTCAGCTCGGCCAGCTCCTCGTTGCACTGAACCACCTGCTGTTCCAGTTGCTCCACTCGCTCCTGATAGCCACGAATGCGCTGCTCGGCCTCCTCGCGACTGACCTCGATCTCTCGCGTCTTCTCCTCCAGCTCGAACTGACAGGCATCATGGATAAGACGTGTGCCATCCAACTCCTGCTGGACATCGGCTAGCCGCTCGTTGAGTTCGGCTAATTGCTGCTGGGCCAGTTTACGTCCGGCGACCTCAGACTCCAGGCGTTGCTGCAACTCGTCGACAATTGCCAGGCGTTCCTGCAGTTCCAACACCTCGTCAGCCTTCTCCGCCAGCTGTCGCTTGGTTTGGGTCATTTCCAAGGACTGGCTATCAATCTCAAGTTGCTGCTTTGAAAGTTGTTCCTTCAGTTTACAGATATTCTCATCCTTCTCCTGGATTAATGAGGTGGCATTGGAAAGATCCGTTTTCATCTGCTCCTGCTGCGCCTCCAACATCTCTAGCTGCTCCCTCAGTTTAAGGATATTCTCATCCTTCTCCTGGATTAATGAGGTGGCATCGGAAAGATTGACTTTCATCTGATCCCGCTGCTTCTCCAACGTCTCTAGCTGCTCCTTCAGTTTACAGATATTCTCATTTTTCTCCTGAAGCAACGCGGAGGCAATGGAAAGCTCGGTTTTCATCTGCTCCTGCTGAGCCATCAGTTCCAAGACCTCGTTAGCTTGCTGCGCCAACTGTCGATTGGTTTCTGCCATTTCCTTGGACTGGCTATCAATCTCAAGTTGCTGCTTCGAAAGCTGCTCGTTTAGTTTACAGATATTCTCATCCTTCTCCTGGATTAATGCGGTGGCTTGGGAAAGTTCTGCCTTCATCTGATCCCGCTGCGCCTCCAAGGTTTCTATGTCGTCCTCTAGAGTGGCCAGTTTCACCTGGAACTCGCGCTCTTCCCTGATTAAACGCTCCTTGACCAGGTGAATCTCCCGCTGCAGAGTATCCCTTTCGAGTGATAAATTCGAAGCACGCGTTTCGAGTTCAGCCTGATTTTGAGTCTGTTTAGCATTATTCTCCGCGTTGGCCAGCTCTGCGCTTTGCCGCTTCAGCTCTCGTTTAAGCCGCTCCGTATGCTTCTCCTCGTCCTCCAGCTTAGAGTGCAGACGGAATAGCTCCTGCTCGGAGCGGTCATACAAAGCGGTTAGTTCCGCAGTTCGACTGGCTTCCAGTTGGGCCTTGCTCAGCTGCTCCTTGAGCTCATTGGTTAGGGTTTGTTCGTTCTGAAGGTTGCTCTGCAGGCGGAGAAGCTCCTCCTTAGAGGCATCATCACTCAGCTGCTTCTGTTGCTGCATCAGCTCTTCTTCCAGCTGATCCCTTAGCTTTTGTTCCTCCTGGAGCTTAGTCCTTAGACCGATTAGCTCCTTTTGGGCGCTGTCGTACAGCACGTTCAGTTCCGCCCTGCGACTTGCTTCGGTGCCCAGCTCCAGGTGTCGTTTGTTCAGCTCGTCTTTGAGCTCCTCCGTCAGCTTTTGTTCTTCCGCCAGTTTGTGCGTAACCAGTGCGTAACGCAGGCTGAGCAACTCCTTCGCGGAGCTTTCAGTGATTTCCAGCTGGGCATTCACCTCAGTTGGCAAGTTCTGTTCTTCCTCCCGTTTGTTAAGCAACTCCTTCGTGGAGTTTTCAGCGATTGCCAGCTGTTCCTTCAGCTGGCCAAGTTCTAGCTTATGCTGTTCCGCACGCTTTTCCTCCTCCACGAGTTTATTGCTCAAGCTGATTATCTCCTCGGTGGCATCGTCGTATAAGGTTTGCAATTCCGCGGAGCGACTTTCAGCGCTTTCCAAGTCGCCCCTAAGTTCGCTCAGCTCCTCCTGTTGCTGCTCCTTCCTTTCCTCCTCTTGTTTAGCTGCCTTGACCTTCGATAGCTCCTTCGTTTGCTTGTCCAGCTTGGTTTTAAGCTGCTCGGCCCGCTTTTCTGCCTCCTGGAGTTTGGAACGCAAGCTGGACAGCTCCTCGCTGGAGTCTCCGCCGGATCCGCCGCCCTCCAGCATTAGTTGCTTGTGGGTGGCAATGGTTTGGCGCAGGTTGGCCTCCTGGAGGCGAGCATCCTGCAGATCGGAGGTGGACTCTCTGAGCAGCTGCTTGTGCGTCTCGATGGTCTGGCGGAGTTCCTTGTCCTGGATGCGCATCTGATTCTCCTGGTAGCGAGCCTCCTCCAGCTCCGCTTTGATGAACTGAACGGCGGTCTCGTGCTCGCTGACGAGATTCGCCGACTGCGAATCCTTCTCCGCTAGCTGCTTCTCGAGTTCCTGGCAACGCTGTTGGCATTCCGCTTCCAAGGTTTTTAGCCTAGACTGCTCTTCATCCTTCTGCGCCAACTGCTTTTCGAGCTCTTGGCAACGCAGCTCGCACTCTTCTTTCGTTGCCTTTAAAAGTTGACTGTGCTCAACCGCCTGCTTGGCCAACTTATCTTCATTTTCCTTGAGATTACCCAGCAAATCCTGATTGCCGCCCTCCGTCTCCTTTTCGAGTTCCTTGCAGCGCTGATCGCTTGTAGCCTTGAGCTCCTCAATCTGCTTCTCGTACATCTCCTTCATCTCGGCCATTTTCTCGTCCTTCGCGCGCAGCTCAGCCTTCTGTTCGTCCTGCTTCCTGCGGCAATCGAACAGATCGCTGGATCTCCGCCTGTCGGAGGCCTCCAACTGAGCAATTTTGGTCGACCGACGCTCCACTTCGCTGGCATTCTTGGCCACCGTCTGGCTCATCTCCAGCTGCAGGCTATGCAGCTTCATGTTGTCCTTGCTCAGCTTGTCGTTCACCTGCTCCAGATTGGCAATGGTGTCGCTCAGCTGCTTGACCACCGGCCCCTGATCGTTGGCATGGACTCGATCCTGCAGCAGTTGCACCTGCTGCTCCAGTTGCTCCTTGGAACGAGCCAACTGATCGGTTAGCTTCGAGTTGGCCTGGTAGCGCGACTCCAGAGTATCACGACTGGCTAATATTTGATCGTGCAAATCGAAAAAGTGATCCATCCAGTGGTGAATCTGCTGGGGGCTCTGCACATCAGTGCATCCCGGGAATTCCGAGCTGGGAGAGATTTTCAGAAGGCGAGCTTCTACTTTTTCCATTGCTTTCTTCAGGAGCTTCTCCATTCCGGCCACCTGCTGATCCCTCATGGCAATCTCCGCGTCCTGTAGATCTATCTCGGCACGCAGCTTCTCGGCTGTGAGTTCCAGTGTTTGGGCCAATTGCGCCCGCTGCTGCTCATCATGGTTGCGCTTGGTCACCAATAGCTGACTATCGTGGAGGATCTCTGCATTGCTTCGACAAAGTACGGCCAGTTGGCTTAGCAAGTCATTCACCTGCGTCTCCAGAGTGTCGAACGCGAGTGTCTGCTGCTTGAGCAACGCCTCAATGTCCTCGAAACGATCGCTTAGCTCCCCCGATCCCGTCGAGCTGATGACCATCGAGCTAACGGCATTGTTGCCCCTTATGAGGCCAGTAATGCGGTTGAGGAAACCGTCCGTCTGTTGGCTCAAGTTGCTCAGCTGCTGTCTCAGCGCGTCTATCGTCAGCTGAAGCTGCTCCTTTTCGTTTATCTTCAGCTGCAGTTGAAGCTGTGACTGCTCTTTTTCCTGGCTCAGGTCGTTGATCTTAGACTGGAGCTGTTCCTGCTCATTATTTAGGCTAAGCTGGAGTTGCTCTATCTTAAGTTGTGCCTTCTCCTTCTCCTCGCTCAACTCGTTGATCTTAAGATTAAGCTGTTCTTGCTCATTATTTAGACTTAGCAGGAGCTGTTCCTTCTCCTCCTTCTGGCTAAGCTGGAGCTGCTCTTTTTCCTGGCTTAGGTCGTCCATCTTAAGCTGAAGCTGCTCCTTTTCCTGGCTTAGCTCGTTGAACTTAGAATGAAGCTGTTCCTGCTCATTCTTTAGGCTTAATTGGAGCTGCTCTTTCTCCAGGGTTAGCTCATCTATCTGGAGTTGCGCCTGCTCCTTCTCCTGGCTCAGCTCATTGATCTTAAGCTGAAGCTGCTCCTTTTCCTCCTTCTGGCTAAGCTGAAGGTGCTCCTTCTCCTGGCTCAGCTCTTCCATCTTAAAAAGAAGCTGTTCCTGCTCCTTTTGATGGCTCATCTTAAGCTGAAGCTGTTCCTGCTCCTTCTCCTTCCTCAGCTCATCCATCTTAACCTGAAGCTGCTCCTTCTCCTGGCTCAGTTCATCCATCCTAAGCTGAAGCTTTGCCTGCTCCTTCTCGTGGACCACCTTCGCATCCTCGTTAAGCTTAAGGGACATAGTTAGGAGAGCATTGCTAGCTTCCACCTCTTTCAGCTTCTCGGCAAGCATCACTTTGTGGGCATTCAGTTGGCTGGTCAAGTCATCGATCTGCGCGTGCGCGTCGTTTAGCTGGCTGCGGCACAGGTCGTACTTGGATCGCAAGTGCTGCTGGTGGAGCTGCTCCTGCTGCAAACGGCTTTCCTGGCTGTCCCTTTCCGCCTCGATCGTGCTGATCCGCGTTTCGAGAGACTCGTTCTTGACGCGCAGCTCGCGAATCTGGACACCCAAGTCGGTCATCTGGGCTTCTTTCTCGTCCAGCTGCCTCTGTATCTCGTCCAGGTGCGCGTCTCCCTTGACTATTAATCTCTCGAGCTCATCGCGTTCGGCAGTTAGATTGTGATTCTGTTTTTCCAGTATTTCACGTGTGTTCTTGCACTGCTTTTGTCTTCTTTCCAGTTCGCTGGCATGGTAACGACTGGCTTCCGCAGCCTCCTGCTCCAGCTCATCGATTCTGGCCTTCGCACTGACCAAGTGCTCCTCCTGTTCAGCCAGCGATTGAGCTAGCGATTGGCTTTTCTGCAGCAGCTCATCGATATTCGCAGCCTGACTGTCGCACTGTTCCTGCAACCGCGTGGCCTTTTCCACCGCCTCCAGAAAAATACTCTTGATCGTCGAAATGCTGGGAGCAGTCTGCTGCTCTTCCAGCGTCACTGGCATAAGAACCTCAGCCTGATCGACGTTGTGCCTCTGCAGGAAACCCACCATGACCTCGCTCAGGTCCAGCAGAGAGTCGTTCTGCTGCTGGAGCTCCTCCCGCAACTCAGCGTTCTCGTGCTCCTTCTCGCGCAACTGCTTGTCAATTACCGAGCTGGCCAGATTCTCGGGCGTGGTGTTCGGCGACAGGGAACAGTTGAGCAGGTCCGATGATGCGTTAAGGACCTCCCGCCGATTGTGCAACTCCTCGCGCGCCTCCTGAAGACAACGATCCAACTCCTGCTTGTCGCGCTCAAGGGAGTTGATCGCATCTTCCCTGCGAGATGCGATTCGGCTGAGTTCCTCCAGGCGCGCCTCCAGATCGCGGATGCGGTCCACGCACACGAGAAGGCTTTGACCCGTCTCCCTTAACTGTCAAGTGAGAAAATAGAAAATGTTATTATTTCGATGGTGGTTAAACGAATTCACAAAGAACAAAAGGGAAGCTAGCTTCGACCAGATATATATTCCAAACAATAAAACTCCACGAAGCTATAATTTTGTTCCTAGTAAATTTCATTTTACTTTCAGATTTAAAAAAAAAAATTTTCGAAATTCAGAAATATGTAAATAATATAATAATTTAAATATTTTTCCTTTCAATTGCAGCTAAAAGAAAAGTCTCATTCTGATAGCTTTAGAAATGAGAGAATAGTTTGCGTATAAACGGACAAACGGACGGACATACGGACATGGCTATATGTAAATAATATAATAATTTAAATATTTTTCCTTTCAATGGACTTTTGGAAAGGGGTTTCATTTTTATAGCTTTAGAACTGAGAGTCTAGTTTGCGTAGAAACGGACATACGGACAAGGCTATATCGACTCTAAGGAAGTGATATATTTTATTAAGTTGAAAACGTTTCCTTCACTGCGTTGCAAACTTATAATAAACATAATTAAATTTTAAAATTGGAAAATGTACTTGGCTAGCCTAGGAAATTCCCTAGAAAAGTGAAATGTTATAATCCCGCAGATTTAATTCTTTTGTGTAATGCCTATAAAATCAGACAGGTAAGGCAGGTAGCTTACCTGCTCGGCCAGCTCGGACTTTTCGGCGTACAAATCCTGCAACTTATCGCTGGATTCGGTTATAATGGCCTCCTTCTGGCTGATTTCCCTGAGCAGGCTTCGCTTCAGCTGAAATGAGGTAAAGTTTTATTATTATCGCTTTATGGTTGTAACTACCTGACCACCAGATGGTCGGTCTACCTACATGATCGCACTCATTTCGCGTGCATTCGGCGGTGACATCGACCTCCTCAACATTTTGGGCGGCATTCTTCAGTTTGGCCAGTTCATTGCGGGTGGCCATGAAATCTGTAAAGGAGATAATTGAATTAGAATTAGCTTAGCCAGGGTTTTAAGCCCTAGAATATATACCTTTGTTTAGCGTCTTGATCAACTCCTCCTTCTCCATCTGCTGCTCCTCGAGCACCACCTTCTCGTAGCGCACGACCTCCAGCTGGGCGCGAACACCGCGCAGCTCCCGTGTTCGCTGCTCCAGTAGCTCCGTCCGGGGAGTCGAAGGAGCTGGCATTGGCATGTCGCTGCCCGAAACCTGGACGCGCAGACGATCGCGATGGTGGTAGGCCTGCTGTGGCGTGCTGGTCGGCGGCTGAGGCGATGTGGCGGCCATGGAGGAGGAGGAGGAGCTGCCAGGTGTGTTATCCATGGCCAGCTGTTCGGGACTCCGGGAGATGCTGCTGCTGGGTTGACATGGACTGACTGGGGAGTCGCCGTTCTCCTTCTCAACCACCACATTGGCGATTATCTGGCGGAGATTCTGGCGCGTCAGCTGCTGTACCTTAGTCGTCTGGTCCAGGAGATTGGCCATCGGTTGCTGCATGGGAGCGGGCAGCCGCTGGCAAATGCTGTGGAAGATCATGCTGGGACGCTTCACGCACGCGTACTGCAGGAGCAGCGTGTACACGAACACGTAGTCCGAGCTCACCAGGTGCCCATGGCTACTCATGTGGGCACTGAACTCCGGGTAATGCTCTGCGAAGGAATGACAGGGGTTTTAGTAAGGCATCATAGTCTTAAAAAAGTTACTGATAAAAACCTATAATAAATAAATTTCTGAAATGCTATAAAAGTTCTTTGATCTCTGAATTATACAACTGATTAAGCTAGTTTTATTGAGAAACTGTTAAAAAGATACAATTACTTAAAGGTCGACTAGGGTAGGTGATCATATATGGTCAAATATTTCTATATTAAAGTTTTTTGATCCAAAAATACATTTTTTAAAATCACTTTATTAAAGTTTTTAGACCCAAAACAAAATTGAAAAGAAATATTTCTATATTAAAGTTTTAAGGCCCAAAGAATTAAAAAAAAACTTTGAGGTTGATTAAGGTAGACAACCTATATAGTGGTCAAATATTTCCATATTAATTTTTTAAAACAAAAAAAATTATACTATGCTAGGCGAATATTTCTATGTCAAAGTTCGCATATCCATGGAAAAAATGATATTTAATGCCCTAAAATGACAGCTATAATGTAGGATAGCAGCAACCCCGTTTTTCAGGAGACTTGACGTTAGGAGAATATTTTAAATATTTCTATATTAAAGTTTTTAGATCCAAAAATATTTGATACAATTTTTTTTTAATACTATGGTAGTTCTTATAAGCAATGAAAAAATGATATGTGACACCCCAAAAATGACAGCTGTAATCAAGGATGCTGGCAACCCTGTTTTTTCAGGGGACCTGTCATTAGGAGACTTTTTCGAGGCAGGAATACCAATTAACCCAATCCTGCAGCCCGAACCCAGAACTCACCTCGGAGGAACGCCGCCAGGGGCGAGCGGAGTTCCACGGGCTGAGCCTGCTCCGCCTCCGTCTCCTCATCCTTTTTCTCTTTCTCCTCCTCCCCAGCCCCCTCCTGCGCCTCCTGGGCATTCTGGATGTAGATCAAGAAGAAGGCCTCGATGTCCGACTGCTCCAAAGTGATGAAGTTGTGGTCGATGAACTGGCACTCGACGATCTGCGAATGGGATGGGTCAGTGGATGATCGGAGACCCCGGGATCCCTCTACTCACCCAGCGGACGAGGATCTTTCGCCACATGCGCAGGTCCATTGTATCGGTGGTATTGCAGGGTAAACTAGGTGGCGAACGGAAAACGGGACTTTTGCACGCACAACAGAAACAGAAACAGAACAATAGAACTTTGCTAGCGGAGCAACGGGACTTGATCAAAAAAAACACGACCGAAAAAAAAGTAAGAAAAATATATAGGGTTTTTTTTTCACCAGCTCAGAGCTCGACGACTTGCTTGTGTGGAATATTTTCAGGCACTGACTACGGGACTACGCGGGGCGAACTACTAATTTTGACACTTCCATTCGACGAGCACAGGGACTACTAGATAACTAGGTAACTAAATACGAACAAACACCGGCAAACACATTTCTTTCGCGCGTCGTTTAATTTGAAAAAAATAGGGGACGCGAGGTAGCGGTGGGAAAACGTGTCAAAATATTGAATCTATCGATACTATCGAGTAAGAATAAAAATATTTATGTCGTGATATTTTTTTGAAAAAGGGTTCACTTTTCGGCCGCAGTGGCGCTTTAAACTGTTATATTCAGCGGCTTCTAACAGAAATGTTAAGATGCATCGTTTTCTTACATTGGCAGAGCAGCGGCAGAGGCGCAACAGTTCTGCCAATGTAAGATTAACATTTCTGTTAAATTGAGAGGAGGGAGAGAGAGATGGGTAAATATCAATGTATCGATAGTTTGGAGTAAGAATATTTATGTCGTGATATTTTTTTAAAGAGGATTTCACATGTTAAGTGCAAACAGATGTTAACATTTAACATTCCTGTTAAGGGGCGCGCCAAAATGTAAGGATTTTTGAAAGAGAATGGACCTATATTAAAGATTAAATATATGAAATCACTATCAACTAATAAATAATGTAAGATACGATAATGCAATACTCAATACCTGGTCAAAAAAAAGTTCAAAGGCAGCCTAAATAAATGGCAGAGCTAGATTTATTTAGAGTTTTAAATATTCAATAATATTCACCGTTCGTATCGATATTCGATTTTTTAAATGCACACGAGCTGCGAAACTTTTGCATAAAAATAAACAATTTAATTGCTGCATATTTCTGTCGGTGGGATTCGGTGCCTATGTGTATAGGCATCCATACGATATGAACTTGGGGCACAGCACACCACACACATAAGAATTATTTACTGCAGTGTAAATAAACAACAATCCCAGCCGTATTGTTTTTGCATTTCGATTTGGGTTCGATTCGATTCGACTCGATTCGAAATTCGAATACTCAACAACAAATGTTCGGCGCCCGATGTCGAAAAACGAGGAGGTTTGGCCCCAAACCAGGCATTTCGCTCCTCACTCGATTTCTGATCGCTGACCGGCCGCGATCTCCATTCCATACTCAATTGCAATAATTTCCAAATCAAACCAAAACAATTCCTTTTTTTTTTATTTCCCGTTTTCGCAGCCCATTAAATTCAAAACCGTAAACTAGTAAGCCATTTATATTCCGCCGTAAAGTTTCGCCATGGCCGCCGCGACCCAAATCGCCCCAAATCGCCAGTCGGAGCCGAAATTTCCCACCGCAATGCCGCGAGGATCGGGTGCGGTCACGGTGAACCCCAATCCCAATCCTGCAGTGCCCAAATCCCCGGACGGACTCACCGCATTGGTGGCCAGGAAGAGCATAACGTCCATGTCGGATGAGGAGATAATCCAGGAGAACCTCAACGAAATCCTCGACCTCAAGTCGCGCGTAAGTTCGGTTAAAGGGAATTTTTTAAGCATTATCCTTTAATTTCCCCAGAATTCTGTAGTCCAAAAATGTACGAGTTTTTGGAAATAATTTTTAGGTAGCCCGATATATATTTTTAAAAAATGTAGATGATTTTCGAAATACTTTTAAAATTGTATTTTTCGAAAACTAGACTTCAATAGTTTCAAAATGTACGAGTTTTCGGAAATAATTTATAGGTAGGCCCTTGACCTTAAAAAAGTTAGGAGTATAGATGTTTTTGGAAATAATTCTAAAAATTCAAAGACAGATACTGAATTTCCCTTAAATTTTCCAAGTCTTCAATAGTTTGAAAATGTACACGATTTTTTTTAAAATTTATAGGTAGCCTTTGAAATATTTAAAAAATGTAGATGATTTTGAAAATAATCCTAAGAATTTACTTTTCGATAACATGTTTTCCTGCAGAAACTTAATTTTCCTAAAATTTCCCCATTCTTTAATAGTTTGAAAACGTGCGCTTTTTTAGTTAAAATGTCTTAGTCTTAGTCTTTAAAATATTTTTAAAATATAGTTTTCAGTTAATTTTTTTAAAATATGACACTGAATCGGTGTAAAAAGAGGCACTATGGAAATTTCTCTCTTGTGACTCATCGGAAACACCTTGATTTACGAGCACGTCATTATGGGATGGTTTGGATTTGGATCCGCAGTTTTTCCGAGATTCGCACGACGCCATCATTGTGGCGCCGTCATTACCAGCTGAATGTGTCAGACATAAAACCAGAAATGTTCCCCTAGCTTTGCTTTAGATCTTTTTCACATACAGTGGATATCGAGATTGACGACTCTGACAATTTGGTTTTAATAAAATCTAAACGATTTGGAATTTTTGCAAAAGCATTCCAAGCTTTTCCAACCAAAACATTTTATAAAATCAACCAAGAACATAAACGAAATCAACACCCATCTCCCAGATACACAAAAGCTCTGGATGTTTGTGTAAATCACGGCATTTTATGAAGTGTAAGATAATCAAACTTGTATTGGGTTTCCCTTCTGGAATTCCTGTGTGCAATTATATATATATTAATGTTTGAATTGCCAAAATCAAAGTCATACTATGCTTCCCTTTAATTAATTTAATTTTAAATGTAATATTTTTTGGGGTATTTTTTAATATTCTTTAATATCTACTGTAGAGTCTGTGGTTGCGAGTCCATTGTTTTTCTCTTTTGTATAAGCGTCTATATGCATGGAACGTGGGAATTGTAAACAATTGTTTTATGGCATCACTCACAAAAACAGAAAGAGAAGGAGCCCTGAAAATTCTGATACTGTTTCCGATTCTGCGAGTGACTCAATTGGTGATGTCCTTATATATATTTTATGTCCTTTTCCAGGAGGAACGAAAAGCTAATGGACGCCTGGTGGCTGTGATCGTCTGTTTTCTGGGTACGTTTCTTCTGGATTTTTGCTATAAAGCGAACTTTTCTAACACTAATTAGCATTCACAAAATAAAAGTAGGTTTTAAGCTTTAACATATTTTTATTTACATATTCCATTACAATTTTTTTAATTGGTGCGATTTATGTGCTATTCGAATTTGGAATCATGTATTTAAGTAAAAAGAAAATCGATGTTTTTTGTCGGTCAATTTAAAATGTTTTATAATTATTTTCATTATTTTTCAAATTCTACAGTAAAATATATAAAACATACAAAAAGTATTACTGATTCTCTAAATATCTCAAGTTAAGTTTTCTTGACTGAAAAGAGAGATGTTGTTCTTTTTCCACTAACTAACTGGATTTATTTAAAAAAGTACAGCGGCACAAAGAAGAATAGACGTGTGCCCAAAGCAATGCAGTGTTCCAAAAAAATTGTTTTCTTTTAAATAAATCCAGTTAGTTGGTGGATCTATAATGCCGGGTAGTTACCCCTAAGAAACCCATTCAATATACCCCCATCCTTCCTCCTCTGCAGTGCTCTTCCTGGCCGTCTACCACGCCTGCGTTCGGAAGTCGGAGAACTCGCTGGCCGGCGTCCTCGTGCCGGCGGGCATCATGCTCTCCTACGGCGCCTGGGTGGCCGTTCTAGCCAAAAGGGACAAGCACCGGCGGGCCATGTTTGTAGGACATTCTATACTCTATACTCTATACTCCAACTGCCCAAGCAGCGAGCCTGAGATGCTCTTACATTTTTGCAGGAGCGGCACATCGAGGAGGTGGCCCTGAAGAACAAGATCGAGCTGGAGGAGAAGCATGCCCGCCATGCGAAGCACTCGCATTCGCATCATGGTCACTCCACGGATTCCACGGGCAGTGCCTCCAGCACTCTGCACTATGTGAACGAACTGCTGCCGAATGGGGAGCACCGCAAGAAGCAGCGACGCCATCGGCACAAGGAGCGCTCCGGGGAGAGGGATCAGGAGCATCATCATCATCAGAGTCATCAGGAGATCGGAATACATCGAGGGGGGCCGCCCAAGAGGCCCAGTTTCCGGCAGAAGCTCTTCGGCCAGACCATCGCCCATGTGAAGCTGGTGGAGGCCCAGAGCGACAGCACGGATTCCGCTGGCGGAGCGGGTCCGAGTTCAAAGCCAGTTCGGAGTACGAGTTCCCATAGTAATCAGAATCCCAATCCGAATCCCAATCGCCAGCGGCTACAGGTGCCATAGGACATATGGAGCTGGCCTCGCTATTGTATCGAATAAATAAATGTATTATAAAAAATATAAACAGGAAATTCGCCTTTATAAATAGACGGCAATCAAAGGAAGGAAACGAAACGATCTTCGTATCGAAATCAATGCTAAATACGTGAGAATTGTATTGTATGCTTTATTTTGGCTTTTGTAGAATTTTCAATTGGATTTTTAATTTATTTATACTGTCATAAGATTCAAGAAAATCTATAAGATCAAGAATTTTCCTTACCTTTTTTAGACCAATCAAATTATTGATAATATAGGACCTTATTTTTTTAAAAGTTATAATGTTTGTAGGGCAACCATTTTATGGCATATTTACCTCGTAATTTTCCGGCTTCCTCAATGGCAAATTCGTGTATAATATCTGTTTAAATCACCTTCAAAGGAATATATACATGGTGCATTTCCATTGTTTGACTGACTTAATGGTGGCGTTATATTTAATGACCAGCACTATCCCTAGTGGGCGATAATTCCGGGCAATTGCCTTCGGTCATTGGTTATTGTTATTACAGTTTAATGGCTTACATGTGGTGAACCTGGACCACACTCGGCCGCTGGTGGCCCCCAAATTTTAGGAATTCCCCCGAGAACCAGAAGCACCGAAATGTTTATTCGAACTGAAAACTAGAAATAACATAAAAGTGGTGAAATTTATGAAACATTTTCAGTTATGCCTTAATGGGCTCTTCTTTTTTATTTCTAGTCTTGGATTTCCGGTTTACTGTTTTTATTGTTTAAGGGAATTGTAGAAAAATTCCTATACTAAGTAGCTAGCGATATTTAAAATAATTACAACTAATAAAACATGCAAATTGTATAATTATTGTTTATATTAAGTTTATTTATTTACAATAATTATTCATCATTTAAAACCGCGCGCCAAATGCATCCTAACATTTCTGTTAACAATCGCTGCTCTTAACATATAGCGGTGTGCCACACGCCGATAGTTGCCTTCAGACATCGATATTTCCAAAACACAAAAACAACACATTTTTAAACAGTAACTAGCAATCATAAATCAAATTTTAGATGTTTTAAATTCCGCGACATTTTGCAACAAATAACAGCTGTTTGAAAATTCAACAGGATCCATTTTGGGTCCTTTCCTTATTATATTTTTATTATTTATTGTTTGGCTTGCTAACGCTACAAGTTGTATAACTTATAAATTACTGCGCTAGTCACAACGGATAATCAAATTTATGACCAACATTTTTACATTAATTAATAATTATTGAAAATACAGAATGACAAATATAATTAAATCGAATTTAAAAACAAAGGAAGAGGTTTTGGTGACAAGTCGCAATGTTAAAATAGGATAATATAGCGTATAGCAAAAAACTGGAAGTGTTATTTTTTGAATTGCTGATATTTACTGTTGAATTTTCAACAATTTAACAGTTTAGGGAATACCCTGAGTAACTAGCAATAATAAATGAAATTTTACATGTCTTAAGTTCCGTGAAATTTTAAATTTCAACAAATAACAGCATTTTGGGTCGTTCCCTAAATTCCTGAAATTTACTGTTTCAAGTTGAAACTTTCAACAATTTAATAGTTTAGGGAATACCCTGAATATTTCCGAAATATTCCCAATTCCCACCCACAAAACTATCGAACAGATGCGAGTCCACCTCCACTGCTATCGATACACCAACAACAAAATTCCCGTATAAACGACATTTACTGGCAAAAATCGCGCATACGCCTAGTGTTACCAGTCCCAGAAGCAACTCGACCCTCGCTCCGCGGAGCTCTCTCTCGTGGAGCCCGACGCCCACTGCTGCCGCCCACTGAAATGACCTCGAAGCCGAGCACCACCACCCCCGCAACCGCCCCCGCCACCCCCGCGGTGGCAGCGGCCGTGGCCAGCTGCAGGCTGCAGAAGCAGCAGCGCCGTCGCCTGGCGGCCTTCGACTTCGACCACACGATCGTCTCGCAGAACACGGACACCGTGGTGCGGGACCTGCTGCCCACGGAGGTGACCAGCCAGCGGGCCAACGAGCTGATGGAGAACGACTGCTGGACGGAGTACATGGCCGAGGTGTTTCGCCTGCTGCACGAGCAACAGGTGCCGGAGTCGCGGATACGGGACACCATCCGTGGGATTCCCGAGGTTCCTGGTTTCGTGCGGTTGATTAAGCACCTGGCCAAGCGCCTCCACTACGACCTGATCATCATCAGTGACTCGAATAGCGTTTTCATTGAGGAATGGCTGAGGGCCCATAATCTGGCCGACTGCTTCGTGGCCATCTTCACCAATCCGGCGGAATTCGATGCGGAGGGAAGGCTCCTGGTGCGAGCCCATCACCAGCAATCCGACTGCAAGCTGAGCGCCAGCAATCTCTGCAAGGGTCGCGTCCTCGAGCACTTTGTCATCGAGCAGGATCTGCGGCGGAGCATCCGCTACGACCATGTCTTCTATGTGGGCGATGGCAACAATGATATATGCCCGGTGCTGAGGCAGCGAGCCTGCGATTTTGCCTGCGCCCGCAAGGGTTTCGCCATGGAGAAGCACCTGTTGCGCAATCGCAGCAAGTTAAAGCTGCGCGCCCAGTTGATTATTTGGAAGAGCGGCTTTGATCTGATGGACCAGATGCTGGCCCTGCCGCAGCTGAAGACTCCGCAACTGCTGGGGGATGCGGAGGATGGCGAGCCCATGGACACGCCGGAGTTGGCCGCTCGACGAGCCTCGGCTGTGGCCCCCGGGTCAACCAAGTCGCCGAATTAGAGAGACCTTCAGGAGTAACAGATGGAACAGCTGGCCATTGCACAACCGTAGTAAACTACCTACCGCGAATTCTTCAGAACAACAGCCTAGTATTACCCGTTTATGAATCTTTAGACATTGGATTATATGCAAAAACATAGGCCCAACATTCGTTTCCCAGCGAACTTGGTTTAAGGATAAATAACACTCATTTTATCCCAACCAAGTTGGCTTAAATTATTAAGTTTGACCCAGTGTTTTGCATACAAACCGATGTCTTCGAATCACCTTAGGCGCTAAATGAATTCGTGAAGAAACAAGCACGCGAATTCTTTAGAGCAAAAGGAAGATTTCGTTGAAAAGTCTAGATTTTTACGATTTTTCAACACAAAATTATTTGTCAATGCTAGGCGAAAGAAGAAACGCGAATTCTTTAGAGCCGACAGGGGGATTTTGTTGAAAAGTCTAGATTTTTACGATTTTTCAACACCAAATTGTTTGTCAATACTGGGCGAACGAAGAATAAACGCGAATTCTTTAGAGCAAAGGGGCCATCAAAAAAATCTAGATTTTTACGGTTTTTCACTGATGCCCCGATGCTAAAACGTTACGGTTCTGCGATGCCAGTGACCAGAAAAGTACTCGTGAAGGTCTTAGCCCCACATCATGGAAGTTCACTCATGTGGTCTGGTCTTTTTTTATTATTTAAACCGCTCCGCCTGCCCCTTTTCCCCCTTTCGCACCCCTTTTTAGAGCTAAGATTAAGTAAGATTCTCTGTGTGCCAGGACTTTAGCCTGCAAGGAAGAGTACAATTTTCAGAGGTCGGCCGTCGTTTCAAGGAGTCAATTTTGGCCGGCGGCTGTTAATGTTTATATTCCATTTGTGTATGTGTATATTGTAACTTGTTGTAATTGAAATGATATTATCGCAAGCTGTATATGAGTGTCCATATTATATGCATTTGAATGTGTGTTTTGCCGTTACTGCACTCGATTGGCTTTTTATTTCGGTTTGGGTTTGCTTTTGGGTTTATTGGGTGGAATGTGCATTGCAGCGCGACCTAGAGCGAGATGGCACTACCCAGTGCGAGCGAGAGGCAGCGAGGAGATGCATTCTGCGCACTTACGGGCGATTTGTTTACAGTGCCAACCGAATTTTCAAGGTATACATCATAAATCTGTCATTACAGGTTTTTTTTTAGATGTTAGAAATTTGATTTTCTAACATTATTTTAGAATTATATTTTTTCGCTCAGGAATACGAACAACTAAAAATATTTCATTCACGATTTAAATAGTATTTCTCAAAAAAAAAACATTGTTGCTCAAAAATAATCATTATTCTAGATTTTTTTCCCAGGAATAATGATTATTTTTTATATTTATTCTACAACTCAATATTTTTGATTCATAATTTTAATAATATTCCTCAAAAATAACCATTTTTTTTATTTTCATATTATAATTATGATTTTTGTACTAATAATTATTTTGTATTATATTTACGATTTTTATATTGATCAAAAATAATCCTTATGATTATTTTCTTATATATTAATCTACAACTCTATATTTTTGATTCATAATTTTAATAATATTCCTCAAAAAGAACCATTATTTTTTATTTTCATATTATAATTATGATTTTTATACTAATAATTATTTTGTATTATATTTATGATTTTAATTATTGCTTAAAAATAATCATTATTGAAATGGAACTTGAAATAGCCCATCATAAATCTCTCAATAATTGTTTTTACATGTTAAAACATAAGTTCTTTATACAAATAAATAATAATCTTCAATGAAAAACGTAAAACTCTGATGGAACTCTTTGAATACCCCATCGTCGTCTGCTTGAGGTTCTTTATTTGCTATCAGTATCAGTGACAAACTTAGTATTAACATTACTTTATCGGTACTTTGTTTATGTTTAGTTATTATATTACAGCTCTGCTTAGGTTAGACACAGGCAATCAATCTTGTGCAAGCTTATTAAATATATTATTCGGTCGGGCAGCTAACCAGTTGGATGTTGGATTGTTGGATTGCCTTGGCAATACTTGGAAGTGGTGCAGCTTTAGCTATCTAAGAGCCCAGCGGCGACATGCCGATCTGCTGCGGTGTGACGCCCAGCTCGAGGTTCTTGAGCAGCATCTGCAGCCACTGCTTGGTGGACTTGTCGTCCTGCAGGCACAGAGCGAAGGTCCCGTCGCGCAGTTGGTCCGGCAGGCACTGGCCCAAGGCTTTGCGAGCGCTAAAAGGGAAGAGTTATTAGTTTAATCTTCCAGAAAAATCCCTATTAAGTTTATAAATACCGAGTGTTGTCCGAGAGGCGCAGATAGCAACGCACCACATGCTTCAGGAGGCGAGCACACGGGTCCTTCGACAGCTGGATGACCATTTTGCCCTGCAAATCAAAGGATGTTAGAATTAGAGACCTGCGAGAATCATTCAATATTGGTTTTATCATAGTATGCCATGAAATTTCTGATTTGTTTAATTCAATTCTATGTGAAATAAATTGAATGTTATTCTAATTCATTTGGAATTGAATGAATGAATAATTTTTATGAATTTTTTGAATTTGCCAGATTTTTTTGTGCTTTCTTTTGAGAACAAAAAGTGGAAATTTTTAAACAAATCAAAGTTAACTGCTTAGTAAATAAAATTCAGGCAGATTTAATCACAAAATTATGGCCCTTTCTTCTTCAAAAGAAATTGTCCTTTAAATTATTTGGGAATTCATGGCATTCATTCATTCAATTCTATCAAACTCAAAATTCAAATTCATTCAATTCTATTAAACTCGAAATTCTAATTAATTCATTCATATAAAACAACAAATTCAAAATAATTCATTGAATCCATTCATGCAGGGCTCTAGATAAAACCTATTTAAGGTCTCAAATAACCAGGATACCTACCAAGGTGATGGCCACATGCGAGAAGCGTTCGTAGGTCTGGCAGATGTACGACAAACCGGACTCGTCGAGCAAGATCTTCTGGATAATGAAAGTGGCCACGGTCTTGCTCAGCTCCGAGCCGCTGTCCATGATGCTGAGGCACAAGGGCACGATCTCGGTGGTCAGCAGGAAGGTGATCACCTCCTGTTCGTCGGTCTGTGGGGGGTAATTACAGATATTACTTATAAGTAGAAGGAGAATTTATCAGGAGAACTATCACCTTAACTAGGGCTCCAATGACGCCCAGACTGGTGAGACGCAGGTACTCGAAGGGCCTGGTCTTCGAGGTGGTCGAGAGAAAGGGGTAAAGGTACAGGGGTATCTGGGCCTGCAGGAAGGCCGTGCGCGTCTCCGGATGCGAGGCGACGCACTGCAGCAAAGCCAGGGCGTTGCACACGCGATTCGACTGATGGGCCGTCAGAGTGGGCGGCGTTATCGAGGGATATATATTGACGATCTCCTGGAGCAGCGCGCAGGCGGTACCAAAGCTGTTCCACAGCATGGGCGCCAAATCGGTCTCGCGCTTCTTGCTCAGCTCCAGCAGCGCCGTCTCGCGGGTGTCCGGATGGGCCAGCTCGTTGATCCACTGGTAGACCTAAGGATTAGGGATTAGGATTAGGATTAGCAGGGAAAACTATGGGGTAAACTGTGGTGCTCACCTTCTCCTGCTCACTCTGCTGCTGCTGCTGGGGATTCATCAGCGGACTGGGCTGCGCACTCATTGCAAAGCGAGAATTGAAGAATCAGCGAAGAAGCTTGCGAGGATTATGATTCGGATTTCGTTGCTCTCTACTTTCGCCGGGCGGTTTGCTGCCTGGGATGTAATCTCAACGGGCGGCACGGAATCGGGGGAATCGCAAAATGGCGTGGCGTCGCTTTCTGGCACCCAAATCGTGTCGGTTCAAGTTTAAAAAGAGGGAAAAGAAAACAAGTGGCGACTTGCACAGATTCAGATTAGTGGTGGACCAAGGCAAACAGCGATGACACAGCGGCGACTATCGATAGTTAAATTAATGGCCTATTTACAGGTTTTATACAAGGTTTTACAAGTGAAATTAATGAATACACAGCTTTTATTCAAAATTTAATACATTTAGATCCGAAATTTGAAGAAAACGTGCTAAAAAGTGAATTTGGATTAAAAAGAAACCATTTTCTCGATAGCCCGTTGGCTTACCCAAGTTCGCCACCACAGTATTTAAATACCAAAAATGCCAGCGAAAATACCAGGCGAAAATACCCAAAAATATAGTTCGATATTTTTTGGATAAGAATAAATATATCGAATATGTTTTTTTAGCGGCAGTTATTTTTTGAATCCTAAGTTTGGTAAATCAGTTGAACTAAACTTTTTTCATGAATTCGTGTACAAAGCGCATTTATATTTTTAAAACCATGCATATTTTTTCCAAAATGCTTTTACAAATTTCCAATAATCTTAAAATAAAAACTAAAAAAATTCTTATTAAATATAAGTATTTGTGCTACGGCTGTCGTCTGATAGAGAGCAATTGAAGTCAAAGTCAAAGGCATGTTTCCATATGAAATAATTAGGTTTCTTTTAGAATTTAATAACTAGATGCGGTGATATTTAAAATGTTTTGTGCAGTAATTTCTAGAAAGGCCATTTTATATATATATTATATTCTAAAAATATTGATTGGTTTAATAGTTCGCACCAACAAGAGATGGAACATATTGCCAGACCATCGGCACCACTATCGATAGCCCGCCGGAAGTAAGCCCACCCAAGTTCGCCACCCTGTTCGCAGCCTCGCTAAATCGATAAGCCTACAGTATTTAAATACCGAAAATGCCAGCGAAAATACCAGGCGAAACTGGGCAAAAACGCCGATAACGATTTTTTCAGAGCAGACCGTACTCTTTTCGTACTCGGAATCGAAAAAAAACATAAGCATACCGTTTAATAATGAATGCATAAGAACGTTCGACGCGCGCCGAGACTGAGACCGAGACCGAGCAGAGAAACGCATGAATCGTGCGTGCGGCCAGCGAGTTGGTTACCTATTTTTTTGACGTTTGCCCCGCGAGAGGAGGAGCTTTAAGTGCGTTGTCGTTGTCGTCTTGTTGTACCAACATCGAATTCGAATCGTTAAAAGTGCGTGGAAAAGTGTACGAAACGAAACCAATACACGGAAAGTGGGACAAACGGCAGCAACGGCGAGTGTCCGTGTCTCTGTGTGTGTGCCGTGCCGTGTGCCCGTCTGTGTGTGTGTGTGTCCGCTGCTGCTGGCACTGTGTGCGAGTGTGTGCGTGCGTGCCTCTGCCTGCCTCAGTGCTTCTGCTTCGAAATCGAAACGATTCACTCGATTCAGATCGAAATGAAGTGAAAAATCGCCTGAAAAACGCTTTAAACGCAACTGCAGTCAAAGTGCATCGAAATATGAGCATGAGTCGCGAATTGTGCACGCAAAACCAAATCAAATCTACTCCATCTTCTTTTGTCTGACTTCTGAGCGACGACTTTGCCGCATGGTGAGTTTGCCAGTCGCGCTTCGTTATTATTGTTGTTGTTGTGGTGGCGTCGCCGCTGCAGCCAGTGCATATTTGTTGATATTGCGCTCCCGCCAGAAGATATCGTGAAAATAATAATAATGCAAGATGATGCCTGCATTTTGGGCCGCACATACATACATACATTTACACACGGGCCAGCCAACAACCCGTATATAGTACATATATGTGTGTGCGTTTTTTTTTTCCATGCAGCGGCGACAGCGGTGGTGAGTTCGCAAGCCAGTGTGGTGAATACGAGCCGTTGAGCGTTCAGTGTTGCCAACACACACCGAAAACAGGCCATATTCGTGGCGGCGCGGCTTTCTCAGTATTTTGCACCCGCTCCCCCTCTCCCCGTCCCCCTCTCCATTCGAATTCGAATCGACAGCTGTGTGCGCATGTTTGCAGCGCTTATTATTTATTAGGTGTTGTTGTTGTTATTCCGCTCGGAGTTTTTCGCGGCATTTTCGAGCGCCTGCAGGGGAAAATAGGAAACTTCGCTGGAATGCAATGGGTAATCTTGTGCGCTAATAGGGGAGTTATAATTTGGACATGTGCTAAAATTAGATGCCTAAACTCTGTCCGGCTTTCATTCAAATTCAATTTTCTTCTTTCAACGGACTCCAAAGAGTAATGTGTGCGTGTGTGTTTAGGTGTATGTGTGAGTAGGTCGTTCCCCTTTTCATTTTGTCTCTTCTCAATCTAAACAAAATCCCTCCCTTGGGGCCAATTATACAGATACCGAACAGATATAGGATTGAACTATATCTCCACATCTAATGAAAGAGTTTTGCACTCTAAACTCGGGTAGAGTTGCCAACTTCTGTGGTAATATTAATCCTATGGCAATCCTTTCGAACTGTCAAAAACTATGACATTTACCCATATTTACCAATTATACCGAAAAGAAATAGGATTGAACTATATATCCACATCTAATGAACGAGTTTTGCACTCTAAACTCGAGTAGAGTTGCCAAATTGTCTGGCAATTTACTATATTTTATAGTATGATTCAATCCTACGGCAATCCTGACGAACTGTCAAAATCTATTTGGCATTTACCATATTATATTGGAGTTCTGTCAAAATCTTTTGAACTGTAAAAAATCTTTTTGACCTTACTGATATTATGATAGTGTCCTAGGCCCTGACAAGTCTGTTGAACTGTCAGAAACTATTTGACATTTACCTATGTTGTGACAGAGTTCAATCCTTTCGAACTGTCAACATTTTTTTGACCTTACTGATATTATACTATTGTCCTAGGCCCTGACATTCCTAGGGCAATCTTGTTGAACTGTCAAAATCAATTTGACATAACATTTTTAAACTACTCTATAATATAATATAATCCTTGGCAATCCTAGGCAATCCTGTTGTACTGTCAAAAGCTACTTGACATTACTTAGCAGTGAAAATTCTTTCGCATCCGGTTATCAGACCAACTCTCATCCTTTCGCGGCCTATAAATTCATTTACTTAAATCAATTAGTTAAAGAATTTATTAAAACTGAAGCAAAATGAATAAAATTTATTCACGCTTTGCTAACAATGACGATCCTCAGCAAGTTCAAGAACTTTTCTTATAGATAAGACATAATAAATATCTTTCTTCTATCTTAATATCATTTTATTTTTCCTCTTTCCTTCAGGCTGGCGGCCACTGGACAATCGAATATAGCAATGAATGATTTACGTCAGCAGCAGATGGTAGCAGCGACATCGTCATCAGGATCGGAATCGGGAACGGGAACAGCGGTAGAATCGGCAGCCGCCACGTCGACGGCGGGATCATCAGGAGCAGCAGGTCGCCCCCAGCCCAATTGCAGTGCCACTAGCACCAGTAGCAACTCGGCCAAGCCAGTGGCCACAGCGAGCAGCTCGAGCGAGGAGGAGCAGCGTGTTAGCTCCACATCGTCGCCAGCCCAGCGGGATCAGCAGCTGAATGCGGATCGGGATCGGAATCAGGAGCAGGATCAGGAGCAGGAGCCACAGCAGCAGGAGGCACTGCATCACAATCAGCCCGGCCATATAACCAGCACCACAGCGTCGCCTCCGCCGACGCAACCGCCGCCGACGACGCCGTGCGACGATGCCCCAAGCACAACTGGAGCATCTGCATCATCGGCCAGCAGCAGCTCAGCATCCGGAGAAGCAGGCGAAGCAGCAATGGCTGCCACGGCGCTCGAGGTAGAGGGCGGTGAGGAGCGTATAATCCTGAAGCTATCCAAGCACTCCTCCTCTTCGTCCTCCTCCAATCCCAACTCAAACCCAAATGAATCTCAGACGGCGGGAGGCGATGAGAGGCGCGTGGAGCCGCTGCGCATCCAGTTGCCCAGCGGAGGAGGAGCTGGAGTCGCCGAAGGAGGCTTGGCCGATCCCGATGCCTCCTCCTGCTCCTCCTCCTGCGCCGAGGACGAAGTATCCGTGGCCAGCACTTTGGGCCAACAGCTGCGCAACACACCGCACATAGTGCCAAAGCTGACGATTCGCGCGGCGAACGAGAGGCGCGTGGGTAGCGTGGTGCCCAAGCTGACCATCAAGCTGCCCGAGAATCCAGCAGCTGCCTCTGGTTCCTCCTCCGCAGCCTGCTCGTCGTCTGCTATCCAGTCATCAGCAGCTGGAGGAGCAGCATTGCCCGCCAAGAACGATGCCCACCTGTCCAGCCTGTCGCCCGCCTCCGCCTCGTCCTCATCTGCCTCGTCCTCCTCCTCCTCGTCATCGTCTTCCTCGCTGGCGATGGAGATGCAGCAGACGGTGCCCAAGCTGATGATCAAGACCACGCTGGCCGGCAGCAGCTGCATAAGCAGCAGCGAGGAGCACCAGCAGCAGATACCAAAGTTAACCATCAAGACGGGTGGCGATATGCATACGGTCATTATGACGCACGATCTGAATAATGCACAGAGCATACCGAAGCTTACGATTAAAACCAAGTCCATTGAGCTGCTGGAAGAGGAGCAGCAGCCGCCGCAGCAGCAGCAGCAGCCTTTGCCCAAGCTGACCATCAAGAACTTGTGCTCTCCCAAGCACAAAGTGCGTGCGGTGCTCGAGGAGAAGCCCCTAACAGCGGTGGTGGTATCCTCCAAGCTGGCGAAACCCACAGCCAATTCCACGATGACAAATGGCGGCGAGTCGAACAGCAGCAGTCAGGAATTCTGCGGATTCTCTGAGCCGGAGGCGGCGGAAGAAGGACGCCGCAATTCGGACGACATGGTGATTGATGATTCGCTGGCCAAGGAGCCCAAGATCTTTCTTTCCGCCGCTGCAAATGGAATGACAGGGAAACCAGTGCAGCCGCAGCATAATGTAGTGGATATGGTGGACCTGACATCGTCTCCATCGCCAGGATCTTCGCCAGCCCATGTTGCGAATAACTATCCAAACAACCTGCTACTCGAGTGCGCTTCTGGTGACCCAGTTGGAGGAGCAACTGCCGCCGCTGCCTCGTCGCCTGCCGCCAATTCGAACATCCTGCTTAGTCAGCTAACAGCTCCAGCTAAAAGCTTCACCACTGCACCACCGCTCAAGAGCAAATCTAGCAAGTATCCTCAGCTAACGGAGCGCCTGATGGCCAATGGAGGAGTAGCCCCTGGAGGAGGAGCAACGGGCGAGCAACCCTTGGTCAGTGGGAATTCCGCGCCACAGCAATCCATTATCGAGTCCATCGAGATCCTGGATTCACCCGATCGCAGTCCCTTGATTGCCTACATGGAAGAGGAGGAGGAGGAGGAGGTCGTTCACCTCAATAACCATCATCAAAGCAACCACAAAGATGATCAGCATTTGGAGGAGTTGGAGAACAACAACGAGAATCACTTGAAGCGCACGAGCAGCGGGGAAAACGAATCTCCCAGTAGTGGCGTAGGTTTTAAATAGTTAACTATTATATATATTACAAACTAATGTTATTTCGTATATTACAGATCCCTCCCAGCAAACAGAGACGTCTGGACAACGATGAGAACGACCAGCAGACGCAGAATTGTCACGATCCTGCGAGAAAGTGCAGTCCCGGTGATTCGCAGCTGCCGCCGTCGCATCGCTCGCGCAAACAGAAGCACGAACGCATCCTGAACACAGACCTGGAGGATGCCCTCTTTCCACAACAGCAGGCGATTTCTACGCCGGATCAGAATGGAGCAGGAGCAACGGCGATTGAAGTGGATAGAGAGGAGGTTAAGGTACAGGATCCACTTGACCAGCCGAACACTCCGCTCCCTCCAATAGTAGCTACACCTGTGCCCACCACAGGCAAGAAGCGGGGACGCCCGAAAAGGATCCAAAATCAATCCGCAGCCGCCGAGTCTGCGGGAGTTACTCCTAAACCTGGAACGCCACAGGAGGAGGCCAGCAGCGCCGTAAAATCGCGACGCGTGCAGTTGCTGCGCAAGCGACTGGCCATCGATATGGTAGAGCAAACGGATGCGGCGGTTAAGGGCACAACGTCATCCGTAGCCGATGGGCCAAATGCCAGGATAGATGAAGAACTACCTGGTGCTGCTCCCGAGACTCCCAAGAGTCGCGATCACCGCCAGCTGAGGGCCACGCGGCGCACGACGACGCACAATGCCAGTCCGAACCAGCAGCCCACTCCCAAGTCCACGCGGAAGCGACAGAGCAAGGCCAGTAGTGCCCAGCAGCAGCAGCCGCCGAGTCCAGAGGCAGAGTCCAATAATAACAATAACAGTAGTAGCATGTCCTTTGCCCTGACTGCCCAGATTGACCTGACCATGTGCTCGTCCAGCTCATCGACGTCCTCGGGCGCTGCTGCCAACCATCAGCAGGTGATCGGTGGCAGTGGCAGCAGTTCGATGCTGCCACCAACGACCATTTTGTCCTCATCGGACCCTCTGCCCGATGTCATCTTCCAGCCAAATGATTTCTCCTCGATCATGGCCACCCAGCAGTTGCGCTCGCCGCGACCCTCGAGCATCAGCGGTGGCAGTGCCGGCGGCGGCAGTCAGCCGGATTCGCACGATGAGGATAACTATAATAGTGCGTTGGACAATTCCGGAGGTGAGATGATAGAATATTAATTAAAATCTTTGCTAAAACTTACTACTTTCTATCAGATGAATCCGTTGCAACGTTACCAATGCTTTCCATGGCCACGCCAACGCCACGGGGACGCGGACGTGGCCGGGGATCCAGGGGAGGCCGCAGCAGAGGAGGCTCTTCCTCGGCAGATCGAGCGTCCAGCGCCGGAGGCATCGCCGCGACGACGCCAAACACGCAGCCAAGGGCGCCGCGGATGAGCCGCGGGGCAAGCGCCGTGGCCAAGGCCATCGCCATGAGTCGACCGCGCTGCGTTGGCGGCCTGAAGCACCAGCCCGATCCGGAGAGGCTCAAAGGCCTGTTCAGTCCGGTAAGTGGAGGGGATCCTATTTCTTATTTGTACTAATTTTAAACTAACTTAAAGTTAGAACTAGAAAGCTAACTAAATTAAGAGCTCTAGCAGTTAAGACCTTCAGCTCGTCTACTGTAGTAACTTTAATATTTAGTGTCCACTTGGTGGAATACTTTTATTTGTTTTTTTTATTGAATAATGGATTTTTTCTAGAGTAGATTTTTTACTTTTAAAGATAGATATTAGTGGCAGGTCATTTACATCTTAACCGAGGATACTGAGAGCTATTTCTGATCTCTGACATTATAAATCAACTAACGAGAATGTTGTGGAGAGGGGCGAGTACGTATTAAAAGCTTTTATTTGCCTGTTAAGAGCAAAATTAAGAGCCATTTTGTTACCGGAAAATATCTTGTACCGCTGGGATAAAAAAAATGTATATTAAATTTAAAAAAATATCTAAAATTTAGAACAAGCCTTCTAGTTATAGTTAATATACATTAACGAGACCTGTTAACTCGTTACTCTTGGGCACCGAGTAGCGAGTGAAGGCAACGAGAGACAATTGGGCGAGAAAGTCGCCGGTGTTGTTTCGCTATCACAAATATGGGGCATTCCCCATCTGGGGAAGATGGTCAGTACAGTTGGGGCTTCTTCTGGCGCTTACAATTTGCATTACATTTAACATTGCCTTCTTGTTTATGTTTCATTACGTAAATTTGCCCACATACCCATACAGCACACCCATACTGAGGGCTAACGTGTCGTAATTAAAATGAATTCATTGCCAACGGCCTAGTGTAAGTGCAAAAGCAGCAAAAACAACAACAAGGCGAGCCGCTGCTGCACTTACGAATGAGGGGGAGAGGGGTGGTGGGATGGTGGAGCATAAAAAGAAGCAGCTGCGAAGTGAGCAGCGCAGTTGCTGTGATTGTTGTTGGCTTCACCTGCGATTTTAATCAGCTGAAGTTTTTGTTTGGCTCTCGCCAATCTGACATGCTTATGTGTCTGTGTGTGTGTGCGCTCGCTGGCGGTAGTCCACCTTCACCACACCTGCTGCTGCTTCTGCTGTTGCAGTCGCTCTTGCTCTCCCGCTCTCGCCATTGGCTGCTCGCTCTCTCAGCGAAGCTTTGCATGTGGTTTTCGTTGAGAGCTGGCAACTCCGCTCGGCGTTTTCGCTGCTGCACGTTTAAACATGTGCAAAAAAGCAATGATTTTTCATAAATTAAAAGGATTAGAAAGGATATATGTACATATGTATAATTATGCATAAATATTTATATATTTATATTTGCAAAAAAATTAATTTTATCAATGGAACAGCTATTTCACAAAAATACCTTTGAATAAGATCGAAGGACATCCTATCTCTAGAATTGCTTGTATTTTAACAAAAGGTGTTTCTGAAATGGCAATTAAATGTAGTCGTAAGGCTTAGTTTAGCATAAGGAATAAACCTGGCATTCATGTTTCTAATTCCAATTTCCAATCCCATTTTTTTACTCAGTCCCCGCAAGTGTTCGAGGAGGACACGCGCATGAGCGCGGATCTAAGCAACAGCAGTCAGTCGATGGCCAGCCTAATGGAACCTCCGCTAACGCCGCAGAAGTAAGTATCCCACTAGATAATGACCAAAACAGCATTATAATCTTTTCAATTCGCAGGCAACCCGACTTCCTCAACAACGAGGAGTCACAGTCGTCCATGGTGAGCAATGTAAGCATGCTCGATTCCAACCAGGGTCAATCTGTCGATGCGATTCTGGGCTCCGCGGCCAAACGTCCAAAGAAGAAAAAGATGGAAATTTGCGTGGCCGAAGAGTAAGTGCACCCTAGTAACTGAATAAGCAGAATTCTAACTCCACTTTAAATTGCAGCACGGACTACAGCGCTTCCAGCATTGCCGAGTACGACTGGCCGCCGCCCAAAGGCTGTTGTCCTTCGAAGAACCGCGACACCTTTATGATCCAGGAGCAGGTGGCCCTCTATTTGGGCATCACCAGCTTCAAGCGCAAATATCCGGATCTGCCGCGCCGCGCCGTCGACATGGAGGAGCGCAATTGGCTGCAGGAGAAGGGGCTGGTCAGCGAGCGAATGTGCGACCTGGGCATTACCGCCGTGTGGGCCTCCGACATCCTGGACATTATGTACGCCGACTTTTACGACAAGTACGAGGAGTACAAGGAGTACATTCGCCTGAAGCACTTGCGCGAGATCGAGGCCAAGCAAAAGGCTCTGGGATTGACTGTGGGCGCAGGACGTGGCCTCCAGGCGCGTGACCGTGCGATGCTCTCGACTAGCAAGTGGAACGTATACTTCAACAAGACGTGAGTGTTTTATATTTGGGATGATGCCGGGCATATCTAATCTTTATCTTGATATTTCAGCCGCAAGGACGAGCGGCAGGCCTGCATGGATCTGCAGACATTCACGGTGAATCAGCCGCTGCCGAAGACGGCGCCCCTCGCCACCTGCCTACAGCGCTCCCTGGCGAATGTGGTGCGGGAAGCGGCGGAAGCGGAGAATATGCCGGTGCCGCCTGATCTTCTGAAACCCCGCGTCTACGACGAGGCCTTCCGCAACCCGGACTACGCCTATCCACTTGCATTGGTGCCGGATCAGTTCGCCTTGGGCTACCGCGAGTTCGATCCCGCTGAGTTAAGGTAAGTCTTTCGACGAAGGAGTTTTTAAAAACACTCGCTCATATTCCTTTTTCTTCCCGCAGAGCCTATCCACTGGAAACGGCGCTGGACACGCCACCGGAAGATCTGTTGCACCTCATCCAGGGCAACAACAACAATGGTGAAGAGGAAATCAAAACAAAGGATGTGGCGGAGGAACAAGAGGCAACTGCTGCGAGCGGGAGCAAATCCGATCAAACGGTAGCGGCGGCGGCTCCAGTTCGACGCAGCAGAAGATCGGCCAGGCAGCATACGGATAAGGTGCGCACGGCCAGCAACTCGAGCACATCCTCCGCGCAGTCGCACTCCTCCGCGTCCAGCGGCAATGGCAGCAGCAGTGATACGGTGAGTTGTAGGGAGACTAGAAATTATCTATGATCTATGAAATTAAAATCATTACGGATTAGTAAACTACAATGGCTAATACAAATTGAATTTTGGGGCACTTTGGGGTCGGTTTTTGTTCTAATTTGTCCCTCACACGCGGCTCCTAATTAGTTCAGTAATTAACGTGTTTTTTTTCGATTTTTATGTCAATTAGTTGTGGGTGGAATTCGCTACTGACCGTTTTTTTAGAGGTCGAATTTTATATTAGTTTAGATTAGGTAGTCTGGTTTAGAGTGTTTCTTTTGATACTCTTTTTAACTAATCTATATTTATATATATATATATTTCTTTTTCTTTGAATATTTCAGGACAGCGACGATGAGAGCGACTTTAGCAGCAGCTCGAGTTGTAGCAGTTCAACCGGAGCCTCGAGTGGCAGCGAGGATGAGGATGGAAGCAGGCTGTCCAACTGTGGTGTCTGCCAGCGCAGCCAGCACCGCAATGCCAGGAACGTCCCGGAGGCCTTTATTCGCTGCTACAGCTGCCGAAGGCGCGGTAAGTTATCCCCCCTTTGTTGCTTTACTTTGCATCTTAATCCTAACATCTAATCCTATTTTACAGTCCATCCCAGCTGCATTGAGATGCCCCAGCGAATGCTGGGTCGCGCGAGGAACTACAACTGGCAGTGCGCCGATTGCAAGTGCTGCATCAAGTGCAAGAGCAGTCAGCGGCCAGGAAAGATGCTCTACTGCGAGCAGTGCGACCGAGGCTACCACATCTACTGCCTGGGCCTCAAAACGGTGCCGGATGGTAAGTGCTCAGTGTTTATTGCAGTTAATGTGGAATAGAGTGTCTAATATTTTGTGTATTCCCAGGACGCTGGAGCTGTGAACGCTGCTGTGTGTGCATGCGATGCGGAGCCACTCGGCCGGAGGGTCAGCCCCAGGTGGCCGCCGCCCTGTCACCGAAAACTGCGGCGGCGTCGCGCAGCAAACGCTTGAAATGGGTGAATGAGTACCAAGTGGACTACTTGACGAAGCAGCGGGAGCATGCCGCCATGTACTGTGTACCCTGTGCGCGGACCAAGCCCGCCGCCAAGCGCCAGCAGACGAATGTGATAGCAGCAGCAGCAGCGGCGACCGTAGTCACAGCTACGGCGACAGTCCTGCCCTCCGTTTCGGAAGCCATGGTCGCCAGTCCGATTGCGAGCCCCGGTTTAACAACCAATGGAGATTGTGCTCTCTCACCGGCGGCAGCGGCGGCGCCACTGAGTCCAAAGGCAGCCGTTTTGGAGGCGACGACGGCGGTGAACAACTCGACAAACATTGCGGGAACGATGAGCAGGCAGCGGCAGTCGGTCAATATCACAACGATGCAGTGCAGCAGCAGCAGCAGTAGCAGTTGCGTCATCGAGGATGCGGCGCCCGCAACGGGAGCGGCGGCTACAGGAGGAGCAGGAGGAGGCGGTGGAGCACCGACTGCCACGACTCCCATTGGCATAGCTCCGCCGCCGGTTGTTGCCTGAGTGGGGGTCATACGTTATTGTGCCAAGCGCACTCTAACGGACTTATAGTAAGCGCCGGACGCGCCGCCCATCCCAAAAACACACAGATGCATAGTATTAATGAATGCGAAAACACAGAGGAGCAAAAGGAGGAGGAGCAGCAACTATTTAAGAAACGTTTTTTTTTTATACTATGATTATTCTTATTATTGTCAGTACATCGTATTGCAAATGTTTTATATACATAAATATGAATATTCCTATTATAGTTATGTTACTTAACTTTGCTAATGTTAACGTTAACAACCAAACCGAACCACATGAAAAAGAACACACACATGACAAGCACCCCAAAAAACACCAAGTAGACCGATGCTTAAGTTGAATAGCCTAGCTTTTAAGTCACAACTTCATTTTCTGTTTCTAGAGAATTCATTTCGACTATATATTTCAGTTTTTAATGGGATAGTCCATGGAGGCCTGGTTGCGCTAAATGTTCCGTGTTACTCGTTTACTTTTCAATCGAAATAGCGTCTATTTCTCAGCCTCTGAATACAAGTGCATCTATCTATCTTATTGATTTTGAATGTTTTTAATTTAATGCGCCGAATTTTTTGAACATTTATATGTATGATATATGTATTGATAAGAACTACAGACCGTAGTTAAGCACAGCCTAAGTAGTGTCTTCGTGTGCGGTAGCTGCTTGTTTATTTTTTTTCGTCGTTTAGTTTCGGTAGATTCGTAAGCGGAAAATGGTCTGGAGCCGCCAAGTTCTTCTACTCTGTAATTGTACGGCTAAGAATGTATTATAAATGTAATTTATGCTAACACATACCCAACAATCGAACCCACACACCGCAGGCAAAAACAAATTCTATATATATATCTAGTACATATATTACCTGTAACAATAAGATGAAAAAGCACAAGAACAGATACAATTTTGGCAGTCGGCGAGGAGGAGGATCAGGATGAGGATGAGAAAAACCGTGTGTGAAATAATATTAGGCTGATACCGCCGCAGAATAATAATCTATGTTTAGGCTAGGCGATAGGCGATAAGGATAAGTTTTCAGTCTACTTAACACAAAGTGGATATGAGAGACCTAATCTACTTTTCCATGGAATTTAAAGCTTAAGTCCTCTAATAAGTGAAATTATTCTTATGTATACATACTAAAAGATTTATTTTTAAGTCGAATAAAACAGCAGCATTAATAACCTGGCCTTACACTAAACTAAGCCACGATTTTGGGCATCAGTAGCGACTCCAGTTCGTGGCCATCGCGCCAAGTCAGCACCGAGCAGGTTAGTTCTCCTCCATGGGCGACCAGTTTGCCATGCAGCTCGAATCCCCGGCGGATGCAAGCCACATCCCTGCTGCGCAACTGCCGCATGGCGCACAGATCATTGCAACTGTCGCCCACATAGACGACCCGTTCGTAGCGTCCGCTGCAGATGAGCTCCTCCAGCACCGAGCCCTTGCAGAGATTCGCGGGGCAGAGCTCGCAGTCGGTCTGCTCCTCGTAGGGCAGCACCAGCAGCTCGCCGCTCGCCTGAACGCAGGCGGGATTGGTGAAGACACCGGCGAAGAGGCACTCGATGGCATACTCGCGCAGCCACTCGCCGATGAAGAAGGAGTTGGCATCGCTGACAATGCACAGATCGACGCGGGAATGCCTGGCCAGGCGCCGCAGGACTCGCAGCATGCCCGGCACGGCCTGGAGGCGACGCACCCGCCTGCCCACCGCCACGGAGTCCACTTTGTACTCGCTGTGCAGCAGCTGAAGCACGCGGCCGATGAAGCCCAGCCAGCCGCAACGGGGGATCAGCTGCTGCAGCTCCTTGTTCTGACTGGCGGGCAGGAGTTGGCTCACCGCCAGATAGGAGTCCTGCTGCACGATGGTCTTGTCAAAGTCAATGGCGGCCAGGATGCGGGGTGGTGGGCTAGATGATCCGCGTCGAAGGACCAAAAGAAGGGGGATGCTCGAGCGGATGCTCCTCGAAATTGCCAACATTTTAAAGTGTGTGTGGAAAACAAACAATTTTTAGACTTTAATATCAATACACACTCATTTACGTACAGTACATAATATCATATCATATATGGATCTTGAACAAAGCACATCAATATCGATAAGGTAATGCCAGGTAATGTTATTGGCTGACAAAGTCTTTGATTATAACATTATTAATCATTATTAATCGCGTAAATTTAGATATTGTCATTGAAAATATTTTCGTTTTGCGTAAAATGCTTTCCAAAAAGATTAAAATATCTAAAATACATTTATAGTTTATAGTTTGTGTGTTTTGGTAACATGCAAAAAGCTATGCAAATGCAAATGCAAATATGGAACAGCAAAAATCGATATTTGGTATCATATTATCATGGCCTGGCATGGTGTATAATTAATTACATCGGCAAATACATATATTGGCTAACTATACCTATGTAAAATGAAACAATTAACGAAACGACTGTTTCACAAAATCTCACTTAACTTGCATTTTCAATGTTATATTGCCATTTTTTGATTATTTCTTAGCTTAAGAAAAGTGCATATTTGCCGATTAAATGGAATCCGAAGTGGGTTTCTGAGATATGTTAGTTTACAATTGAATAATTTTATGGGCAAGTCCATCGAGAACAAAAATGATTTGTTGTTATAAGTATATTATAACTTTATATATCTCGGATTGGTGGAGATTTTCAGCAATGCAGTTGGTAAATAATGATACTTTGTAGGGAGTTCTAAGCACAATTTGCTACCCCTTCATCTTTTCTTAACATATGAAAATAGCACATGTTAGGGACAAAAAACGAGGAATGCAGTTGTTCTTAGATCGCTCTACATAAACATATTTCCATGCCCTTCAATGTGGTTCCGTGCTCCCTTCAAGGGATTGCCATCTCGCTCTTTTTCGTGCTCCTAAACTGTGGTCTGCACATTCTGCACGGCCTTGGAGAGCTCCACCTTGGAAGGTATGAGATAAAATGCAGGCGTCATTGTCTCGCCGCAGGGACACTTGCAGGCTGCAAAGGTAAATTAAAATGATGAGCTAAGGAGCTTAAAGAAAAGGACTATAACCAACCGTTTATCCAGCTAAAGTTGCCCAGCTTCTGCTCGCACTTGGGACAGTAGAGCCGGCCCTGGGTGTTCAGCATGATGCGGTGCATCCAGGCAATGGGCTCCACAAACAATATGCTGCGGCATTGGTTGGCATTGGTGGCCTCGTGGCCGGGCGAACCGAGCGAGGATTGGCGTAGGCGCTCGGCCAGCTGCTCCAGCATCGGAGCATTCGGTGCGATGGCATTCTCTGGCTGATCCTGGCCAGGAGCCTCTTTCTCCTGCGGCGCCCTGTCACGCGGCTTGTGCTCCAGCACGTGCGACTTGGAGGCCAGGACGCGGCGGCAGCGACGACAGCGGAAGACGATCGGCTCGGGGTTCTCGCGCGTGATATCCGGATCCGGACGGACGACGCTGTGGAAGCTCTGCGGCAGGATCTTGGCCTTGCGCATCTGCTCGCCGGCCAGGCGCAGCCGGTGAATCTTGTAGCGCTGGCAATTGGGATCGATCTTGCAGCCCATGCGACGGAAGAGCTTCAGCTGGCTAACGAAGCCCGCGTTCGGCTGGACGAAGCGGCGCTTGGACTTGACCAGCTCGTAGGCGGGCAGGAAGTCCAGGTTGTGACGCTTCATCATGTAGGCGATCACCGTGGAGGAGCTGCGACTCACGCCAAAGTAGCAGTGGACCAGAACGTTGCCCTGCTGGGCCAAAGCGGTGCTGATGAAGTCCACGCAGCCCTCCAGATGCTGCAGGATGTCCTCGCGCGGCATGTCGGCAACTGGAAGGGAAGGATTGAAAGGGGGAGCTGCAATGGAGAAGCCATTTGCTTACTCTGTATGTACTTGGTGGTCAGGAAGCTGGCCTCCAGGATGTGCTGCGGCAGGGGCACCGAGTCCAGCGTGAGGATGTGCGTGATCTTGAAGGAGCGCAGCGTCTCCATGTGCGTGGCCGCAGTCAGGTTGCCTGTAGAGGAGGATTAAGTTAAATTGGAGCTGAAGAATGATTGAGGCGAAATCTCACCCAGAAACAGGCCCGTGTCCACCTCGTCGATACTCACGGGTCCGCCGTCAAAGTCCTCGCGTGTGAGGACGCCCGAGTCCTGCGGTTTGCCCCCCGCCGAGGAGGAGGAGGGTCTCGCCTGGGGCTGCTCCATGACCAGGTGATGCGATTCCAGCTGGAAGGAGCCAACGATAGTGTAGATATATCGACAAGGTCAGCATGTGTATGTAAATACCTCTAATCCCCCTCAATGCTCGATTCAAAGTACATCTTTGCAGATAAAAACTATTAAATTTAAGAAGTATCTAACTAAAAAACACTTTTGCTTAAATTTCCGCGAAAATAAACAAAAATCCTCTGATATATTTAATATTCAAATATCGAAGAAGAAGAAAAAGAAGAAGAGGCCTATCGATAGGCTGGCCATCGATGTTATCGACTGCACACCCGGTGGATCTGGATCTGGATTAGGAAAAACAATTAGAATTTAATAGGAAATTGTAAATATTATAAATTATACAAACAAAATGACCACGCTGCGACCCTTCACCTGCGACGACCTCTTCAAGTTCAACAATGTGTGAGTAGGAGTTGGCTGGACTTACGCAAAAAGGCACATTTTTTGAATGGATGCACTGTTCCATCTAGAAACTTTGACCCACTTACGGAGACCTACGGGCTGTCCTTCTACACGCAGTACCTGGCCAAGTGGCCGGAGTACTTCCAGCTGGCCGAATCACCCAGCGGTCAAATAATGGGCTACAGTAAGTAGAGATCCCCTATACTATTTACCCTATATTTACCATCCCATTCCGGTAGTCATGGGCAAGGTGGAGGGCCATCTGGACAACTGGCATGGCCATGTGACGGCGCTGACGGTCTCGCCCGACTACCGGCGACTCGGCCTGGCCGCTCTGCTCATGAGCTTCCTGGAGGACATCTCGGAAAAGTGGGTAACCAATAAACTAGAGATTGTTAACCTGCTAATTAACCTGTACTTCCAGGAAGCGGGCCTACTTTGTGGATCTGTTTGTGCGGAAGAGCAACCAGGTGGCGATCAACATGTACACAAATCTCGGCTACATCATCTACCGCACCATACTCGAGTACTACTCCGGCGACCAGGATGAGGATGCCTACGGTGAGGTTACCTATAATACCTTACCAACTTATATACTGACTTTTCTTTTCTTTTCAAAATAAACAGACATGCGAAAGGCCTTATCGAGGGACGTGAACAAGAAGTCGGTCATTCCGTACACGCAGCCTGTACGACTGGAAGATATAGATATGAATTGATACGATAGATCAACCCAGTAGCGCCCGCAATCGCATTTATGTCTAACCGATCCCCCGATCCACGATCCACCACTTTTTAACAGGAGTTCTAGTTAAATTAGTTATGTAAATAATCCGCAACCGGTGTCCTTGCTTGCGAACCCTCGAACCGAATCGAAATTCCACCCCCGCAATATTTACAACATGCATATCCTACCCACAAAACTAATCTGTAAACCTGTAAAACCCGTAAAAATAATGTAAAAGTCGTATGTCTGCCCCACCCCCCCGTTACAAATTTTTCGATAATTCTATTGACTTTGAAATTATTTAAAGATTTCTTAAGCCGATGCGTAAATAACTGTATTTGAAAAACGATTGTTCCACAGTTCTGAAGGTAAATAACGTAAGCAACTTGTTGGCATCATCAACGTAAATGACAACCAGTATCTAACGCCATCGATATGATATTGATATTGATAATGATAATGATATTGAAATCCCAATATCCTCAATCCTCGCAAGCACGATCCTCTAACGCAGCCGAATGTTTCTTGCAGATCACAATGCGCGAGCTGCGCAGACAAATGCGACACGATCATTAAATGGAACTATCCTCCGCGGCAGACATAAATATATAGCGACCCTAGAAGTACTTTATCAGCCGATTCCCAATTACTATACTATTGTGTTACCTAGAAACCCCATTTATCATTTATCAAAATATTAAAGTGAAATCCAATCAAGCATATATCAAGTTTTTTCCGAAAGAAAATGGTTCATAACTCCATAACCCTTAAGGGGGGAAAAGAAATTAAATAATAATTGTAAACAAAGCTTAATGGCTTTTAAAATTAAACAAAAAAAATTGTTTATGTAAGGAATAATAATGTTAAAGTTAAAAAAGTCTAAAGTATTTAAAATATGATATAATGCGACGTACTTTTTACTTTTTTTTAGGCCTAACTTTAACATTACCATTTCCTGGGGTTCCTTTTAAGGTTTAGTGTACCCTTTATAAGGATTTCTCATAAATACATATATATACAGCGAGATGTTGGCAAATCCTGCGTGCCTTTTCTCGCTTGACAACCGGCGTTTTATCAATACCTGGTGTTCAGTTCGGAAACTGAAACTGATTAATGGCTGAAGTGAAGTGAAGTGAGTCAGTGAACGAAAAATGGCGAAGAAGGGAGGAGTCCAGCAGCTCCAGGCGGACCTCGCCTCTGACGAGGAGTTCGAGAAGTTCCTGCAGCGATCCGGACTGCTGGGTAAGTACATTAGATAGAGGGATCAGTAACGCATATATATTGTACTACAACAGTACTCGACATATACTCCGAATGGTGCGGACCGTGCCTGGGAATGGTGGGCAGCCTGCGGAAGATCAAGCTCGAATTGGGAGGCGATAACCTGCAGTTGGCCATCGTAAGACTCCCCATAAGTCAGGGCATAAGAATACTACTTACTATCTTCGAAAACCCTAGTGCAAGGCGGGTTCCATATCCTCCCTGAAGCGATTCAACAAGAAGAGCGAACCGACCTGGATGTTCGTTACGGTGAGTTATAACCGGTTTATTTTTAGCCGTCTAGGGATAAAACATATTGATTTTTTTAGTTTCTAAAAGTAGACACCCTAAAAACCTATATATTTTTCTCTACTATGGTACCAATTTGCAATTTACTAATTTTCCAATCAATTTAGCATTACATTTAAAATTGGATTCTTAAAATTTGCTTAAAAGGTCTTTTTTTGCCTAAAATAGTAGTCCATATTTTCTGCCATAAGAAGTCAGGTTTAACCCCTTATCAAAAAAGTGAAAATTGATCAAAAAATAAATTTCCCAGAAAGAGATGGGGATCGTTAGTTTAGGTTGTTAGCTGCTCAAAACTGTCATTCTTTTAGCTGTGGGCCTTGATTTGTCGAAATTACGACCAAAAAACCATACAAAAAAGTATTGTTTTGTCGAAAATTTGAGTCCATATTTTCAACCTTAAAATATCCGTTTTTTGTACGTAACATTGGAAATAATGATCCAAATGTGGAATGCCGTACCTTGTTGAACTCGTGATTAAATTCCCTAACAATTGACATTTCAACCTAACATTTTTTAAATTTTGTCATTTTTCGCAAAAAATTGTGTGTTACCCCTTATCAAAAAAGTGAAAATTGATCAAAAAATAAATTTTCCAGAAAGTGATGGGGTTCGTTAGCTTAGGTTATTAGCTGCTCAAAACAGTCATTCTCTTATCTGTGCGCCTTTGTTTGACTGAAATATGATTGAAAAACCGCAAAAGAACATTGAAAATTGGTCAAAAAATTACATTTTCCTGAAAGTTATGTGGATTGTTGGTTTAGGTTGTTAAAAAGTTTTTCTAGTGAAATAAAGAATAATTTTGAAACTTTGAACATTTCAGAATGGCAAGGCAATCAACATCATGTTCGGCACGGACGTGCCCAAGCTGGTGGCCATGATCACCCGGATGCTGCAGTCGACGATGGCCAAGGAGTCGCACGTGAGCTACGAGATCACCGAGCTGCAGCCGATGGAGCTGGAGCAGCTGGAGGTGCGCAACAAGGCGCTGCGCCTGGCCGAGGAGATCGAGCTGGCGGAGAGCAGGCGCAAGAGGCTGGAGTATCTGCACAGCGTCACCGACTGCATCATGGCCAACCTGCCGGATATCGGGATCACGGTGTTCGGACCGCAGGTTAATCGCGACATGTTCAAGAAGCTCTCGGAGCCCGCCGATCCCCTGAAGATCCAGTGCAAGGACCGCAAGGTCTTCGCCATTCTGCCCAGCGACATGGCGACGGTGAACTTTGCGGCCGAGAATCCCTTGGCGCCGGAGGTCATCCAACTGCTCTACGACAAGGAGCTGCTCATGTGCTTCTGGAAGGTCGAGGAGGTGCTCGGCACACCGCCCACCGTGCTCCGCCAGTACGCCCACGAGCTGACCAAGGAGACCATCAAGCCGCCCGATGAGTTCAACGAGGAGGAGATCACCGTGCCGCCCATGATAGTGCCGCTGGAGGTGAGCGTGGAGATTCCGGAGCCAGGTGAGAGTGTGGTTTTTATATATATTTTTGATTAGGATCACCAGCCGGGTCGATTTAGCCATGTCCGTATGTCTGTTTGTCCGTATGTCCGTTTGTCCGTATGTTCGTTTGTCCGTTTGTCTGTCCGTATGCAGTGGAAATTCCGGAGCCAGGTGAGATGGTTCTTTTTATATATATTCTTGATTAGGATCACTAGCCGGGTCGATTTAGCCATGTCCGTATGTCCGTTTGTCCGTCTGTCCGTATGTCCCTTTGTCCGTTTGTCTGTCCGTATGACTGTAGCGTTTTCTCTTGTTCTGCTTTCTAATTTATTAGAGCCATCGGAGGAGGACCAGGATGCTGAGCAGCTGCCCGAGATTAAGAGCGAAAATCTAGGGGAAGGCAAAGAGGAGGAAGAACAGGAGGCGGAACAGGAAACGGAAGAGGCCCCGCCTCCAGCCTCCAAGAGCGATCAGAAGAAGACCAAGACCATCCGGATACCTCCGATCTGGGTGCCCAGTGACCAGCGCACCCATGCAGCCCTCATCTACACCTACTTTCGGGCCCAGACCTCGACCTTCCTGCCGCCAGATCCTGTGCCCGAGCCCCCGCACATCGTGATGATCTTCGACGCCTACAAGAAGAAGGACCTGGCCCTGCTCCTCGAGACATGTCGCGAGGATATTCCGCTCTACGGCTTCTTCAACGGCGACAATCCACAGACGGCGGTGTTCATAGCCAACTCGGTGGATAAGTACAATGCCAAGCCCTATGTGCCGTAAGTTAAAAGTTATTAAATATAATAATACCTATAATATTTTTCATACAGCACCGACAAGATCGTTTTGAAGGTCAACAAGGTGGTCAACAGTCCCACCATTCCCACTCTGATGGCCTACGGTCCCAGCTACGTCAGCAACAACTCGGTGATGGGCCACAAGGAGGCCACCCAGTTCTTTCCGGCCAACTACAAGTCCGCCCTGCAGGAGGAGGAGGAACTGCACGCCGTCAAGGCGGAGAAGCCCAAGAAGCGCAAGAAAGTAGGACATCCTACACAGGATCATCTATTATCCAGAGGATAATTAAGATCGAATTTTGCAGAACAAAAAGGGAGGAGATCCCGAGGAGAGCAGCAAGGCGGACGCCGGCAATCTAGCGGATGCCCAGCAGGAGGCGGATGAGGCGGTGAAGACCTCGCCGGAGGAAGGCGCCTCCACGACCAGCAGCGGCGAGGACAGCTGCGAGAGTCGTCCTGCAACGGCCGATGGCGCCAATCCCGAGGGTACTCAGGCCACTTAGGTGCTCTAAAAAGAAATTATAGATTATATCTTTATTTGCAATACAAAACATAATTAAATTAAAAATATATTCTATTACTTCGAGTAATATTTCTAATTTCTAATTTATCAAAAATTCGAAAGTTGGTGGAAAATATAATTTTTCCGAAAGGGATTGGGTTGTTAGCTGTTCAAAACAGTCGGTCTTTCAACTATTGGCCTTGATCTATCCAAAACGAAAAAATCTTAATTTTCGTCGAAAATTCGAATCCATACTTTCCTCCCTAAAATATCAGTATTTTGGCCATAACAACGGAAATAATGATCCAAATATGGAATGTCGTACCTTGTTGAACTCGTGTTTTAATTCCCTAACGATTGGCATTTAAACCTAGAATTTTTAAAATTTTGTAATTTTTTTTTTAAAGTTGTGATCAAAAATACAAAAATTGATCAAAAAATAAATTTTCCAGAAAGAGATGGGGATCGTTAGTTTAGGTCGTTAGCTGCCCAAAACAGTCGTTCTTTTAGCTGTGCGCCTTAATTTGTCGAAATTACGACCAAAAAACCATACAAAAAAGTATTTTTTCGCCGAAAATTCGAATCCATATTTTTAACCCTAAAATATCAGTTTTTTGGCCGTAATAATGGAAATAGTGATCCAAATATGGAATGTTATACCTTGTTGAACTCGTAATTTAATTCCCTAACGATTGGCATTCAAATCTAAAAATTTTTAATTTTCGTAATTTTTCGTAAAAAATCGTGATGTTACCCCTTATCAAAAAAGTGAAAATTGATCAAAAAATAAATTTCCCTGAAAGTGATGGGAATCGTTAGTTTAGGTCATTAGCTATTCAAAACAGTCATTTTTTTTTAGCACTAGTCCTTTGTTTAACTAAATTATGATTGAAAAACCGCAAAATCTTTAGAAAGTTTTGAGTTCGATTACCTTAGTATCGATTGCACATGGTAATCGTTTAAACACCGATATATCACACATAATTGCTCATCGATAACAGGTGAATCGGTATCGGGTGGTTGAAAGTAAAGTTAAAAAATTAAATTGTGTAATTGCTGTATGAAAACACCAGCCCGCTCGCCCGATGGATCCCAATTTGCGTAACGTAAGTCTGCAGGTGAACCCTTCCCACCGCCCACCACCCACCACGCCCACCTTGCATGTCTTCCAGCTCAAGGACTTTCTCACCTTATACAACAAAGTGACGGAACTGTGCTTCAGCCGATGCGTGGATAATCTCAGCCAGCGCGACCTGGGCGGCCAGGAGGTGAGTCTATAGCTGGGTCATCCTCTGGACTAACCAATCCTCTGATTTCCAGGACATGTGCGTGGACAGGTGCGTCACCAAGTTCGCCCGCTTCAATCAGAATATGATGAAGGTCTATGTGGATGTGCAGACGACGATTAATGCCAAGCGCGTGGAGGAGGTGGAGGAGAACGCCCGCAAGTTGGAGCAGCAGCAGAAGGAGCAGCGACTGAAAGAGGCGGCCGCCGCCACCACCACAGTGCTCACTCCCGTCCAACCGCCCGTCGCCGGCAACCTGTCCATGTAGCAGCAGAATCCGCAGCTGCTGTTCTCCATCCTGGACAGCTAATCGCGGCAACCACACAGCCCCCTTCTCTACAACACCACAAACAACCTATTACCCTCTTCTCCTGATATGCAGTGCATTTGCCTAGTTGCTCTGATCGGCCTGCCAGGAGCGGGCAAATCCACGCTTTGCACCTGGCTGCTAGGCCAACAGGCTGCCCTCCTCCACTTTCGCCACATTGTTCACCTGTGCTACGACGATTTCCTGGACATCCGACTGCCCTACAAGGAGCAGCGCGGGCTTATCCTTAACCTACTAGAACAACTCATAGCCGCTATTCAAGCAGACACCATTTGGCCGGCTCAAATACAGCGCATTGCCTTTAGCAGCAGTGGAAAACACATTCTAATCTTGTGCGACGACAACTTTTACTACCGCAGCATGCGCCAACAGCTGCAGCAGCTGTGTCGCCGCAGTAATGGCTGCATCTACGGTCAGCTACACATCGCCAGTTCGCTGGACGTCTGCCTGACGAAGAACTCCAAGAGAAGCGGCGGTTTCCGAGTGCCGGCGGCTGTGATTAGGCAGATGAACGAGCGACTGGAGGCCCCAGGCTGCGAGGCCTGGGAACGAAACAGTTTAACAATCCACAACCTAAATGATAAGGATGCTATACTTGATTTTATTAATTCACTACCTGCAAAGGAGTCATCGCCATCGTCTACAAACAGCAGGCAGCCTGCGCAGGAACAGACACTCATCCACAAACTGGATCTTCTCCTGCGAGCGCGTATTAAAGAGCTGCTCAATGATGTGAAGGAGAAGCAACTGGCGGGCAGTAGATTAAACAACAAGCGGAAGGAGATATTAACAAGGTGGCGGGGTGAACAGAGAAACGGACAGGCTGAGAATGAGGCTGCCTTGGATTACTATGTAAATTTGTTAAACTAGCCTATAAGATAAGCTAAATTCGTTTGTACTAAATACATATATAAAATGTTATTTGAATTAAAACTAGATTTATTTAGTGAAAAAAATACAAGTTAACTTTAGGACCCCGTTCGCTTAGACCACCTTCACCTGGCTGGTGTCCCTTTTCTGGATCATGCGCATCGCCTTCTTCTTCATGCGCTTCAGCTTGGCGGGATTCTTGATCACCTGGACGACCTCCGAGCGGCGCTCGTTGGCCAGCCGCCGCTCGGCGTTCTCCACGCGACGCTGATGCTTCTGGACGGCGTCCTCCTTGCGCTTCGTCTTGATCTCCTTGGAGCGCTCCTTGATGTAGCGCAGCTCGTCGCGCAGAGCGGCCTTCTTCTCGAACGTCGCACGGTTAATGGTCTTCTTGATCTTGCTGAATCTTCAAGAGAAGGAGAAGGTTGTAGGATGGATGGATAGATTAGAGTGATTAGAGGACCACTTACTTCTGTTTGGGCGTCTTCCACGGCCGGTTGGACTTGGGCTGGCCACGGGGAATGCTGTTCTCGGGCTTCGCCGCCTTCTTGGCCTTCGCCGGCGTCTTGGGCGGCGCTGTTTCTGGGGCGGCTTCACTCATTTCGGGAATTACGATGCTCAAACAACACAAAAATACAAAACAAGAACGCACGTGTTGCCTGGCTGCGTGTATCGATAGCACGCAACATATGTTCGGGAAAGTTATCGTTGATCGACGAGTTGCTTTCGATCAGCAAATTAGGCGCCAATTCAAAATCGTTTAAAAAAATAAGTAAATTTTTATGGGTTTTAAGGTAACAGAAAAATATAAAACTGTTTTTTTCTTTTTTTATGTAATGAAAAATATATTTCATTTGCAACTCAATATTTTATGAAAATAATTTTGTTTAAATTGGTTTCAATAATTATTTAAAACTAATTAAAATTAGATTATTTTTATGCTAACTTTTTTTAAGGTAATAACAAAATATGAAATCAAATATTTTTCAAAAAAACGGATTACGTATTTTATTAACTCCTTTTTTTAAACTTATTTCCTTTTCAACCCCATTATTTTTAGAAATAACTTTGGATATTGTGCGTTGTGCTTTCTTCAAACATACATAGTTTTTGGGTCTGAATTTCAAAATAAAATACAAAAACGTGTTTCCAGTTTCCTCTTGCTTCCGTTTATCCGCTTAAGCTGGTTAGGAATGGCCAGCAGCTTGTTTGTTGTGTGTTTTTGAACCAGGAAAAACAAGAATTTTATTTCACTACAATTTAACAATTTGGACGGGCTCGCCAAACTCAGCAGACGAGATGCCTGCCCACCGATTTCCTGGCAACTTTGGCATTAATGTACACATTTACAGGGGGGTTTTCACGTCGACAAAGGCCGTAGCTATCAGCAGGAGTTCAGGATCCCGGTTCCGATTCCTGGGCCACCGCCTGGTTGCTCCGCTTGTGCTGATCTATGTTGTAGTGGTAGAAGAAGGACTTGCCGTACTCAAAGGACGAAATCATGATGGCACACGCGGGCGCCACCTTGAAGAGTCGCGGCCCCAAACCGGAGAAGATCGCGGGCAGTCCGCCCAGGCGGTAAATGCTGGCCAGCCGCACCGCCACCGACTTGGTGGCCGCCTGCTGCTGTTGCTTGGATGGTGGATTATCTGCCGTGATGCAAACCGAACCATTGTCAATGGAGGATCTGCTTGCAGCTGCAAGCTGAACAGCATTGGGCCTACCTGAGAATATGAACTTCTCGCCGAACTCGATCTGCTCGTGCGTTTTCACCACATCGAAGGGCGTGGTGATGGTGGCGGCCACCTGGATAGGAAAAAACAAATAACCAATTACGAATCTTTGTTTAAAGAAACCTCAAGCCTAGCTCACCGATCCCGAAATTGCTCCTGCCGCAAAGCTAAAGCTGAAGGTGGGCTCCACCACGCCGAAGGAGCTCTTGAGGTACTCGTAGCAGGTCCAGTAGATGCCCGAAAAGGGCACATCCCGCAGAATGGTGGGCGGCAGGCCGCGCCACAGACCCAAAATGCCCTGCGACTGGACCACCTGGCGAATGGTGCCGAACATCTCGGCGTGCGTCATGCGCTGCGACTGCATCTTGGTGCGGATCAGCTCGACGGGACTGACACAGGTGACGGCCAATATGCGCGCCGATACGCCGGCCAGCAGCGGCACCAAAATGGGAATAGCTAGTGGAATGTCGCGCGCCCCTTTGCCGGCCATTACATACTTGTAATGGATGTCGGTGAAGCGCGCCTTGAACTGCTCGTAGGCCACGAAGTAGATGATCGTGGAGGGCAGGGCCGAGATGAGCGTGGGGCTGAGTCCAGACCACAGCGAGCCGACGCCCTCAGTGCGGCTGATCTTGATGAATGCGTCCTGAAATGGTCAGAGTAAGTGGGTTATTTTGAATCTCCTTTTGAGTAGCTACTCACAATGGTGCCAGAAAAGCGGGGAGCGGGCTTGGCGACTGCCGGATTGGGCGTGTCCGGGCCGCAGGGGCAGATGTGATCCATTAAGCCATTGCAGTAGAGGAAGCACTTATTCGAAAGCAGCGCCTGCTGCTGGGCCTGCAGCCGGGTCTTGATCACATCCAGCGGAGTCACTGGAAAGGATGGGATAGTAATTGAGCTTACGGTTAGCTTAGGGTGACTTACTGAAGCAGGCGGTCACCATGGCGCCGGTGCAGGCGGATGCCACTTGCTGCAGCGGTCGTATGCGAAAGCGCGGGTCCGTCATCGTGGCCTTTGACTGGTTCTGGCTGGGAGTCGCCGCCAGTGCCGCGCTGGCAGCCGCAAAGTGGGCGCAGACCTCCCTCTTCGCCATGGCGGGATGCACTTGCTCTTCCGATCACTGGGAGCCCCGGTAGGCTGCGATTATGTGGGTGATTTAAAGGTGATATGGATGTGATGAGATGAGCTGACTGTGTGCACTGTGTTTTATGTCGACTGTGAGCTCGGATCGGCAATTAGGCAAGCCCCCCGCTCATTGTGAAATAGTTTCCAGGTCCAAAATAAAACACCGTGCTCGTATGTTCTGCTCCATGCCCATGGCGATCAGCTGTTGCTAGCTGATACTATCGATACTATCGGAACAGCTATCGGTGCAGCGGTGTTATCGAAAAGCAAGCGTGTGGGTGTAGGGGGAAGCCCCTATTCAAAATTCAAAACATTTAGGTCCTTTTTTCGTCCGTTCGTTAAATTTAAAGTAGGGTTAAAACCTTGAAATCGTAAGCGAAATAAGAGTCTAAAGCTTCCTTTAATTTTAACAAGCGGACGAGAAAACGGCACTTAGCAATTCGAAAACTGTAAAGCTATCGTAGGATTGGAATTTATCCTTTCAGAGCACTTGCATTAAAAAAATATTTTAAATTAATTGGATCTCTAATGGTTTGAAAATAAGTTCAGAAACTATCACAGAAATACTTTCTTAAAATAATAAGATAAGATAACACCTACCCGCTTCCTGGAGATCCAGGTTGTAGTGGAAGAAGAACGACTTGCTGTACTCGAACGTGGAGATCATGATGGCGCAGGCGGGAACAACACGGAGCATGCGCGGCACCACGCCGACGTAGAGGCCCCGGACACCCTGCTGCCGGTAGATGTGGCGCAGCCGTGAAAACATCGACGGCCTGGAAATGGCAGTAGTAGTAGTCGCGGTCCTTGGCGCAGGACCTGCTCCCGCTGCCGATCCCGATCCCGCCGCTCCCACCTCCTCGTAGAGCACATCCTGACCCAACTCAATCTGGGTGTGGGTGGTGATCAGGTCAAAGGGCATGGTCACAAAGGTAGCAACCTGTAAATGATTATAATAATAATTATGATTATAGGTTATTTAAGACGCTCACTAGAGCTTGAAAAATATCGATATTTTTTCAAAATCATATCGATAATATCGATGTTTTCAAGGAAAATTATAAAAACTATGTTTAAAATAAAACGTTTTTAAAAGATCGATGTTTCCGATAAATAATTCTTATAAAAAATATCGAAATTATCGAAATGTCGATACTTTTCAAGCTCTACTGCTCACCCACCGCTCCGGCGACGGCGCCCGTGAGGAAGCTGAAGAGGAAGCTGGGCTCCGTGACGCCGAAGGCCCGCTTCATCCCCTCGTATGCCGCCCAATAGGTACCCGAAAAGGGGGCGTCCCGCATCACCGTGGGCGGCCAGCCCCGCCACAGCCCCAGGATGCCGTGCTGGCGGATCAGCGAGCGCAGCACGCGCCACAGCTCCGAGTAGGTCATCGTAACCTCGGACTGCATCTTGATGCGCACCATCTCAATGGGAGTGATGGCCGTCACAACAATGGTGCGCGAGCAGATGCCCGAGGCCATGGGCACGTAGCAGGGCAGCGGTTCACTGGGCACCACCTGGGCATTGGCGTTCACATTCCGACTCCTGGTGGCCAGGTCCAAAGGATCCCCGCCATTGGCGCCGGGCACTTGCTCGGCCTCCGCCTCAAATTTGTGCGAGTCCAAGTAGATTTGGGTCAGCGAATTCTTGAGGTACTCGTAGGTCACGAAGTAGATAATCGTCGAGGGCAGGGCCGAGACCAAAGTGGGACTGAGGCCCGCCCACAGGCCGCTCAGACCACTGCTGCAAACAATCTTGACAAACGCGTCCTAGATACGAAGATACATGACATACAAAAGGGTAGAGTACTGAATATATGATATTTAGGGGGATATATACAAAACATCGATATTATCGAATCAATAATGTCAAATTATCGAAAATATCGATAATTTTTAAGCTCTAATATATACCACCCCCTACAAAAGGATGTGATATTTAAAAAGTAAGCAACAACAAATCCCCCTACAGCCAATCCTAGATCTAGGGTGGACCTTAACCCACTTAACCCCTAACTCACCATGGCGCCGCGCAGGGGCTGAAGATTTCGGGGGTCCCGGCCCGGTTTCGGTATGCAAATATCGCTGGAGCGGCAAACGTGGGTCATCAGGCCATTGTGGAAGACGTAGCAGAGCCTGGAGACAGTCGGTCGCTGGCGGATGGCGTGCTGGGTCTGCACCCGGGTCTTCACCACCTCCAGGGGCGTTACTGATTGGATCTCGGATTAGAGGAGGTCTAACATAGCTAAGGAACTACCCCCTACTCACCCACAAAGGTCGTGATGAGGCCGCCGATGAGTGCGGAGACCACCTGTTGCATTGGCTTGATTCGGTACCGCGGATCCGAGCTCAGGATCAGTGTGGTCAGCCGCAACGGATCCAACTCTTGGTACTCCAATCGTCTGCCCTCCTCATCCTCGTCACTACCTCCACTTTGGGACTCCAGCTGCGGCGGCATCTTAATTCAATTGTTTTTACTTTACTTAGTAAAAAAAAAATTTTTTTTTCTATGTTTTTCACAAGCGGTTTGATTGCTGAAAGACAGGACCTCCTCCGGTCTTCGGGAAAGACATCCCTGGGCAGCGCCGACAATTTGGTAATTTCGTGCCGCACACAACACAATATATCTGAGCAAAAGTTTGTTTCTCGACACGAACACTAAGCTGAGAAAAATGTTTGAACTGAGACATCAAGCTAAGTCAACATGTTCATTAGGGTGGACCCTAGTTTTGTGCTTATTATTTAAGTACTTACCAAACCTTGCTTTCAAATTCAAAACTCTTGTTCCCCAGTAAAAATGCACTTTCAATCACATTCAAAAAATGTTATTGCAAATTCACAACCAACCAAAATCAAGTATAAATCGTTCTCAAGCCGGAATTAGCCTTGATTGAACTGATCAAAATCGACTCAGCTGGATCTTAAATCTTGATTTATTTTTCGATGGGAGCAAGAGGGGAAAGGAAAACCAATGCGGGGACGGCTACGACAAAATTGATTACGTTTAATGCGAAAATTATAAATATGAATTAAATTAATCAAATTTAATAGTAATTTGAATTATATTTAAGTTAATGAGTAGTAAGTCAGTAACATAGTATTTTAGCTTTAAGTCAGAACCAAAAAAAAATTAATCATTTAGATAGGATTGGATTAAACTCAATGGTGTGTATGATTTAATCTGATCTTAGACATCAACTCCTCCTCCTTAATCGTCCTTCTACGTCCTCTACTCCTGGGGCAATGGTGATTGATTGGTTGATTGATTGATTGATTGGTGAGTGGATAACTGCGATAACTGGGATCTGGGATTACTGGGGATCACTTCACTTGTGCGCAATGGGAATCAGTGTCTCGCCGGCGGTGAGTGCTGGCAGGGGGGCGTCGACGGTCAGGACGCCGTCCTTGCTCAAGGACGAACGGATGGACTCGGGATTGACGCCCTTGGGCAGCAGGAACTCCCGGTTGTACTCCCTGTACACGCTCTTTGTGTCCGACTTCTCCTCGTGCTTGGCGTGCACCTAAGCAAATGGAATTTATAAATGTTATTATCATAGTTTTTGATTTGTAGATCTCGATTTTACATACCAATAGTTTCTGATCGACGGTCTTCACCACAATTTCCTCGGGGGCATACTGGCTGACATCGAATCGCAGCTTCAGCACTTTGTTGTCGCCCTCATCCTGCAAATGGAATCATTTGTAAATAAATCTATATATTTAGTTATACCATTTCCTTACCTGTATCAAGGGTGAGCTAATGTCGGAGACGTAGTTCTGTTGCTTCGGGATTCGGGATGGCAGAGCCGAGTTTGTCGTTGAGCTGCAAGAAAAGTCGGGAAAATGTTGAAATTAAAAAGTTCCCAAAAAAAACTTAAAACTTAAACCAAAAAACAGAAGGATTATAAGTGAAATCAAGAGTGCTGGGCGGAACCTGGTGGAGGAGTTGGTGGTGGTGGTAGTAGTAGTCGTGGTTTTGGTTCTCTTGGTGCTACGAAACGTATTTTGCAGAGTGCGCGTAAAGGCCTCCATTCTGAAGCTGCTCTAGGATGTAACTGATCACCGGTCGGAGAACCCAACTCAAATGAAGCCGCGATGCTCGCCCGCCTAATAATAGATCTCACTTCCGCTTCAGATCCCCATGTACTAGAGATCCAAAGGGAAGCAGCTGTCCATATGTCTGCATTACAAGCATTCTATTTTAAGGTCCTACACACAAGGGAAATACATATGAATGTATCTTTGCTCGTATCATCATATAAACACCCAAAGCTATAAGTCGTGGTTCAAAACTGCTTAGACCGCCTGCATTTATAAATAAATTCTCAAATGGTCCTTAAAATAACACCCTCGAGAATCGTGACTCAGCTGTCACTCAAATAGAGCGATATATTATTAAAAACTTAAAAACGAAATCAAAATTTTACTGTTAAGCTAACAATTTCATTTTGTGGAAAGAAATATCTATTTATTTATCTCCAGAAAACTTCTTCAGAAAACTTCTACCCCCAATACCATCTACCTATCATAATATTTAATTGAGATTTTCAGAAAAACATGCTATGAATTGAGTGAGTTCCGTGTAGCGGTTATATTTGTTTAGTTCGTGATTATGTGCGGGTATTGCAATTAAACTAAACAAATAAAAAGTAAGTTACCAAAAATAAGGGGTTGTGTAGAAAAGGAAATGTTAAGGGTAAAACACAAAAATAAAAGTTTAGTTGGTAAACTTTCTACGTTTTTGTACCTGGTAGTTGTTGTTTTTTTAGTAGAACTTTTTTTTTAGAGAGGAGAGGAGATTATAATAGTATGGAAATAATTGCGGTTGTTTAATGTTTTCCAAGCGGCAAGAAAGAGAAAAGAGAAAAATAGAGGAAAAAGATATATATATTAAGTTAGGTAAAAGGTAAATATACATATTAATACAATTACTAATAGATAAATTAGTTTCTCAGCTTGGTATCTTTTTGGTCCACCTTAATGTACAGAGGGGGGGGCTTTTGATCGACCGTTAAACCGGTGAACGTGTCGCAGCAAATCGTGCATGAGTGTGCGTGTGAGACTCTTTGATAAGCGGCCATCAACTGGCGCTCCACGCTAAAAAAAAAGCTGAGGGAGCTTATCAATCGAAGCCGAAACGTGAGCGTGCGTGGGCCACTGGCGACCTTGCGGCGTTTCTCAGGTTCTCCAGGTGCTGGGGGAGGGGGGAGTTGATCGCCCGTGGGAGAGAAATCAGTGATAAGTACCAATAACCGTTAGCCTGGGCAAAGTTTCTTTTGTGGGGGCTACAAGTGGAAGAAGAAGAGTTGGCACCTGCTCTCCCACTCCTACTTCCTCTCAGGCACTCTCTTCTCTCTCTCCCTCTCTCTCTGTTTGCCAGCACACGTTCGTGCATGTGTATGCATGTCCATATGTGTGCGGCTATATCTCACTGGCATCTGATGACAATGATGTCATGCATATTTTTTCGTTATTGAAAAGCCAAACGAAGGGAAACTAAAGAAGAAACAGAAATAAGCACAGACACAAGAAATGAGAACGAAACGAATCGAAACGAGCGCAAACAAAATGGCTCTCTTTTGTTGTTTGCTGAACAAATGCCGAATGCCGAATTAAAATATCGATTACCGGCAACGATCGCAGCTTTGTCATCGATCCGCAGTCCGATTGCAGCGCAATAGCTAAAAATTGACATGATATCATCCTCGTCCGTTGCCCATTCAAATTATCAGCATCCAGCCAACCAATATTGGCAACTAAATCGCCGCTGTATGTGCTCATCTCAACTGAAAGCTTTTCGCACAGCTATTCGCTATTTGCATGATAAATATAAATACATGTTTGTGCATGATCATAGCGTACTCATTTGTTTAAATTGCGCAAGGCCGATTAATGAGTCTATAAATTCAACAGATCGATGGTATTGCCTGTGTTTACTAGCTAGTATTGTGTTCTCACATCATACCTGGCCTGGCCAATATATATCTGTACATATTATATACACAAGCCGATCCCTGGGATAATCGTACCATTTTCCTTTCAATTGCAATAAAAAATGTATCTTAAAATATCTGCAGATATTCAATGAGGAGGTGCCATCATAAAAGTGCGGTTTACAGTCTAACCGAACCTTCTTTAGTATACAAAGATATATGCAAATGATATAAACAAATGGCCCCAAACAGTTTTTGGCGTCAAATTGCATATTTCTACAGAAGCTAATTGTTGTTTTTTCACATTTAATTATTTTTATTCGAATATTAGGAGAAGATGGGGCAAAACCGACCGGTCGAACATCTCAGTCGCTGGGAAAATTGGATAATTTGGTGGAAGGAATAGGAATGAAGGTTCCTGAGGTTGTTTTGAGGTGCTTATTCAGCGCTGAGTCATTCAGAAGATATCACGCAGCGCATTAATCGTCGACACGCTATAGCCATGGTGGCAGATATGTCAAAGGTCGCGATGGACGATGTGTGGTGGACAGTGAGCAAGAAGGGGCCATTATGGGTGGGATAATCTGATTGAATTGAATGTTTAGTATAGGCTGAAGTCACTGGCAAGCCAATCGAATCAATATCAATCTAAATACCAAACTGATCCAAGCCGATCCAAGCAATAACCACCCATCAACACACGATATGCTAGCAATCTTTGCCCTGTGTGTATTTACGTTTAATAAAAGTGTGTGGCTAAAAGTTGCAGGTGTGGTTCGGTTGGGGGGAACCAATTTGGGTTAATTTCCTTCAAATTGCCAACTTTAGCTTCATATGGGCAAAGTTATACAGCTGGGAAAGGGAGTCCCAACTTTCATGGAAAACTTTCTGTTGTTGTGTTGTGGCCATGCAAATGCAGTGGCGACCATGGTGAAGCCAACAACAACAATATTACGTCATTGGCCGGGGTCGTTCCAATAGCAACCAAAACAGGCGCCCACGCAACTTAACTCGAGATTGGAGATTCGAGATTGGAGATTCGAGGGTCTAACGAGACGCGCAACCGCGACGGCTACGCAATATTTGCCATATGCCTCGGGCATTGTTTGTTTATTAATCACTAATTTGGACAATAAAACTACATAGAAAACATGTAAAAATAGTGTCAGTCATTCTTTCAAGATTCTGATGGATTAATGGCTAACTTCTAGTAAAAGATACAAATATTTCGGAATTTCGAAAAACATGTGTAACAAAAACATGGTCCATATGCCATCGATGATCAATTCCCATACTTTTCCTTTCAAAATAGATCTGCTATCAAATATCACCGATATGGTAGAGATTTGAATATCTTATCTTATTATGAAGAATATTTCTGCTTATGTATAGTGTAGACACACTACCAAAAAGTCTTGGCACAGGTGATTTTCAAAATTCTCGAAATTCCGTTATGCCCCACATAACGGTTGCATAAATTGGGTTGGGGGTTGGGGGATGGGGATTACTTGCGGGTGGCGGGCGGATACACATGTGTTTTCTTGGCCGGAGACAGCGGCGGAGAATTTAGAACTCGTGACTCATCCTCCCCCAGAGCGACGGCAAGAAATATATTGTATCTGGGGCGCAAATCGGCCCTGTTTTGGTTTCTGGTGTGTATATTATACAGCTATGAAGTGCTCCAGACCAGAAGGCGATGTGGCAAGATGTGTTCCTCTATATTTAGAGCCTATAACTATTAGAACTGTGGGATGAATCAAGCGGATGGATTTCTATCCCTCAAGAAATCATCCTCTAGGAATAACCCCTAGTTCCTAACCGGAATCATCACTTAATCCTCACCTGGTGGACTCGAAGAAGTTGGCCTCGCGGTTCATCAGCTCGTGGCGGAACTTGGCCATCTCCTCCTCCATTTTTCGCATCTCGGAGTCGAAGCGCTCGCGGATATTGCTGAACTCCGTATCGATGACGCTGAAGTCGCCCAGCTTGATGGGGATATTCCTCTTGTTAGCCTCGGCCATTTTTATGTGTGCGGTGGTTATTTGGTTTATTTGCTATTTGGTGGTTGCTGCTGTTCTGCTCGACGCGCTTTCGAGCTTATTGTTCACTTGCTAATCGACGGAGCAACCAAGAACCAAAAAAAAATCGGGGAATACGATGTGTTTTCTATATGTATTTAGACCTCGAGACGTTTGCTGAGTTCTCACTGAGTACTGAGAGTGTGTGGGGTTGTTGGTTGTTGTTTCTTGGACGTGGATGTTTGAGTGTCGCACAGTTAGCCGCGTTTCAAATTCTCGACTGTTTTGCATTCTCCTTTGCTTTTTGCTTTTATAGCAACCGTTTACCGCAACCGCAGTCCAAGAGCACGAAGAGAGCGGAAGAGAGAGCCCCAGAGAGCGGGAGCTCCATCATTTGCCCCACACAGTGGAAGAAGAAGCAGCAGGCGCTCTCTCGCCCAAAGGTCTGAATGGGATGGCCAATAAGTGGGAGAGTGGGAGAGGAGGAAAGTGGGAGAGCGGGAGTTGCCACCTGGACACCCGGATACCCTACCCTTGGTAATTCTAGCCTGCCAGAAACTAGAATGTTTGCATAGGATACGATAGTACGAAGAAATATCCTTTGTTATCAGGTATTAAATTTATTCGAATTAATGTTGCATATCTGAAAGTCCTTTAATCGGCTAAAATTAATTCATCAATTGACTAACTTGTCTCGTTTCAAGAGAAGCCAACTATATAAGTGCATGTACGTATGCTTCAATGGCGAAATTAAAAATTCGCATATAAATCTTGCGTGGGAGCCGTTCAATCATGACTACTACTCGAAAGTGAGTTCCTCGAACTGGGGCCTGCATCCCATCCCCCCGCCGAGTGCAAACTATTCCCAGCCTATTTGGAGGCAAACAGTTACTATCTGACGTAGTGTGAATGTACTTAGAGTGGGTGGAAGCTTCCAAAGCCAAAGTGTCTGTGGAAGTAGGTGTGCAAATGGCACTGTAAGCGGTCGTCGTGTTAACCGGTTCGAGATCAACGCTTCCTACCGTTTTAGGAATCGAGCTGAACGTTAGAGCGGTGCACAGTTGGTCGAATTGCTCACAAATCGGTGATATTATCTAAATATACTCATATTTCTTGCTTTTAAGTACACACCCAAAAAAAAATGATCATAGAAAGTAAACTATTTCTACATTAAAAGTAAACTATTGAGTGTCAAAAATTTCTCGATACTCTGAGTATTAAACTAATGGACTTCGAAAGTATAAAAATGAAACTTTCGAAGTTGTCAAGTTTAAACTAACGAGTATACAGTTTATACTCACTCAGTGTACTGAAATTCAGGCTGCTAGTTTATTTTGTATACTATTTAGATAATGCCAGTATAACTATTATACCCCCCGTATTAAAGAGACAAAATTTAAAAAATGTTGTTTTGTACTTTTCATATATTATAAAACATATTTTTTACATTTTTATAAATTACTGAAGGTAATTTTTAATTTAACGAATAATATATATACAATACATGTACAAAATATGTACGTATGTATGCATATTTGGGCAAATGCCGTTTTACCGCTTATGTCGCTGATCATCTCCAGAGTGAACGCCGTCCAGATGAATAACAAATCTTGGTCGAGGACGCTGATATTGAAGTTAACATTGCGCTGGCCGCGGTCAGAAAAAATGCAAGCCAATTGCAAGATCCTTAGTTTCCCGGCATCTGGAGCGCAATTCAAGGTGGTGTCAGTAAAAAGAAAAGAATTTACTCATTAGTTATGGACTAAGACACAATTTAAATGTACTTACATTTCAAATAAGCCCAAAATAAGCAAATATTAAAATTTTCACAAGTAATTTTCACAAACAAACCTTAAACAGACCGCAGCGTCGTTTACAAAATACACTAATGTAAAACCCTTAAAATACTAACGCGTCCGAATAGCATTAAAAAGCGGTAACACTTTTTCTGTTCGAAATGTCCAGGTTCCAAACCAGAGCATCCTGGCTTCACACCAGGAACGAAAACCGAAAACTTCGGTATAGAAATTAAACTCAGGACATAAACTTAACACTATTTAGTCTTAAGTTAACACTATTGAGTCTGCTCCTTACATTATTTAGTTTTAAATTAATACTGACAGTTTGATACTAGCTGTAGTATACTTTTAATACAACGCGTATTAACTGTAAACTTTCGGTTTTTTTTTTGGGTGCAATTGCACTGGCAAAAAACGAGTTAATGCAAGGTGACTGACATCATTTTGATATTAATCCCATATTTACATCCCGAGCTCATCATTATAAGACTTTAAATCGAGAAAGGCAATTCCGCCCAATGTGCAGAGTCGATAAATCCAAATATTCGACAGAGTGGGCGGCAAACGTTGGCGTCCCAGATGCACACAGAAAAAATATAGGTATAGTAAGTTATGATGTGAAATATACATTTTGAACAAGGAAATATGAAATATTTCATTTAAATTATAAAGTTAATATATTTCTCCAAGTGTGGCTATCCAAACTACCCACTCCGCCTCGGTTTGTTTGTAAACAAATGCAAAAATGACTCAGGCCTGTGACATTGGCAGTCATCTCCCGATTCCGATTCCGATTCCAACAGAGGTCCTTTTACGGAGCGGGAATAAAAATGAAATAAATGCGACCCGGTTACAAAGACCATTAAGTATTGCAACTACATAAGATATAAGATTAAGCGATGAAAAAACATTTGGTATACAATGTGCAATATGATTTTTCTTCTTTTGTATCGCCTATTTTTCATCCCAAATTCCATCGCGGGCAACGACAGTAGAGCCCCCCATCCAAATAATTATAGATTTAATCATGAATTACGAAAATAAAATGACAATCATCATCGGTGATCATCAACGCTGCCGCTGCGGCTGAGGTGTTTTCGCTGTCGTTTTCGTTTTCGTGATCGTTTTTATTTTTCACAGCGCCCACATGGACGCGACGGCCGCTAATGCCCCCTGTCCAAACAATAAACTCATTTTCATCAAAAATTTCGACCTTGAAGGCCCCAGAATCTCAACTAAGCCACGAAAATAACGGGGAGACAACGCATTTGCATCTTATATCTATATACAAATTTGCATCCACCATCATGCTGATCGTGGGTACTTATAAGTATATGAATATTAGATCTCTAGAGATTTGAAACCCCTTAAAAAGTAGCCTAAAAGGTGACTTCTGGAATTCAAATATAACGTAGCATACTTTTAGTTCACCTTTTTAGGTGTTTTCTTAAACTATTGTAACTTTCAGTATTAATCAGTTACATAAACGAAACGTTTTTATAACTTTTTAGTTAATTTAATTAAATTTACCTAGAAATCATAAATTTCATCTTAAGCTCACAAGACTACTTAACCGAATAAATAATAAAAAGAAAGGATTTAGAAAACAGTTTCGTTTGTGTTATTGTTCTGCCAAATATATCTATGCATACAGCTCTTGGGAAAACAAATTTTCCCCACGTCACCAGAATATTCGAAATAGAAACAGAACACAGAACAAGGGTATATGTATAAGTGCTCTAGTCATTTGCCGGCATGTCATCCCACTTCAACTCATCCAAATAGCAAATCCCAAAGCGAAACCCTCTTCCCCTCGCAGTCAGAAATCAATCAAAATTTGCCCGCGATGATTTAGCATGGAATTTTTGGCTGATGATGAGAGTTCAGTGTGTTCAGCTCACTAATTTTTCAGCTCGGGCAAATAGCAAATAGCGATCTCCTCCTGCGTGGGCGGCATCCATTGGCATTGGCTGCTTGACGACAGCATTAAAATATGTGTCAGCCCGAAAATTCAGAGGAGCAAGTGCTGTTAATATCCAAACAAAAGCAAGCTTTCGCCTATGTGGGTACATGAAAACACGACGTATACGTAATGCGTATACATACTATAGTTTTACGAGTGCAGCGTGTGTACAGCGGGTACATATTTAATTATAGGCGGAGAGATACACAAATTAGCAAAACCTTTAGGAATGCTCGGTGAAAATTGATTTATTTTATTGTCTACTACATCTTAAATCATACGAAATCAATGAGTAAGGGAAATGGTGAAAATATATGGACTTTCAGGGAGTCGTCGTGAATTCTCCATTGCATTGCGGCATATTTTTGGCATTTATGGATAGTGAAACCCGATGATATCATGGCGCATTGCATGATCTTCAAAACATGAGTCATCAAGGAGCAGCTGTAACTGTGTAATAAAACTTTTTCTTAAAAATATTGGAAAACGTTTAAGAATCTTCCGTTTAATCATAGGTAAATAATTTGCTAAACTCTTCACAGTAGGCAATCCCTCAAATATTGACATATTTCTAACTGAGATCTTTAATTTCTCTGAAAAAATCATCTGGTTATAAATTATCAGCAACACCAATTTGAATTTGGTATTTTTCTACATAGCTGCGCGCGCTTTTGGTATTTTTACCTGAATAACTATCGATACACTCCCCACCGATAGTTCCAGCAAAGCGGCCACCCTAATTTAGAGGTGGAAAAAGGCGCAATGTATCGATATTACGTGGGTGGTTAACCGAAATAGTATGCGTGTGTGTGTATATGTGGCTTCGGAGTATCGAGTAGGAAAATAAATAAATAAGTGCCAGTAAAAACCAGGAATTTCAGTAATAGATCTCGATTATCAAGTTCCCGCCAAGCGCCGCCGCCACCGCCATGTCCGCCTACTACAGCCACTACACGGGCGACAATTACGACGACGAGTCGATCGGCGACGAGCGCAGCGAAGAAGGTGAGTACACTGTACCAGGTTAAAGTTGCTCTGCGGGATTTACTTAACTTTAATTTTTCCCCTCCCACGCACTACTAATCCCCGCCAGACACGGACGACGCCAGCGAGACGGAGTTCCGCAGCCCCAGCCGCTACGGGAACACCAATGGCACCGCCAACAGCAACAGCCTGGGCACCAACAGCGAACTAAAGGAGCAGTAAGTGGGATACTCATCATGATATGATCACCTCCTAATCCCTAAATCATCCTATTACCAGAATGTACCAGCACAAGCTGCTCAATCTGCAGAAGCAAATGGAGGAGCTCAACCAACTGGTGCATCCGGAGTACACGAAGCGCGTGAAGAAGCTGGACAACCAGCTGAAGGAGCGGCGGCGGCTCAACGAGATCTACAAGGAGTACATGCGCGAGTGCGTCGAAAGGGACTATGTGCTGGAGAAGAAGGCCGCCCAGAAGGAGTATGACGAGAAGATGATGGATCTGAAGGACAATCTGATCTCGGATTTTGAGGATCGCAAGCGGCAGATCGAAAACGAGCGGTTTAGCTTGGAGTTGACGAATGATTCCATGGAAATCAAGACGACGGTGACGCGGAAGTTGCGGCGAAGGCCCAACGAACCGCTGCCGGTGATCGAGAAGCGGAGGAAACCGGCCACCGGGCAGCTGCTCGTCTACCAGCTGGACGACAAGGAGATCGAGTCGGATTTGAAGATCATCCAAAGGGGGAAACCCCTAGGACCGAATGCCCTGCTGCAGCAGAATGGCATCGGCTCTTATGGGGGTGGATCTGGACAGCAGCAGCCACAACAGCTGCAGCAGAATGTGCATGGAATGCTCTCGGATCCGCCGCCCAACAGCGGCTACGTGGAGACCCGAATCGAGGACAACAAGCTGCTGTACGAGCGCAGGTGGTTCTGCCGCGGCCAGCAGGTCTATGTGGAGGGCAAGGAGATGAGCAAGTTTGCGGCCACCATCACGGCAATTGGCAACGAAGTGGTGAGTTAACTACTTACCTTGAGAATCCCAGAAGTCATCTATATCTTTATTTAGGTCTGGGTGAAGCGGACGAACGAGTCGAAGGTCAAGATCAACATGTCCCATTTGGCCAAGGGCAAAATCTCCATTAAGCGGCGATAGCTCCGCCGTCGGGTCGGGCGATTCCTCCACATAACGCCCCACCCGCTGTCCCTATTGCGTTCGAGAGACACACTTTCATTACATTAAACCCTAGGCTTAAGCACAAAAGTAGACATAGACTAGCTGTACATTTCACTTAACGAGTATCCAAGATTGTATATAATAAAACCAACTTTATTTTGTAAAAAACATTTTTATTGAATGCCAGCTTTAGTATGACCTTGCTCGCCATTCGGTGAGATAATTAAAGCTTATCCATTGATATCACAAAGACAATTTTCCCTTGCATGGGAATTGCAGCTGGAAAAATTTAAGAGACCCAAAAATATATAAGCCATAATGTAATTCAATTCATTTTGGTTAAAAGAAAAAGTTGTTTATTTTATTGTTCTTTTAACAAATTCCATTATCCAATACTTTCTTCTTGGCCACGCTGCATTCTTGACAATCTTCCGGATTTCTGAAAATGATACAAGAATTAGTACACACTACACGTACTTACTTTGCCCAACACATATTTCATTTTCAAATAGTATTAATGGATTTTGACTTATTAACGCCCAGTTTTAATAGCAATTATAACTCCTATTAGTTGTGGGTAAATATCGTTTTACATATTAAACAAAAACAATTACTTTTGAAGGAAAAATAATGGAAACAAAAATAAGTTTGTACTTAAATGTGGAACTAAAAGCAAAACAAAAATCTAGATTAAATGTACTAATTAAAAGATCATTCTTTATAAATGAAAAAACTTGAATAAAATAAGTTACGACAGCGGATTGAATTTACAAAAGATGTATTTTCTGAATGGATCATAGTATATACAAGATACGATGCTAGAAACATAAGCTGAATCGAACCCTAAAACAGCGTTTTAAATTGAAGCTGAATTAAACAGTAGACCCTTAAACTTGTTGGTTTTTTAGATTGACAATCATTTAGTAAGAAATGAATACTTTTCAAACGCAAATAACTTAAATTCAAACTTATTTGAAGTGCTTAGGCAAAGCTTTTTATGATTTAAGTAGCCGATTCTATGGAATCTAAGTAATCCTTTTTCTATTATACGTTGAAATGGAATAAAACAAAACTTTCCTTAAAAAAAACTAAGAAGGAAGGAAGGATATTACTATTAATTCTAACTAAAACAGTCTACTATAATTCGATTTCTATAAAATAATCTTGAGAGCAGAATATTTGAATGTGGGGCCCTAACGAGCACATTTTTAGTCATAAGCGGAGGGTCTTTGCAAAATCTTCGTGATGATAGCCTATAAGAAAATGTCTATGAAGACTTTCTTATTCCCTATCAGAAATACATATTATTTGCTTCACTACATGGCCAACTTCTAACCAAAAAGACCACCAACTTTAGACCAACTTGGGCTTTTCAAATGGGCTTTTCTATTTGCACACCACAACAAAAAAAAAGGGGTAGCACGGTTTTCACTTGCGTTTGCTTTTTAATCAAATCGTCATATCATATAAAACACACACACATTTTTCGTTTTTTATGTTGTTGTTGAGGGATTTTGGATCTTCAGTTCAACATTTCCTTTACTGAGTTTGATTTTTATACATAAGAAAAAAAAGAAACCGAAGCGCATGGTGTGGTGTTTAGTTGCGGGATCCGCGTCCGAAGCCGCCGCGGAACTCGACCTCGCCGGCGCCGGGCCCAACGTCGCCCTTCTTGTCCACGCCGCTGCCGCCGGGAGCACGTCGGTAGGCGGAGCGATCCTCGCCGGTCTTGGAGGCGTCGCCGGGTCCGCGTGGACCGCCGGCGGCGGGACGGGGACGCACTGTCTCCGAGCGGGCAGGGCGCTTCAGGGTCGAGGGAACGATCTCGGGGGGCAGGTGGAGGTAGCTGCGCAGCTCCTCGATGCCCTCGTTGGTGAGGTACCAGTAGTAGTGGCGCCAGGCGAACTGCTCCTTCACAAGGCCGCGGGAATGCAGCGATTGGAGGGCCTTGATCACGTGCAGATTGGGGATCGACTCCAGCTCCGGGTGCTTCTGGGCATGGAAGTCCTTCTTGGCCACGATCACGCCCTCCTTGAAGAGGTACTCGTAGATCGCAACGCGATGGGCCTTTGGCATAAACATTCTGCACGGATTAAAAAAAAATTCAGGATTAGCTGGTTTCCATTTCATTTCGCACATTGTTTATCGGGTGTTAAGGGCACAGTAAAAAAATATATGCATGTGTATGTGTTCTTGGCGAAACAACATTGGGCGCACACACATTTCCCCGGTTTCCCAGTTTAACAACGTTTCGTTCCACGTCTGGTTTACCTGGATTTGTTTGCAAACACAAAGTTACACGAACGCGTTCTCCCGCTGCAAGTAGAAGAGAATTAGGGCTTTTAATTGAGGAATTTCGCCAAAAATATCGCGCAGCACACGGAGCACACGTACTCACCGAAAACGTGGTGGCAGAAAAGAAAAAGTTGAGGTTAGGGACAGAGGTGGACACATCGGACGCAGCCGATATGCCGCGATGGTTGTGTTCCTATCGATGGATCGATTGGATTTACAGGTAAAATTGCATTGGTGCGTATCTTTGCTAAACTTAAAATTGTGCACCAACTGACCGGTAAGTAAAATATACTTTAAACTTAAGAATATTTTTTTTTATACATTTTTGATTGACAAAAAGTAAGGGAGGGATGTGACCATCGATGAATCGATATTTATTTGGTCACAATCTATGGCTCAGATTCTCGCTGAAATCTAGCTTTTACGTTTTTGAGGCAGTTATTTTGAAATAATTAAATTCTATTTAAAATTAATTACCACAGGTGTGCTTTATTATTATTGTTTCATCGTTTAAGAGCGGCAAGAAGCTCAATCGATAGCGAAGTGCTGCCGGACTGCCGAGTATCGATTGTTTTTAGTTAATACACACACCATTTTTTTGCGAACAACATTTATCAATAGTTTATTGTTGCCGATAATCACAAATTATATTTTTATTAGCCAATTAGTAATATTAAAATCACACTAAAACACTTTTCCAATCGGAAAAATTAATGTTTTTTTTATTAAAGAATTAAAGAAATTATATAATTTACTCCTATGCATCCCTAGACATTATTCTTTTTTGGGCTCTTTATGTCTGCTTAGCGTTTTTGACTTGTATACCTTGTTCTTTGACTTCGCAAAGGCTGTCCGAACCTCCTTTGCATAATCTCCGAATGTGAATCCCTCCCTTTTTTGTGACTCTGCGGGTTAAAAGTTGAAAATAAAAATGATAAATTCGAAAAAGTGTCCTGAAACTTACCATACATAGCCATGTTTAAGTTTACGTAAGAATTGAGTCCCGTTTTTGAACACGTTCCTGCATAGTTCATATTCATGAGAAGTGACGTTGATAGAATTCTATTCAAGTGCTTTTGCACGCCCTCAGGTGCGAGGATGGTCCGGAACAGTTCAACCTATTTGTTTTAAATGAGTTAAGAAGAAATTCCAAATTTTCAATTGTTGAACTTACATATTTCTCGTGGTTTGCCGTTACTTCTGCTTCTATTTCATCCAGTTCTTCAAGGGACTTTATAGGAAACTCCGTTTTCGGAAGGCCAGCTTGAAATTTCTCTGAAATTTTATTCACTTTTGCCAGAATTTTGCTATTCTGGTCCACCAACATCGAAATCTGGGATTCTATTTTTTCAATTTTCCGCTCCATTCGAGCCACATTGGAATTGTCGGAGTTAAGATTTTGAACAAGTTGTTCAAATTGATTCTGACTAAGGCTGTTATTTAGGATAGTCGATTTATCGGGCAGAATATGATTTGATTCACAAATGGTATCTTGAACGAAATTGTCCGCTTCATTTGTATATTGAGGCTCATAATTGTCATCTGAAGTATTGACCTGCTCTGTCTCCTTTTTGGCCAATCGCCAAAGACTGGATCTAGACACTACATTCATTATGATTTTATGTTGTAGATGACTTTTCGGTATAAAGTTCACCCTTAAAGTCGGGTCCACCCTAGCGCCTGCAAACAGATGTTTTGGTACGGTAAAAATGCACACACATTTCATACTTACAATTTTCATTTCTTTGGTACTAACTATCCGTTTTTGTAAGCATCATAGATTAACTAATTAACTAATATGCATCGAAAACATAACAAACACTGAAGGGTTAAAGAAGTAACTCGTTTTTAAGCAGAACTCGCACGACCTGCAAATGCCAGCTGTAAATCCGAATTGAAATGCACGGAAAAATGAGTATCTCTTTCATGTGCTGCCTTCTGCTCTCTCTTTCGCCTCTCTCTCACTGCATTCCATACACATTCTATTGGATGCCAAGTTTGCATGTCTGCTGACATTTTGCCTTCAGAAAATACTAGAAAAGCACTGGAAAATACCAGTGATGACGGTTCGGCTTTTTCCAGCCATTTCGTATGTAATTATGTAAAATATGTAAAAAATAATATAAACTCTAAAGAAAGTCGCTTAGAAAATATAAATAAGAGAGAGTCCCTCGACTATAAAATACCCATTACTTAACTAAAGCAGTTTCGAGAGGATATTTCATTATTTGCCGATTACTTTTTAATAAATAGTTTGATTAAAAACATTTTTTAACCACATTGCTTAACGTACTATAAATATCTTAATCTATTAAAAAAAAAAAACTTATTTTAAAGAGCTTCGACATCCCTATTCCGGAAGGGGCGATTTTTTTTCGAGTGGCGGGTCAGATGACGTCTTGGACTTGGACTCCCCGGCTGGGAGATTGGTGACTGGCTTTTTAGTGGGCAGCAAGAGGCTCTCTAGATTACCAAAAGGTGCCTCAATCAGGATGTACGCGACAAAGGCCAGAAGCATGGTGAAACCAAAGTCGCCCCAGAAGCGAAGCATCTGTAAGAAGATTTGAGTTATTGGAGCTATTAATATGAAATATACAAAGAAGAATCGCCGTGTGCCCAATGCAAGATAGGCGTCTGAATCGTGAAATAGAGTATACAAAACATACCACATTGTAGTTACTGAAGTAGGTGTTGGTACGCGTAAGTCCGGCGTTGAGGCTCTCGATGAACATGTGGAATATGTAGGCGGAGTAGGAGAGCCTGGACATGGGCTGCCACAGGGGAGAGGAGAGGAAGCTATTGGCCAATCCTCCGTAGCCCTGCATGCAGGCAAAGATCACCCAGCAGAGGCCCAATGGCCAGGCCATCCGGCTGAAGGTCAGATAGAAGGCCTCCTCCAGAATGGGCGGTGCCTCCGATTCCCTGGCATAGCCGAAGACCGAAAACAGGCAGCTGAAGAGCAGCGTCAGGCTAACCAGCCAGCCCAAAGTGACTGCCAGGCGGTTGAGTTTGAAGGACCTGCCCCGGTTGACATGCAGGAAGTAGCCGAACATAATGCCAATGAGATACGGTGAGGTCCTCGTGTGCGTTGAGAAGTAGATCTTTTTCATCGAATCATCACCCACGTCAAGGCTATAGGAAAAGAGCTCCCAATAATATATCATAGATCAGTAGACTATAGAAATACTTACAGTGAAACGTTTTTGATCACCATCGTGCTGAAGAGACAAGCGGCCAGGAGGAGCATAAGCACAAAGATCCCAGCGATTGCCCTCCTTTTCCATTTGAAGAGACCGATCAGCAGTACGGGTGCAATGACGTAGAGCTGCATATCGACTGCGAGGTACCAGGAATGAGACAGGCACTTCAAGAAGATCGGAATTGGATATTGGATATAAGATATTATATTATGAATATTGGATCAAGAAGATCGGAATTGCATATTGGTTATTAGATATTATATTATGAATATTGGATCAAGAAGATCGGAATTGGATATAAGATATTATATTATGAATTTTGGATCAAGAAGATTGGAATCGGATATTGGATATAAAATATATAATTATGAATATTGGATCAAGAAGATTGGAATTGGATATTGGATGTAAGACATTATATTATGAATATTGGATCAAGAAGATCGGAATTGGATATAAGATATTATATTATGAATATTGGATCAAGAAGATCGGAATCGGATATTGGATAAATTATATTATATTATGAATATTGGATCAAGAAGATCGGAATTAGATATTGGATATAAGATATTATATTATGAATATTGGATCAGGAAGATTGGAATTGGATATTGGTTATTAGATATTAACTATTACAGAATCAAGAGCCTACCATTTTGTTGGTCGCATAGTTCTGGACATACAAAAGGGTCCAAAACCAGGTGCCCTCGCACACGGAGTAATCATCAAAGCTGACCTTTCCGTAGAGTGGACCATCGCCCATGCGGGGCAGGATCTTCATATAGACGATAATGGCCAAAGCGAGGACCGGTGTGAGACGCAAATAGCGATGCAAATACATCAAGGGCACATTCAGCTTGCCCTTGGTCCTGTCGATAGGGTGGATAAGAATCAGTAATCAATATTATCATTTACAATCTCCGGAAATCGGTAAAACATACCTTTCCATCGCTCGCAGGGCAATCACCACCAATAGAAGACCGCTCAGGAAGAAGAAAGTGTCGACCGAGTAAGCAGCATGCTGTATAAGCATGCTATACGCAGATTTGCGCCACTGTTACACGAAAATAAATCATTAAAAAGAAGATTTCATTAGGTAATAGGTATATAAGCTTACCCTGTTCATATCCACATAGTTCATATTGGGACCGAACACAAAGACCAGATATACGTGGCCGAAGACAACCCAGATGAAGGAGAGGCAACGGATTCCATGGAGGCAGTCTATGACATTCGGGTTGCTTTTGGGTTCCACCAAACGGAAGAGAACTCGACAGTTGGCACGCGCCGAGAAAGCCTTGATCCAGGCATTGAGGTTGTCTACCAAAGGGGTTTTCATGTTAAGTAATAGGATACAATATAATATAATACTCACTTTCATCCTGGCACCCTATGTAATCATACAGGGTGGACAGGGCCATTAGGGCACCCAGTATAGAAAGCACAACTCTGCAAATATTTGGATGATCTTTTGAACTTCACTAAACCCATTTTCAGGATGCTTCACTTACATGGTGAATATGGTGAGGCCATCGTAGGGTTCGCGTTCATTAGTCTTGCACGTACTCTCCCTCACCAGTGGCACATCCGGATTTAATTCGATGTTGAGGAGATTCTGCAATAATCTACGCAACATCGTATCCATGTGGGCGGTGGAACAGGAGGCGGGAAAGCAGACCGCCGTCTTCAGGGCCAAGTAGGTGGAAATACTGGGCGCCACTTCAAACCTGGCCAGGCAGTACTTTCCCTGAACCCTGCGACTGCTGTTAGCTACAGGGTGATCTATGCCCAGGCACTCGTCAAAGTTTCCCAGGTCTATCAGATTGCCAGACAAAATTCCCGAAGGCAGCGAGCCCCACGAGTCAATCACTGCAAGGTAAGAAGAAAATTTGTATTAATTTCATTAAAAAAAAAAAAATAAAAAAAATAAATTTTAATTTATAACTTACTTTTTAAGGCCCATATCTTGGCTGTCGACACATCGCTCGCCACTGTTTGGAGATCTGCCAGGCATTTAAGATCCTCGACAGAAGTTAGTCGTATGTTCTGATCGCCATACAGATCCTGTGACAGATCGGCAATCGTTAGGTTCTGATATTCGTCGAAGAACTCCACTGCCAGGCGTCTGAGTCTGGAAATGCTCTGGTAGGATTCCCCTGAAGAGTCCAAAGATGAGTCCTTTGGGATCTCTGGATTGATACTGGCATAACTGAGATGGATAGCCAGCACCAGGAAGAAAAACAGGAGCGGAATAGTTTGTCCAGTGGTGTTGACCATGTTGACTGGTCTGTTGTTAACAATAAATTGGTTGGGCTAGCAATGTGGACGAGCTTATATATCAAAGGCCGTGGGACTTTCGATAAGGAAAAGGCTTGGATTTTACAAGTGCTATAATCGTGGGTTCTTTGGAATCTTAGCTTTCGCTTCATAATCTCTGTGCAGTTGCTCCAATCAATGTCACGGTCAACACATGGGATATTCACCACTACGGACAAAGTACACAGCCCTGCACCAAAGTTATCTTCGAATAGTAACTTACTTGATCCGATTTAGCCGATTCGGGCGATTAAACCGAAGCCATAAACGTAGTCTAGACGAAAGAAGACCAATTAGTGGAAATATTTTGGACAAAAAAAAAAATTGAAGTGGTGTTTTGGTGGAACTATGAAAGACAATCTTTTGAAACGGAATTTAGGCTATAACATGGAGTTTGACCTATTTTAGATTCCTTGAATAACATTTTGATTTCGGGGTTCAAAACCGACAGTGAAAGGAAATGTGGTATTAAAAAAGTGTGCAGCAAAACTAAATCCTGGATCCGCTACTGGCTTAAATTATGCTAATCTGCTGAGCTGCCATGACATTTGCAATAGTAGTTGTAGAACTAAAGTCCAAGTCATATATTTGTGTTAACAGTTTCATTACAAGAAGTTCTATCAATTAAAGTTAGGAACGCTGTAATATTTTTACATTGTTGATACGATGACTTTATCTTTTCCGTTTTCTTATAATCTCGTTTAATCGCCGATCTTATTCCGCCTTTTCAAAAGAAAACCCGTTTAGTGGAAATTTCGATTATCTGGCGATTAAAGTACGATTGCCCAGTTTTCATTATAGCCCCTACAGCATATGCAATCAAAATGACTATGCAAAGCAAATCAGTTCCCCGAACAATATACTTGAGCTGCTTAAGCGGAATTGTTGTTTTGGCCACCGATAAGCGGGAATAACAATGCTACTTAACGGCATTTACGGGCTAATTCGATTCTTTCGGGGCGATGCCAATCAACCGAGGCGGCCTTCTTCGAAATTAGTCATTGATAATAGCAGACAGTTCGCCTAAACAATCTTCAAGTGCTCGTTCGAGTCACCTAGCAGAGCGATAATGTGCAGATTCGTTGGGGAGACAGCCGTATTACTCAGAAACAAACAGCTGTAGGCTAAGTATTCGCCCCGTTATCAATAAGTGTGTCGATGGTGATGGTGTTATTTTAAGTCGTCCGCCGATCAAAGGGTAATAACCAGATTTATTGGTATCCCAAAGTGACAAAGAGATACAAGAAATACCACCTGATTTTCATATCATTTAAAAAAAAAAAAAAAATTCCTAATAAAAAAAAAGTTTTTAACTTCAAGGAAGATTACCAAATATCTATGTGGAAAATCTAAGCATTGTTAAGCGACTTGACCGATCAAAGGGTAATAACCAGTTTTATTGGTATCCCAAAGTGACATAGAGAAACAAGATATCCCATCCTAATTTTCCTATCCTATTAAAAAAAAAAAAAATTTTAACTTCAAGGAAGATTACCAAATATCTTTGTGAAAAATCTGAAGATTGTCAAGCGACTTGACCGATCAAAGGGTAATACCCAGTTTTATTGGTATCTCCAAGTGACAAAGAGAAACAAGATATACCTCCTGATTTTCATATCAAATGAAAAAAAAAAAAATTCTCAATAAAAAAAAATGTAGCTTCAAGAAAGATTACCAAACATCTATGTGGAAAATCTGAAGATTGTTAAACGACCCGACCAAAGTAGCAACCCAAATCCACTAGATCAGGGGAGATAAGAACCCAAAGGAATATGGTAAGGAATGACTTCCTATCAGCATACCGAACGTGTGGGGGCGACTTCAAGTAGCCGTCACGTTCAGAAGTTTTGTGTTAGAGATAAGCTGTAAAGTATAGCGATTTCCCGCCTTGACGTGACAGAGTCTGAGGTTTTGTGTAAAGATAGCATCCAGCCAATAATCGCTAGTGGAGGGTCTCTGACATATAAACACCTGTTTAGTGCTAGCCACCCAATGAATTCGAATTCACCACTAGACCGAGCAACATGGTTAGGCTGTCGATGATGGCCCTCTGGCTGGGCTCCTTGGCTTTGACCTTGGCGAGCGTTAATGCCAACATTACCAACATATTTGCCCTGACCAACAAGAAATATCTCAGTGAAACCCTAGACGCCGATCATTATTTGGCCTTTGCCCAGCTTAGAAGCCTGGCAGTGGAGTTCTTCGACCACTATTCGAATGTAACGCTGGCGGATCTGCATTTAAACGAGAGACTGCCCACGCTTCAGGATCTTGAGTGCCTAGCGGACCTGGCTCTCCTTTCTAAGGATCTGGCCTCCTCCAAGTACTGGGCATTAAAGAGTAAGTGCAGGGATTACCCATTACCCCTAGAAACCCCTAGTTAACCCCTTGGATCCCCTTGTGCAGTGATCGACTCCTGGGGTCTGTTGCCCTCGGGCGTGCTCGTGGGAAACTGGTGGAACCTAGGGAATTTCGACGAGTGCATTGGCATAGACCACGCGGTGACCTCGACTCACAGTGTCCAGGGCAAGTACTGCTTCACCAAGTTGGCCTTGGCCCCTGGAATCTCCTCAAGGCTGGTCATCAAGTCAGCGGTCTGCTTTCCCGCCTCCTGTTCCGCCGCTCACATGGACACCATGCTGCGAAGACTCTTCAAATCGCTCCTCAGCGTGGAGATATCTACAGATGTTCAACTGGTGGACGAGGCTACGTGTCAGACGGCGGAGGAGAAGGAATACGATGGACTCACCATATTCACCATGTAAGTAGAGAAACCCAGGGAGATCTAAGCATCTTCGAGAACAGCTTGTTCTTGAAATCAAGCGAAAGTGCTCTCTAATTGACCTTTAAGTGAAGTGAAGTACTTCAATCTTAAGTTTATGTGTACTTGCAGAGTCATCCTGTCGATATTGGCTGCTCTTGTGGGTCTCTCCACGCTCTACGACTACTTTCTTTGTCGGGATGAGAGTGAGTATTTCCCGGAAGAACCTTAATTGTAACTAAGTATCGCTAATCTGCAGTTCTACCTTTTAGAAAGCCTTAATCCCGTGGTCAAGGCCTTCTCGGCACGGGCCAATTCGCGAGCTCTCTTCCGCCTGGTGGACAACAAGGCGAATCCCAATGTCATCGACTGTCTCCATGGCATCCGCTGTCTTTCGTTCATCTGGGTGGTTTACTGCCATGACTACCTCATCTTTGCCATGTCACCGAACATTAATATGGGCGTTGTTTTGACGGTAAGTTGAGTGAACTTGAAACTGAGGCTGAAAGATTCTAATGCCACTAATGCTTAGTGGATTGACTCCTTCTACAGTCTGTTTGTGAAACATGGCGTCTATGCCGTGGACACATTCTTCTTCTTGAGTGGACTATTACTCGTGGTGATTGCTCTGCGTTCGATGGACAAGTAAGCTTCTAATATTTTTTCCTAATAACCCTAACTCTATTGGAACTTTTCTTTCTCTCAAGAACCAAGGGAAAACTGAACATACCCATGATGTACCTACATCGGTATCTTCGACTCACTCCCCTCCTGGCCTTCGCCATCCTCATCTACATGAAGATTCTGCCAATTATGGGAAGCGGTCCCTTGCATGGATCGGTGAACTTTGATGACTACACATCGTGCGAAGATACCTGGTGGATGACCCTCTTGTATGTGCAAAACGTGGCCACGAATCGCCTGGTGGGTTATTGAGTTCTCTGATCTCTTTAACCAAATTATGAGTGTCTTCCCCGTAGTGCATTAGTCATTCCTGGTACCTGGCCGTCGACATGCAGCTGTACATCTTCGCACCCTTCCTCCTGATCGCTTTGTACCGATGGGGCAAGAAGGCGGCCGCCGGCATCTTCATCCTCATGATGCTCTTGGCCTGCTGTCTCTTCAGCATCATGGTCATCAACAATCTATCACTGTAAGTCATGAGGTAAGGCTTCTTAATAGATCCCAATTAACTTTATATATACTTTTCTTAGGGGAGCCCAAGGTGATGAAGCGATGAGGAAGCTCTACTATGCCACAAACACCCGAGCGTCGCCCTATCTCATTGGCATCCTATTCGGGTACTTCCTGCACTTGAATCGCGGCAAGGACTTCAAGTTAAGCAGGATTACAGTGATCTTTGGCTGGCTAATTGGCCTGTCGCTGATCGCCACCTGCCAGTTTGCGGTCTACGGTCAGAACACCCTGCCCATTGTGGAGGAGGCCTTCTATGTGACCCTCACCAGGATTGCCTGGCCATTGGGCCTCTGCTGGGTGGTCTTTGCCTGCATGCACGGCTACGGAGGACTGGCTAATAGCTTTCTCTCCTCACCCCTGTGGCAACCCATGTCCAGGCTCTCCTACTCCGCCTATATATTCCACATGTTCATCGAGGGCCTGAACGGGGGCAATACGCAGACCAGCACCTACTTCAGTGACTACCAAGTGGTAAGTTCATATGGTAACCTAACCTAGATGACCATTATAAGGACCTTTCTTCCTCAGATGCTTCGTTTCTGGTCAGACTTTGGCTTCACCATGCTCTTCTCCTACCTCATGTACATACTGATCGAGGCGCCTTTTGCCGGTCTGGAAGGTCTCCTGTTGCCCGCTAAGAGGCCAAGTTCTTCGAAGCTGGCGGTTCCTCAGCCGCAGGTTGCAGAGCTGAAGACATCAGCCGACGAATCTCCAGTGGAGGAACCTAAGGAAGCATCCACCACGGTTGAAGAAATTCCTGCACCTGGACCTGAAAAGAATTCAGTTTAATTATCTTTTTTTTTGTAGCCTTATAAGTAATAGAAGAATAGTAAATAAAAAAGTAGTCTTAACAAAGAAAAATATTTACAACAAGCATTTTAACCTTCTTAAATCTACTAAAATTGATTCAGTATATAAATTAAATCTAAATTGAATAGGATGCATGTACTTGGGGCTTTTAAAAAATCGATCTTGGAAAACAGTGTTTAATATTATAGCCTCAAAGGAAAGAAATCAACAGAGTAAAGAATTTAATGCTTCCTTTTTCGCATTTTCTTGGGGTATATTAAGTTTAGTTTACTTTAAGATCAATGAAACAGTTTGAAACAGGAAGATAGGACTATACCATTTTCTCATTTTATAAACCACCAATCTAAAGTTTTGCATCTCTTCAATGAGTCACATGTTTAATGACCATTACACCAATCCTAAGTCGACGCCTCACTTAATGACTTATAATTTACACCAATCTCAAGTTGGGCCAACCCCCCAATGACTCATATCAAATCGTATGCACTTTGGTAGCGATAAGCGAAAAAGTCGATGAACGATTTGATTGTACGGCCTTTCAGCTCAAGTCCTTGAAACCCATTGAAACATTTGGACGGTTGGGATTACACTATGTCTAGATTCTAGATTACTAGTAGGTGGTTTTTAATAAAGATTAAATAGGAACTGATAGAGTGCTTATTTTCTAATTAAGTTTTATGACTCGAGGTCTGTTTTTGTGAGGTTTTCCGGGTTAGCCTGCTCTACCTCCTTGATCTCTATTCGCACCTCAGGTTTCGGAGGTGAGCTCCTTCGATTGGGGAACATCATTCTCTCCAGGCCCTCCAGTGGAGCCTCAATGGCAACGTAGAGAACATAGGACATTAGAAGGGTGAAGCCAAAAGTGGACCAAAAGTTGAGCATCTATGGAAAAGGAGATTGAGAAGGTAAAGCCACCTAAGCTTAAGTTTGATCTTCAGCAATAACTACTTACCACATCGTAGTTGGAGAAGTAGGTGTTCGAGCGAATGCGTCGGTTGTTCACCTCCTGGATGAAGATGTGCCAGATGTAGGCGGAGTAGGAGAGCTTCGAGAGGGGCTGCCATAGGGGCGAGGACAGGAAGCTGTTGGCCAGACCCCCATAACCCTTCGTACAGGCGAAGACCACCCAGCAGAGGGCCAGGGGCCAGCCCACTCGGCACAGGGTGTAGTAGAGGGCTCCCTCCAAGACGGTGGGCGAGGAGCCCAGCAGCTTGGCATAGGGGAACAGGGCGAAGATCGCGGTGAACATCATGGCCAGGCAGAGCAGCCAACCTGACCAGACTGCCAATCGATTCAACTGGAGTTTCCTACCGCTTATCAGGTGCAGGAAGTAGCCGAAGATTGTGCCAATCAACCAGGGAGCCGCATGCGTATGTGTATAGTAGTAGATCTTCTTCTGGACCTCTGGCACCTGTCCACCATCCCTGCAGAAAGAAGAATAGGATATCAAAATGATAGGTAGTTGGGGATCCCAGGCAAACCTACTTGAACATAATCTTGTAGTCATTCGTCATTATGGTGGCAAACAGGCAGGCGGAGAGTAGCAGCATCAGCAGAAGGACACCTGCGGCTCCCTTCTTGCCCCACTTGTAGAGGACAATCAGGAGGATGGGTGAGAAGAGGTACAGTTGCATATCCACCGCGAGATACCAGGTGTGTGGCAGACACATATCGTTGGTGGCATAGTTCTGGACGTAGAGTAGTGTCAAATACCAGGTACTCTCGCATGTGGAGTAGTCAAAGAACCCGGTGCTATCGTACATGGGACCATCGGCGAAGAGGGGTAGTAACTTGAGGTAGACCAGCATGGCAACGGCTACGATGGGAGTGAGGCGAAGATACCTATGCAGATACATCAGCGGCACGTTCAATTTTCCCTGGGTTCTGGAAATAGGATGATCTAGATTTAAGAGCCTGATATCTAGAGTTTCGAACTCACTTCTCCAGGGCCCTCAGACCAATGGCCACCAATAGCAGACCGCTGATGAAGAAGAAAGTGTCCACCGAGAACGGAGCGTAGAGTATAAAGCTGGTGAAGGCCTGCTGCATCCATCTTAGGTTATCCCCCCGATTTATGGCCGGCGCCTTCAGGCTGATGATGTACTCATGGCCCAGGATTACCCAGATTAGCGAAATGCAGCGCATGCCATTCAGGCAATGGATTACATTGGGACTCTTCTTAATATCCGCCAAGGTGAAGAGGTTACGTGAAGTCGCTCGGGCTGAGAAGGCCTTTATAAGATGGGGAATTTTATCTGCAAGATATTATGATTATTACCATTTCGAGAGACCTAGAATCCAATTACTCACCCTGCTCCGGGCAGCAAAAGTAATCGTACAAAGTGCAACCAATCACCGTAGTAGCAAACGCAGACATTAGAACACTAGAAGATTCAAGGGGTTAGTTTAAATAGTATACTCATCACCATCATCACTACTCACATGGTAAATATGGTTAGGCCATCCCAGGCTTCAGTCTCCTTAACCTTGCACGTCTCTTCGCTGATGGAGAACAAATTGCTTGGATCGGAGACGCCCAGAATTCGTTGGAAGAGTTGCTTCAGGAAGGTCTCCATTACACTAGCTGAACAGGAGGAGGGAAAGCACAGGGCAGTCTTCATGTTGGTCACCTTGAGAAGGTCCGCCGTGAGGCCCAGCCACTTGTAGATGGGCAGCTCCATGAAGCAGTACTTTCCCTGGATGCTGTGCGTCTCACTAATGGTACTGTCCACCCGAAGACACTCCTCGTAGTTTCCCATATCGACGAGGTTGCCGAACAGGTAGCCCGAGGGGATCGAACCCCAGGCATCAATCACTGTAGGTTAGGGTTATAGAAAATATAGTATCCAAATGTAGATATATACCCACTTTTAAGAGCCCAAAACTGGCCGGAGGTAAGGCCCCCCATAAACTGAGCCAAATCGGCCAGGCAAACGAGATCCTGCTGATCGAATCGCCCATCGAGGAGATGTACATCCTTTGCCGAGATATTCCGGAACTCGCGAAAGAACTCCATTCCCAGGGAGCGCAGCTCCATCAGGCGTTCGTAGTCCTCCATTGAGGAGGAGACTCCATATTCTCCGGCCTTCAAGAGGACATCCTGAGTTGGCAAAGCTCCTTGGGCCACCGCCAATCCAACGATTAGCAGAGCTACTCTAATCATCCTTCCTTTGGTTACCTCCATTTACGACTGTTTTACTATTCGCCCTTCGATGGCCCATTTATATACAGTGAAACCCAATGTTATCCCCCGAATCGCGGAATCTTTATCTCTCATGTCCGACAAGTTACTACGAATAGATAAAGTGCTCTGCTTTTAGACCACTGCGTGTATTTCGAACAGTTCCCAATAATCACAGTCAGGGTACGGACCTTGGTCGATCGGTATTATTATTTGGGAACTTGGGAAAATACCAGTCGAGATAAGCCCGGTTGTTTAGAACCCATTTAAATTAGTTTATATTTTGAATTTTTGGAGAACGGTTAGAGTTAACATCTCCCAATTTCCGAAACCCGATTGCACTTTTAATGATGTTATAATATATTAAAATTGTGCAATGCTGATATAGTTTAAATAGGAAGCCTAAAAGCTCTTACTTTCTGCAGAAACCAGATTTATTCGGTCAGCTTCAAATTACTGCTGCTATTAATTGACCTATAATTTAAAATGGCAGCTGTTTCGCGTGTTTTATAATCGATTTATGTGGTCCACCAAGCAAATTGTCTGTCGGCTGTCTGTCGTTTTGTTGTTCGGTGCGTTTCCGACAATTGAAGACTAAACGCCAGTGTCTTGGGCATCGAAAATAATTATATATCTTTTTTTTTATTTAATATCCTGTTACGTTTGGTGCGAAATGGAAATTGAAACGAGTTTTCACTTTTGTCTAGGCTAGATTCCCAGCCGAAAAGCAGAAAAGCCGAGGGGAGTGGATCGATCAGACAGGTTTCCATACGCATTTTGGACCAGATTCACATTTCTTGGTTGCGTAACCCATCAAGGTTAAAACAAGACAGAATGCTATAGGCAAATTAAACGACTAATTGATCTATAAGGATTAGGCAAGTATGGTGGCTATCGTAATGGACTATAAATCAATTGATTCCGAAAAAGTTAGCTTTATATTTCCAAGAAATCAAAAGAACTGCATATATCGAATCATTAGACTCATATCGAATCATTATCGAATCACTGCCTTCAAAAAACTTGAATATATTTATCAAACAGCCGGAGGAGATTCAGATATTCTCAGATTTTTCAACTTCTTGCTTTCGGCTTTTGAAAAAGTGCAAGTTTGGCACATGTGGGCCAACTAGTCAAGCCAATGTCTTATTTGCATACAAAACTGCCACAACATACAAACTGAAGGCAGTCAAAATTTTCGTCAAATCTTTTTGAAAACTCATGGCCCAAACTGGAAACCAGTTTCCACCAATGCGAATTGAAAGCGAGAGGTTACAATTGTCCCAGCCCCATGGACCCATTCAATCCATTTAATGTGAGCTAGGAAAATATTGTTGCGCCAATACTTGTGAAAAAGCCAACGCTGTTAATTACTGTGGAAATGATTAAATATATCGCGAAAATCAAATTCAACAGCCGCAGTTGCTGGACTAAAATTGAAATTCATATTATTATGAGAGCAACTCGTGACAGCCCCTTTTTCGGCATAGTGGGTCTATAGTCAGCAAAAGTCCATGATTCCCAAATAAAGGTTTATTTTGTCATTAAATCATAAATACAAATGAAAAGTTATATTCCCTAAATTATGCATAATAGTTAATTCTAAAAGAAAATAGTTAAAATAAAAATAGCTTGTTGTTTGCTTACTCATCTAGTAATTATTTCGGAGAATGTAGACTAATCAGAAATCAGTTAAAGAGGTATTACAAAAAGGGCGATAATCTGGGCAATCGTAATCGTAATACCTTGAAAATACTTGTACTTTTATGAGCTTTACGCAAAACAAGTGTATTTCCGATTAGGATTACTACTTTTATCAAATGATGAAAGACATTTTTATTAGGAACTCTAAATTTTTCATAGAATTAATGTATAACAGTAGTATCTACATACCTACAGATCTACCAAATAGAGCTTAGATGATAGTTGGTGATTGGTGAGTTTTTCGAAGTGCCGTATGCAGTTCCACGGTGCGTTTCAAGCTCACCTCTTGAAATGCACTGGCCGGTAAGCATTATGCATAGTTTGTGCTGCACTTACGATCTATAAACTGCCGCGCAAAAAGTAGTGCAAAAGTAATTGTTGCCACGCACTGAGTCGCAGTCTGGGGCTCTGCGATTACGAGATCCAGACATCTACAGCTAACAAAGTCTAACCCGTCTAACTAGTTGATTTTGGGGCACTTAATCCGCGACGCCCAGGCATTATGCTCCGCCCGAGTAAAGTCAGGCGGCTGTGGCGCTGACCACTGGCAGTTCTGATTGGAACGGCCTTCCGAGCGGTACGGCCAGCGGTACAGATTCCTGATATCCCGAGATCCTTCAGGATGTTACGATATTGGCTCCTCCTCCTCTTCCTGGCCTTCCTGCTAATAGGAGATCTCTCGGCTCTCCGAGATCTGCAGGATCCCCATCAGGTCCTTAGCCAGGACTCCAGTGGATCACGGGAGAAGCGCGGCACAGTCACCCTGGACTTTGGCCTCCTCCTTCGCAATCTGCTCTTGAAGAGCGCCCAGTTGTCCTCGGCCAAGGCCAATCTGGTGCGGACCACTCGTCGTCCTCCAATGACGACAACGACCACGCCTCCTCCGCCTCCGCCGCCGCCTCCTCCGCAGCGCAGTCGTCGACCCATTTGGCATCCGTTCTTCAGTTCCGGCTTTCTGCCTTTGGACTATGACTACGCTGATCCTCCAGCGGCAGGACCTCCGGCTCCTCCGCCACCACCACCTCCTCCGCAACCAACTAGAAGGCCAGTTCGACCGCCAGTAAGACCACGTCCTCGTCCTCCGACGACGACGGCTCCTCCACCGCCACCGCCTCCGCCGAACTATGACTACGACTATGACTACGATGCTCCGCCAGCTGCGCCCACAGCGGCACCACCGCCTCCTCCTCCGCCTCCTGCTCCCCGCCCAAGGCCACGCCCACGCCCCCGCCCACCGCAGCCACAACAGCTGGGGGATCGGCTAATCTATCAGTACGCACAACCTACTGGTAAAATACGAAACCTTTTAACTAACTGCCGTACAATTGGGTTCTCTCCGACACTTTGCAGATACCTTCTTTAGGTCGCGTTCCGCGGAGGAGGCGGCGGCAGCACAACCGGATGATACAGATACTGGTGCTAATGCAGATTTAGATACGGATGCTGGAGCCCCACCCCCCGATCCCCCCGCTCCAACTGGCCCCCGGTTTTTGGTCAACTACGAGAGCGACAGCGACTTTGGGCAGCAGGTTCAGGATCAGGAACAGGAACCGCCTGCAGGATCAGCTAGACCATCACCATCATCCCAAGGCTATTTCCAGCAACTCGACTTTGGCAGCCTCGGCAATCTCAATCGCTTCCCGACTCCCAATCAGCAGCAGTACTTCTACAACTAAGCGGTATAGTTTCTTATTTTACCCCCTATGTGGCAAGTGGCCAGTGGCAAGTGGCAATGAAATGGAAAGTCACTGTTTCGGAATATTATAGCTATTGCAGTGATTGCTTAAAATCAGCCGTAAACTAGTAATATAAGTGTACTTTTTTTTATACCCAATTTGCATAGTGGTAAATTATAATTGAAATAAAGTAATGTTCAAATGTCTGAAAAACGGTGAATTTTTAATAGATTAGGTGTTTCATATCTGCTAGTAAAACTTACATTAATTTTTAAATTTTCCCGCTCAAAAATCCCACCGATTAAAAGATAACGATGTATCGATAGGTTGTTGTCCTCGCTAACTAAGAGAAGACACCAACCGATTAATCTATGAAAAGATACCTTTATCGATAGGTACGTGTCCTAGCTAACTAAGAGAAGACACCAACCGATACACATACACAAGTATTTTATCTATCGATAGGTGCATGCCCTCGCTAACTTAGCGACGACACCAACCGATTCGTTAGTGAGACCGTTCCTGTGCAAACATCGATAGCCGCCATCGCTGCCCGGCCACCTCTAGTTATTGACCGATATATCGATAGCCGGGCATATCGATGACTGTTTAAAGCAAGAAAACGAGTGAAGAAAATCTGTAAAATCGTCGTTATATATAATACATGGTAGATGGGATCCTCGGCGTTCCCCTAAAACTCTCGCTCGCCCCTCGAGATGCGTAGCAAGTGCGGAAGTGTGAACGCAACGCGTGTGCAGTGCAGGGCAACGATTCCCATTCCCAATCGCAGCAGGCGTGAAGAAAGCGACGCATGAGGAAAAATGCATACAGATGCGAAAACCAAGAGCCAGCCGCGCTGATAAACAAGCAAGCACTAATTAATTGCCAAATGTAAGCCACCGAATGCAGAAAGTCGTCATATTATGTTGTTTTTTCGCCAGATTTATGCATTTTCCACTGTCTCTCCATCCCTGTGTGCGTGTACGTCTGTCTGTGTTGGTTCGCTGAGTGCTGAGTGTGTGTGTGTGTGTGCACACTGTTCTTTTTCGCGTTTGCGTTTTGGCCAATTAATGCGAATTTTGTGTCGTCCGCCCAGTGAATTGATTATTTAACGGTATAACACCTTCGGTGCATCAGTTTTCCGGTGGAAATTCCCAACAAACAGTTGGAGTTTGCGGATTCGGAACTAAAGTGCGACGACTCCCCTTAATGGGCGAGAAAGAGATAGCACGTGTCCGTGCGTTGCAATTGTGTGTGTATTTGTCTGCTCCCCGACGAGCGTGAGCGTGTGTGTGTGTGCGGCGGTGTGCAAGCAAAACAAAATTAGGCGATTCAAAACAGTTGCAAAATGCAAAATACGGCACTCGAAATACCAGTCATTTTCCGCAAATTGGCCACTAAAATCAGTTACTAATTGGCCGCCCGCAAGAGGGAAAACAAGTGGCGCAGCATCATCACTTTTGTGGGTTTTTTTTTTTGTTACGCCTTTCTGTGTGTGGCTGGGTCCGCACCCAAAAAAAGGCAAGCGAGAGCCACATAGAATCAAATTCGGAACCAAAGAAGAATTCCCTGTTTTCCGCAAAACAAAAGCAGCCCAAGCCCCAGAAAAAAGCACGAATTGAATTGAATTTGTGTCGCCCGAAATGCAAAACAACAAGCAGCCAAACCGCACATACATATGTATGTCTAGCGCTGTGTGCGTGAGCGACATGGCTGCTCATGTACATGTATATATGTGCATGACATGTCATGACTTGTGCACTGTGTGCAAGTGTGTGGCTATGAAAAATAGGCGTGTTTCTGTTTCTGTGTTTCGTTTCGCGTCGCAAGTAAATAATTGCAGTCGCAAAACAACAGCGGCTGGCTATATACGATATACCCGGGCGATATACCCAAGCTGCGAGTGAAAAGCCGGAGATCCGCGTCTTTGGCCGGCGGATATCCGCAGACGCCCGCAAAACGCCTCCGCATATACGTATGTATGTATGTGTGTATGTGCGTTGCGGATTCGCAACAGCGACAAATGCAACCCCTTCGGTGCCGTTACTCCTGGCCAGCAGGGTTCGGTCATAACGACTAATGAATACCCTGCAGCACGTGTCAATATCCTGCGAGTCTTGCCAACTTGCCAGCCAAAAGATCCCCTACACACGATCCCCGCACGTGTGCATCCCCTACCCCACCCACTCAGTTACTCAGCCAAAAAAAAAAAAAAAAAAACTAAACAAATAAACAGCAACTGCTTTAATCACATCCCTAAAAACAAGAACACCCCCAGAAAACAGTTCTCTCTATCCAAAACTGACCAAAAAGCAGCTGACATGTTGGTAACAACCTGGGGCCCAAGGAAAATAGCCATAAAAGAGGGGCCAGCAGTAAAAATATTTGCGATAAGACTCGTGCTGCGTGTGGAATGCTGAATTCTGAATGATTTGTACTGTATATTTGTGTGTGTTTGTGTGAAGGCGTGAATCACTTGATCGATTTGGTGATAGTCGTCGGCTTTTTGGCTTTTCCAGTCCATCTTTCTGTCTTCCTGTCTTTGAAAACCCCTCAACCCCTCTTATTAACCAGTATTTCACACCGAAATTCCCAAGTAAAAAAAACCTCCAAAAATCTCGAGCCCCTTTTATGAAATAAAGTGACTAAGTGTCTGGAAATGGTTTTTGGCTTTTCCAGTCCATCCAACCATCCATCCGTCTGTCTGTCTTTTTGTCTTCCTGTCCCTGAAAACCCCGCCACCCCTCTTATTTACCAGTATTTCAGATCGAAATCCCCAAGTACAAAAAACCTCCAAAAATCTCGAGCCCCTTTTATGAAATGAAATGACTAAGTGACTGGCACAGAATGTGACTGACTAACCGGAATAACCTTCTTTTTTTCATACAGACCTTCTGTAAGATACAGCACAGCAGGAAGAGAAGTAGGAGACCAGGAGAAGGAGCAGGAGCAGGAGCACGACGTCTGGGGACTAGAGAGCATGAGAGACAGCCATGCCTTCGGCACGACCTGGTAGTCTCAAGGATCCGGAAATAGCCGACCTGTTCAACAAGCATGACCCGGAGAAGATCTTCGAGGATCTGCGCGAGATCGGCCATGGGTCGTTCGGTGCGGTCTACTATGCCCGCTGCAATCTCACCAAGGAGATTGTGGCCATCAAGAAGATGTCCTACACGGGCAAGCAGAGCCAGGAGAAGTGGCAGGACATACTCAAAGAGATACGGTTTGTTATAATAATATAAAATATTATAATTTCATATAATTAATCCTAATCCTTTACAGCTTCCTTCGCCAATTGAACCACCCCAATACCATCGAATACAAGGGCTGCTATCTGCGCGAGTCGACCGCCTGGCTGGTGATGGAATACTGCGTGGGCTCCGCCTCGGACATCATCGAGGTGCACAAGAAGCCGCTGCACGAGGACGAGATCGCCGCCATCTGCCTGGGCGTGCTAAGTGGGCTCAGCTATCTGCATTCGCTCGGTCGCATCCATCGCGACATCAAGGCGGGCAACATCCTGCTCACCGACAACGGCGTCGTCAAGCTGGCCGACTTCGGTAGCGCTGCCATCAAGTGTCCGGCCAACAGCTTCGTCGGCACGCCCTATTGGATGGCCCCCGAGGTGATCCTGGCCATGGACGAGGGCCAGTACGACGGCAAGGTGGACGTGTGGTCGCTGGGCATCACCTGCATCGAGCTGGCCGAGCGAAAGCCGCCCTACTTCAACATGAACGCCATGTCGGCGCTCTATCACATTGCGCAGAACGAGTCGCCAACCCTTCCGGTGAGTTGGGATTAGCAGAAATATAACCTAGAATATAACTAGAATTATTTATTTTAACCAGACTTGGTTAAGGAATACTTGAGTGGAAAATATTTTTTATTCATTTATTTAATGAATTTTAAACATGTAGCAGCAGTTTATAACATTCAATTACTGCCAACAATTGCTGAAGATTTATCATCAATAATTATTATTGATTAAGGAATCCAAATACATTTTTTTTTATTTCAAGTTTTATATGCGGAAATCACATGTATAAAATACTCAATTTTCTTAGACTCTCCCCATAATTTTTAGACATCTAATCATATGCAAAAACGTATTCTAAACACTCCATTTAAAATTAGATTTAAGCTTAAACAAATTCTGATTTTTAAAAAATATTTGTTCCTTAACTAAGTTTATTTAAATTTGAATTTTAAGAATACTGTGTTGCAAGTAATTCGATGTCTATATATAATAACTTGTATTGTGTTTAAAAAATCCACTTAAGTAATGAGGCTATAGGTTATAAGTTATTGAAAACTAACCCTAATATAGCTTATAGTTTTATATAAAATAAATCAAAAAAACCCTAATATTTGATCTAAAACCCTCTTGCAGAAGAACGACTGGTCGGACGCGTTCTGCAGCTTCGTCGAACTGTGCCTCAAGAAGATGCCAGCGGAGCGACCCTCGTCGGCCAAACTGCTGACCCACTCGTACGTGACCCGGCCGCGTTCCGACACAGTGCTCCTCGAACTGATTGCGCGCACCAAGTCGGCGGTGCGCGAGCTGGACAACCTCAACTACCGCAAGATGAAGAAGATACTCATGGTGGACACCTGCGAGACGGAGAGCGCGGTGGGCGATGCGGACGATCAGCAGGACGACCACGCGGGCGGCGATAGCAGCAAGAGCAATAGTATTACTTCGGAACACTCCATACACTCGGTGGGTGTATCGGCGGCCAGTAGTCAGGTGGGTTAATCACTTTTGTTTATTCTATTCCATTTCTAATCTGTTCTTGGTTCATTGCAGAGCTCCTCATCCAATTCCATACCGGCTGCGGCCCAGAATCATCACCATATCGCTGCGCACCACCACCAGCAGGCGGCTAGCGCCGCTGTGGCGGCGGCAATGCACCACCATCACCATCCGCAGCAGCAGCAGCCGCCGCCCAGTTGGCCAAGCGGCCAGGGACAGGGAGTTCCGCCCGGCGCCGTGTCCCGCAACTCGTCGCGCCACCGCAACCGGCCGCCGCTGCCCAATATAATGCACAGCATGAACAACAATGTAACGCCAACCAATTCGGCCTCGGTGGTGCCGGCGCCAGCGCCTGCTCCAGTGGTTCCACCGCCACCGCTCTCCGTTCTGCCGCATCTGAGTGGAATGGGCCATGGCACAGGTACCGGCGGCAGCGGAGGGGGTTCTCCGGCATCTGGTGGCCCACTGGCAGATCGAATGCAGCCCATCCAGCCGCGATATCTGACGACGCCCGCCGCCCAAGCGGCCGTTTATGCGGCCAGCTCAGCGTCCTCGCAACAGGCCATCTCCAATGCGGTCAACGATCATGGGCCCAACAACTTTGCCACCATACGCACCACCAGTATCGTGACGAAGCAGCAAAAGGAGCACATGCAGGTGCGTTGTTTATACTCCTCTGCCTTGGCCGTAGATCTCTCTGTGTGTGTGGGGTGATAGCATAGATAGTCCGCCGCCTCCAAGCACCGACTGCATTACATTCGCTGTCCTATTTTCTGTGAGCCACCATATTCGTTCTCGTGTGTCATCCATTTACCCCAACCAACTACCAACTCCCAGCTTCTGCTACCTTCTAACTTTACGCCCTCTACTACAAGCTCTCTTTGTTGTGTTTATTGTTCTCCTCCCGCATCCTCGAAACAGGCGCGCTATAACTTCTGTTCGCAGCTGTGTGGTGGCGACCACATCAATGGCAACGACAGCCGGCGGAGCGAGATCAATATCAAGCCAAAGATCAACAAAGACAAAGACCTGAAAGAACGCCACTACTGTCCTTGTGCCTGTGTAATTTCCTAGCCAGGCGGAGGCTACCAATCCAAAAACAAATCAATTGACAAATAAAATTGAGTTTTAAAAGCAATCGCTGCCCGGGTACCACTGTACTTACTGTAGTTAGCCGTTGCTGCTCTTGCAGTTGCATCCGTTGCATCCATCTAAAGCACATCTCAATCGTACTCGTACTCGTACTCGTTCCCCACAGTCCCTGCTCCTGCTCATGGCTTCAAACGCATCCGTTTTCCGTGCTCCAAATCAAGTTTAAAGTGTAAGCATTTTCTATTTGTTGTCAATTGGTTCACTCGAAGCTTGGTAGCTTGGTCCATTAAACACACTACATTTGTCCTCAGAACTAAAGCATTTCGAGTATTAAAAACTCGATGCAAATCATTCATTTTAAAATTTTAATTCAATCCCAATTTATTTAGTTTGTGTCGCTCATCTTTCTGTTGGTCCCTCTGTCCCTGCTCATCGATATTTGTCCTTTCACCTATGCAGTCGAACTTTCATTACTCGTATTTATCTTAGATTAAATCCATAACTATTCTAAGAATGCCGTTTTTTTTTAAATAGTAATTATAATTAGGTTTACAAGCGAAACAAAAAGTTTATTACAAAGTTAACTAGGGGTTTTCGCTTAAACTTTAATGGTTTTATCGTTTAATCAATAATAATGCATAGTAAACAAACCAATTGAAACAATATTATTATATGAGAGAGTATAGAAAAAAAACCCAAGATATTTAAAATATTTTTAAATGGCGCTTTAGGAGAAAATTAGTTAAAATAAGGTGAAGCCGCATTTTTATAATTATCTCGGGCACTTTATTTGTAGAAAGAAGAATCTAGGGCATTTTAACTATTCCTAAAAGTTATTTATCTGAATTTGGAACCCTTCTTAAAGTTACAAGTATAATTGGAGATTTATAAACTATAAAAACAATTCTAAATTTTCGGAACTAAAATGAAGAATGGAGTACATGGAATTTCGACTGTATTGTAATACCAGGCCTCCATTTCAGTTTGAAAAAGTCTTTTGTTATGGAAGGTCACCCTGTTTCGATCCCCCCTTCGAAATCCCCTCGATAAGGTCACACTTGACGAACCCGAGCTTTAAACCTCATGCAGTTTGACATTGCAATTGCAAGCGGGAATTGCTTAAGCTTAAGTTGCCTGTTGGATAGCTAGTAGAATTAATCTTTTCGCGCTAGAACTTAGTAATACGTAGCCTAGTACTTAGTGTTTAGAATCCGTAGACGGAAGGAAGCCTAAGGGCCAAGAAGCGAAGCCATTCCGAAATGATTTGGCCGAGATTTTCGCGCGTTGAGGTTATGGTTGAACTGGAGTATCGCAGCGGTTTTGTAAGTTACAGTTACAGTTGCTGTCTAGTTAGTCCAGTTGCTGCCGCTATTTGCTGCTCGTTTCTCGCATTTCGCACGCCTCTAACCACGTATGCATATTCTCTGCCCCATTAAATCACACCTGCGATCCGAAAACGACAGGAGGAGATGCACGAGCAGATGTCCGGCTACAAGCGGATGCGGCGCGAGCACCAGGCGCACCTGGTCAAGCTGGAGGAGAAGTGCAAGCAGGACATGGAGACGCACAAGTCGGCGTTGGACAAGGAGTACGACACGCTGCTCCACAACTTTACCAGGGACCTCGAGCGGTTGGAGGTGAGTGATGGATGGGAATAGGGGTTCCTCAGCAAGAAGAATTTAACTAACTAACCCACTTTTCAGACCAAACACCAGCAGGACGTGGAGAGGCGGTCCAAGCAGACGAGCGCCGCCGAGAAGAAACTACACAAAGAGATTACGCTGAAGCAGGAGGGAGACCGCAAGGTGTACGACCTCAATCGCAAGAAGGAGTACAAGGCGAACAAGGAGCGCTGGAAGCGGGAGCTCTCGATGGACGAGTCGACGCCCAAGCGGCAGCGCGATCTAACCCTGCAGTCGCAGAAGGACAACCTAAAGCAGCACGAGGCGCAGGAGGAGCAGCGCATGCTGCAGGCCCAGAAGCAGTACATCGAGCTGGAGATGCGCAAGTTCAAGCGCAAGCGGATGATCATGCAGCACGAGCACGAGGATCAGCAGCTGCGCGATGTACGTTTAGGCTTTAAAAAGTATTAAAATCCTAACTAAACCCCTTTGTATTTCCCAGGAGCTGGGAAAGAAGGAGCAGCAGCTGCAGCAGGCGCACGCCATGCTCCTCAAGCACCACGAAAAGACACAGGAGCTGGAGTACCGCCAGCAGAAGAGCGTGCATCAGTTGCGCGAAGAGCAGGTGGGTCGAGTCTCTCGATTAAAAGCCACACAGTTAACCTCTAATCAACAACTCAAATCCCCCCCAGATAAACAAGCAACACGACACCGAGTTGCACAATCAAAAAGACTACATGGACCGCATCAAGAAGGAGCTGGTGCGCAAGCATGCGGTCGAGCTGAGGCAACAGCCCAAGAGCTTAAAGGTGAGTACTTTGTGGAGTGAGTGGTGAACACCAAATTCAAATCCTAATCACATCTAATCTCACACAGCAAAAGGAGCTCCAGATACGCAAGCAGTTCCGGGAAACATGCAAGACGCAGACGAAGCAATACAAACGCTACAAGGCGCAAGTGCTGCAGACGACGCCAAAGGAGCAGCAGAAGGAGGTCATCAAGCAGCTGAAGGAGGAGAAGCATCGCAAGCTGACGCTCCTGGGCGAGCAGGTGCGCAGCCTCATCTTATATACATATATATATTTTTATATCAATTACCATGTATCAACAGTATGAGCAAAGTATTGCGGACATGTTCCAAAGTCAGAGCTACAAACTAGACGAAAGCCAAGTGATCGAGTGCCAACGTACCCACGAGCAGCTGGAGTACGAGCTGGAGATGCTCACTGCCTACCAGAACAAGAACAAGAAGCAGGCGCAGGAGCAGCGCGATCGGGAGCGTCGGGAGCTCGAGAACCGCGTCAGCGTGCGGCGAGGTCTGCTCGAGAACAAGGTGAGTGTTTTGTAAACTTCAATAGCATCTCACAAATAAATAAATAAATTAAATAATCATTTCTATCCTCTCCCCACAGATGGACGCCGAGTTGCAGCAATTCAACCAGGAACGCGCCGAGCGCTTGCGCATGAAACACGAGAAGCATACTAAAGAATTGGAAGCATTTGATAACGAATCAATTGCCCTAGGTTTCAGGTAATTTTTAAATAATTTAATCATTAAAATCTATAAGCAAATTAATGCTTTGAGATATATGTAAAACAGTATTCTTAACATTCGCATTGAAGAAAACTTAGTGACGATAAATTTATTTCTTAAAAAATCAAAATTTGTTCAAGCTTTAATCTAATTTTGAATTTTGAAGAACACCGCTATGAATCGAAAGTTTAAAATACGTTTTTAGATATAATCGGTTTTCTAATAGTTACTTAGTTTTTTTATTTATTTACATTTATTTTTATATTTTGTGAAAAGTTTTGGGTTTCTCAAGAAACACAATTATCTGTAAAGTTATGGTGGGTGGGGTTGATAAGGTGTGTGGGGTTAGTTCTTAATATCTCGATGTGGGGCGAGGCCTCCGTCGTTTGTACCATTTTGATGGCTTTTCTTGTTTTTTTAATTAATTTTTTTTTCAAGTGGAATTTATTTATTGATTGTGTTTATTTTGGGAGATTTTATAATATTCTTTATTTCAGCGTCTGAAAATGTATTGCTTTTAATGCCTACTTACGTGGCTTGGGATCTATAACAAAAGGATTTTCGGAAAGGGTTTGAAAGTAGGTTACGGATTGAGCTGGTATATTAGGAATAGTTTTTGGGGTTGGTGAGAGATGTAAATTAGGATTGGAAGTCATAGCAGAGGGCGTGTTTCGCAGTGCTTTTGGTGGATATTTTGATTGCTTTAAGGATGACTAAGATTTCGCTGGAGATTACAGAAGAAGTTGAAGTTGGATTCATTGGAGATGCTGAAGGAAGTAAAGCCTCCAGCTTTTGAGCTTTCACTATATCATAAATAAAGTTGTGATTGGGTAAGGATGTATTTAGGCAGTGAAAGAGTTGATGGAAGTGGAATTCGGGAAGTTTCCTCATTGATTTTCTCCAACTAATTATGCTTTTCAATTACCTTGTTATATTTGCAGCACTTTATCACTAATTGAGGTATCTCGTGAAGCCTATGCAGATGAGGAGGGAAGTCTGTCTGGTTCAATGATTAGTTTAGCCCATAGCAATAGTTCAACAAGTTTTCCGGCTGGTTCGCTATAGCATAGACAACAACAACAACAGCAGGGCCAGCCACAACAACCACAGCAACAACAAGTGTTTAGTAATATGAACTACTTCAATTTTAATGGAAATTATAAAGCCAACAGTACGACGACAACAACAGCAACCACTAGAACTACCCGACAAAAGCAACAGAAACCGCAGCTGCAGCTAAAGCATCAACAATAGCATTGTTTTTGTAGGACAAGAGCAATCAATTATAAATTATTGGTCGCCTAAGGAACATGAAAACGAAGACCCAAGTATTTTCTAAAAGTTACAACAAGCAAAAGCTGCGAAAGCGAAAGCTGCAATAGTTTTGTATTAAAGGAAATTCGATTATATCGATTAATTCGATTGGAGGAGGCAACAAGATACTAACATTTGAAACCATTTAATACAAGATCAATCAAAAACAAAGAGAAAACAACAACACACATAAATAAATAATTATATATGTAAGCATAAATGTCATACACAAACAATAACACAACAAACAAACAAAAACAAAAGGAAACAAGCAAACAAAGAACAAGATCCAACTTTGATATGCAAAGTGTTTAAACTTACGTTAAATTCTAATTTGATATTATTACCGAATAACTGAATCAATCAGCATTTTCATTTTGATTTGTTAACGATTTATACATATTTGTGCTATCGCGCTGCAAAAATGTCACGAAATGAAATGAATTAGGTGTGTATTATTTGTTAAAACTCGCTGAAACGGAAGCGGAAACGGAAACTAGACCATTCGGTCTGCCTTCGCGTTCGAGAAACGAGAATTTTAAATGTTATTTTCAATTGATAGTCGATCCAGACACATATCGATTGCCATTTTTGCATGTTGTTAGGTTCAACTTTCGATTTTCGGTTTACGTTATGTTTTTCACATTTTGACTCGATTCAAATAAAAGTATTTTCTAATGGAAAAATATAAAATAAAAAAATAAAATATATAATATTACATTTATTATTTTATTTGCTGTACAATAAGTTTTATGGCCAAAATTATTATAAATCCAATCAATCCAAGCAAATATTCAAATGCAAAAAGATAAAACGATTCATTTTGTTTACAATTACAATTAATTTAGTTTTGTTTGTTATAACTTATAACAAAAAGGATATGATATATATAAAACTAAAATAAGCCTATTTTAGAGTTAATTAATGCAAATTGCAAAATGCTTAGTCAAAACAATAAAAATTGTATAGAAAATTAAAGCATATAAACGTTTAATTATTTAAAGATTTATGTTTACGTGGAAATAGATTATTTTCCTTTTCCTTCAGTCGTATTCGTACTCAAATTAACGGAAACACACCACACCTACAGACACTTAACATTTATGAAGGAAAACAAAAGAAATCCATACGAGAGTAAGATGCTCGGCAAACGCAAAAATATGTAGCGAATAATATTTTACTAAACAAATAGAGTGAAGAAGAAACAAACCAACCATATATTTCCGTTAGTCATTAATTAAATTACATTTAATGCAAATTTCTATGATTACAGTGGAGGGAAAGATTGAAAAGAAAGGGAAAGGAAAGAAAGAAGTGGAGAAAGTAATTTGGTTGATATTGCAGGGTGGTTCCAATGATGATCATTATTACTATTATGGAGGCATATTATTTTGGTATATATCAACATGAACCTACAGAAAACATGATCGAAATGAAGGTAAACACGATAACGAGAGAGATAGAGATAGCTAAAAAGAAGCACGGGGAACACAATATATGTAATATTTTTATGTTTATAAAATTGTTTTTTTTTTATTATAATTATTATAATAATTATTATACGAATATAAATTGTATTTTTGCAATTATGGTAAATGAAGAAGAAAAACGAATAACAATTAAATTGATGCACGTCAATGTCAATAAAATAAAACTTATTTAAAAATACACCATCTCTTAGTTTGTGTTCTGCTTAATGGGACATAGACTGAAGTTTTTTTTTAGATATATTTAATTCTACCTTGTGTGGCATATTTTTGCTTTTGTATAGTGGTTGATATTATATGTAGTGATGTGATTTTTTTTTTTTATTTTGCAAAGTAAGGATTATGGAAACTTCACTAAAAAGGTTGGGTAAGTGAGGGTCTTAATATCAACTGGGAAAATGTGCTGGTTTATTAGAAAGTTACTATTTTCTGCCGTGATTATAACTATTTATTTTTTAGAACTTTTTTTTTTAATTAAAAAAAAGGAGATAACATACATTAAATATATTGAAAAGACGGACAAGTTCATGCTGTAATGTTGGACATTTATTTAAAATTTGAATCAATGAATTACACTTTAGATCGAGTTGAATAACTTTTGACAAAAATATTTCCAGCATTTTTAATCTCGAACCTCAAACCCAACTACAAATGTAGTCGTCTGTACGCAGTTACCATTCCTTCTTGATTTACATACATTAGAGATGAGAATATATATTTGAGAATAATTCACACACAAATCGTTAAATTTATATACCAATTCTGGTTGACTTTGCTGTTCTGTAGAGATTTCATCTCTGATACTCGAGCTAAGTGAGCAAAAATATATTATCTTATATATCTTTGTGGCAAAAGCCCAAATACCAAAAATATGTTCGGTTTTTTGTCACTTTCCATTGCATTTGGTCAATAGCTATTTAACCATTCAATTGCAGAGGTGAGACAATGAAAAAGCTCAAAAATAATGTGGCATTTTCTGCATAGACATAGCCTGCATTAAATAATATTTAATGGTTTCGCTCTTGATTACAATTAAGTTGAGTATCAAGCTTGTGGGTTTTCCGGTTTACATATCGATTATATACTTTGTAACGTTTACAACTGGCTAGAGAATATAGCATAACATTGACTAATTACTTTATTGTGATAATATTTTCCTCGCACAAACATGAATGAATTTAATTTGGAATTATTCTGCTCATTCACTTACAACTACAATCCTTCCTTTTGGTTTTGGAATCTTTTTCACTTACGACTATAATCATAATTGTACATATTTGGGTATATATATAAATAAATATATGCTTCATCATATACGATACATAGAATACAAGAGTAAATGCCGCGATCGAAAAATATACATATATATATTATGATATTATGGTTTTTCAACGTGCCGGCGCATCCTCAACAAGGAGGCAAATCCTCAAACTGGATGCTAATCCGCAGGCCTTATCGCCGCGCTGCGCCGCTTGCCCTTTCGCTTTGGTCTCGGCTTCAGCGGTTCCGACGCGTTTCATCCACGTGCCAATCCATGGTCGTTGGACAGGCGATGGGCCTCCAATCGGCTGAGCCGCCGCCCTCACGAGCTCATCAGGCTGTCCAGGAAGGAGTGTTTGTTGACCACCTTCGTGGTGGCGATCAGGAACTCCACGTTGTTGTCCTCCTGGGCGGCCAGGAAGCGCAGTGCCGCGATCTCGGCAAAGGTGCAACCGCCCACAAAGCAGACGAGCACCACGCGCGGCACATTCAGCAGCGATCCCTCGCTGACGGTGCCCACAGTCTGCCGTCCCCCAATCCCCACCAGCTGCGCCTGAAAGTCCTCGAACGTGGGGCCCGGCAAGTTGTTGATCTGGCTCTTGAGCGACTGCCATCCCAGCGGCTTCAGCGAGTGCTCCACAATGCGAGCGGTGAGCGGGGCATAGAAGCTGTGCACGTAGCTGATATCCTTGGGCTCCACCTCCACATTGTCGTCCACGGTGAGGTGAAGTGTCTGCAGGAAGAGATGGTGTTTTATTAGTTGTTCAGAGAACTCTGCGACTCACTCACCTTTCTTAACACACTGTACGCCCGCGACTCCGTCTGCAGGTGCAGGAGGCCGGACTTCTCCAGGTTGCTGATGGTGAGCAGCACCTCCAGCCCGTAAACGTGGACCAGTTCGCGCTTGTAGTGATTGAGCAGCTTCTCCTTGAGCCCCGAGGCGGCGTTGCACTGCAGGCAGATGAGCCGCAGGACGCGACGGAGATCCGCCTTACAGGCTATCAAATCCTCGATGTAGGCGCTCGGCTTGTCGATGTCCGCGCAGACCATGAACTCCTGCTCGGCGGCCAGGTCGTCGGCAAATCGCACGGCGTTCACCTGCTCGTGCAGCAGCCCTGCGATGGCCGTGTGCTCCGAGGTGGCCTTCTTCTGGGCCATCAGCTGCGGCAGCAGGTTCTCCACAAAGCTCTTGATCTCCTGCACGCTCTTGTCCTGCGATGTGGCGTGCATCTGGACATGGATTTCGCGTGCCTTTCGCGCCAGCAGTTTGGTGACCTCGTTGAAGTGCTTGTTGCGCAGTTCGGCGTACAGCTGCTCGCCGGAATGCAGCAGGATGGTTTTCTTCTCGCTGTCGCCCAGCAGGGATTGCGATTCCTCTGCCCGGGAGACACTGCCTACGTTTCCGCCTCCTTCGGATGGGAAATTCTCGGCGGGAAGGGTTAGTTTGTTCTGCCTGATGCCGTAGAACTCATCGATAAGCCCCTCGTACGTGAGTTGCGTGGCCAGCGGACTGAGCAGATCGATGCCCCGGTCCAAGAGGATCAATTGATCGACGACGCCCTTGTCGCCATTGTACAGCGTCCTCTCATCCCTGCCCAGCTGCTTGGCGTGCTCCCAGACGCGATGGGCGAACTCGCCCTTGCCGTAGATCTTTGGTATGCGCCCGTAGAGCCGCTGCAGCTGCACCAGGCCCACGGCCGCCTGGTAGAGCGAACTAGTGTCGCCATCGACGCTCACGTCGCGAAAGGCGCTGGGCAGCTCCATCGACACGAGGTCCACGTCCAGCGGCAGATAGTTCCAGGCCAGCTCGGCGATGTGCCCGAAGCTGCCCAGCACGCCGCCGGCCTCCAGCTGGCTGATGCACAGGCACGAGCGTCGCGGGGCAAAGAGGATGTGATACTGGCGATTGGCGGCGCCTCGTCCGCCGGCCTTCACATGCCCGGCCAGCTGCTCCATGAGCGCGACGCGCGGACGCACCACGTACACCACATTGGCCACCTCGCGCGGCAGATGGAGCTCCGGCTTGAGGGCCAGCAGCCGGATGCCGCGATCGGCGAAGAGCTTCGGCCGCGTGACCAGGTCCAGTGGCCCAATCATCGCCTCGTCCAGCACGATCACCTTGCTGCCCTCGATGCGCTCCAGCTGCTGCACCAGCTCGCGGCAGGCGGCCTCCTGCAGCAGCTGCAGGTTGACCCGCTGCCCGTGACCCTTCAGGTGGGGGAACATGCTACTGGCTTGGCTCCGTGCTCCTTGACTTTGCTAGGTGGTGGTCAGTGGTCAGTTGACTTTGCTGCTCCTCCTGCGGTGTGTGTCTGTATCCTGGTATCCTAGTATCCCACAGGACTCGGCGAATGCGTTGGCGGGGCTGCTCTGCTGCAACGCCCACGGATTTCGGCTGCGGATGATTGGGGCCTGTGATTGTGATTGTACGGTGGGCACTCGGTAACAGCTGATTTGGGCCTGCGCCATAACAGCTGCCTATCGAGGGTTATCGATGGCGCAAAAAGTGATATTTGCAGTGACTGGGAACTATTACCATTGAAAACTGTGACTCTTAAATATTAAATGGAAAAGAAAAAAACTTCAACATTTAATCTTGCACTAAAGATTGTTTAAATTGTTTTAATGCATATTTAAGTACACATTTTTAATAATAGTGACATCATTTTATAAGTTCAATAATTAATAAAACAAATAATACTGTAAATAAATTATTTTACTTACTTTCAAATTTAATCCTTTTCCATTTTAAAAATAACTGATTTTAATATATTATTCCCATTGAAAACTGTGAATTATTTATTTAATCATATCTTTTACTAAAGATTGTTTAAATTGTTTAATTTGATTTATTTAAATACATAAAGTAATTTATTTAAATACATAAGTTAATAATATTGTGTGCCCTTAATAAATTTAGTCCCCCAATCATCCAGTGACTTTTAGCATCCAAATGAACGCGCCCAGTTTTATACCGCGACCAGTGTCACCACACCACAAAAACCGGACCACCAACAGATGCCAATTTGCATCAAGTTGTTGATGCCGCTCCAGTCAGTTTCAGTTTCAGTGTTTGGTGCTCATTTTAATTTAATCTGTTAATCTGCCAGTTGCGACGACAAACGACATGTCGTCCTACTAAAATGAGCAACTGCAAGGGCAGCAAACCAGAGAATAACCGCATCAGTTCCAGTTGCAGATGCAGTTGACAACCCTGCTCGCCTCCTCCTTTCAAACGAAACAACAAAAATTGCACTCAAAATTCGGCTCAATTCCGGCGGCTGTGAATTGCAACTGTAAACCACGAAATCGAAGGCGCCGCAATGAGCAGAGTGGATCCGGTGCGCCAAGTGCTCGCCGATCTGATTAGCGAGTCTCAGTGAGTGGATCGAGTGCATCGAGTGCACAGGTGGTCAGTCGTAGTCGCTCCTAACTCTTCTCTTCCTCTTCTTCCTGGCCACACAGAGCACCCTTCGACGTGGAGACGATCGTCTCGGAGTTCCGGGCCACCAACGAGAAGCGCCTGCCCCTCAAGGATCTGCACCGCATGCTGGTGACCATCAGCCTGCAGCGTCCCAACTTCGCCCAGGTGAACGCCGAGATCCAGGACACCCTACGCACCAAGGATCCCATGTACGCACTGCTCGTCTTCGCCGATCGTTACAGTGAAGGTGGCCTGCCCAGCTCTAGATCTTTGCGTTCCGAGAACAGCAGCAGCAGCATCAACACCGATATTATGTCCTCAGTTGGTTCGGCAACGGCCCGTTCGGGCAACTCCACCTCGTCCATCTCCACCCAGTTCACCTCGTCGGATAACTACACTACATCCGCCGCCACTTCGGCCCGCTCCTCGGCCCGTTCCATCGCCCCCAGTTCGGCCTCCTCGAGGATCAGCCTGCCGCAGCACCAGGACATTCCCACCTCCACGCCGGTGAACAGCAGGAGGAGCGGTGACTTTGAGACCTCGAGCTCCGCAGGTGGCGGTAATGGTGGTGGTGGTGAAGCCTTCGCCAGACGCCGCACGCAGCGTAATCTCAAGGAGGAGCGAGGAGATTTGAGTGTGGTAAGGAAAGAACTTAACTAACTTAACATTTCCTGTATTAAAACCAATCCCAATCTCCCCACAGATCAAGGAGCGCGTGCTGAGCGCCGTGTCCAATCAATCCCTGAGCAGCTACCGCTCGCTGGCCAGCGAGGCACCCAGCTGCAAGTCGAGCGCCACTAGCATGGCTAAAACGGTGGCCTCAACGGGCCTGCCCGATGAGTACCGCACCAATTTGCTGTGGGACTTTTACCGCGTGGATGGCAACAAGCTGGCCAAAGCGGAGATTGGCGCCTTGCCGGTGGAGAGCCAGGAGAATGTAGTGCTACGCGAGCTGCTCCACTGCCTGACGGGCGTGCGCGAGAACTTTGTGGTGGCGGTGCCGGCGGATCCGAGTAGCCTAGGCCTGGCTAGGTTCGAAACGAGCTTCAGCCTGCACAAGGATATCGATCGCTCGCTGGCGGAGCTGGTGCAGGGCGTCCTGCCGCTGGCCTCCTACTTTATGGGCATACAGAAGATTGTCACGGTCACCGATGGCCAGGGCCAGGTGATCAATTCGCTGAACGAGGCGCTGCAGGAGCTCAGCCACGATTTCTACGTAAGCGTAATATGTTATCCTTCTAACTTCTTACTTAAACTTCCAACCCCTGAAATCTAGCTCTTGATTGCCCAGGCCGAACAGGAGCTGCATCACAATCGATTGACTCTGCAGAAGCTGCGCTACTACCTTCATCCGACCATCTGGGTGATGGAGGAGATATTCACATCGCTGGCGGACATTCAGCTGAACGATCACCGCGATGCCGCCGTGCTGACCTACCTGCACGAGCGGATCAAGCGGCTGGAGGGCGATCGGGCGGCCCAGCAGCTGATCATCCAGCTGGCGCGCAAGGCGGCCGAGCCGTACATGCGAATGCTGAAGCTGTGGATCCAGAAGGGCGTGATTGTCGATCGCCATCAGGAGTTCCTTGTCGAGGACAACGAGGTCATTCATCGCGACGAGCTGCCCGAGCATTATTCCGATGACTACTGGGAGAAGCGCTACACCGTGCGGCGCGATCACATACCATCGTTTTTGGACAAATACTCGGACAAGATACTGCGCACAGGGAAGTATCTGAATGTCATTAGGCAGTGCGGCAAGCGGGTGATGCCCACGCAGGAGATGCGGCTGGAATTCGATCCAACTAGCGAGCGGCACGTGTCGGTGATCAATGATGCCTACTACTTTGCCGCTCGCATGCTGCTCGATGTGCTGCTGACGGAGAACGATTTGATGGGCCACCTGCAGTCGGTGAAGCGCTATTTGCTGCTCAACCAGGGCGACTTCACCATGCAGTTCATGGACGCCTGCGAGGACGAGCTGTCCAAGAATGTCGACCAGGTGCTGCCCATGACGCTGGAGAACCTGCTCGGCCTGACGCTGCGCCTCTCGTCGGCCCGCAACGATCCGTACAAGGACGACCTGCACTGCGAGCTGCTGCCCTACGATCTGGTCACGCAAATGTCCAAGATCATGAACCAGAAGGAGGAGTACTGGCAGTCGCAGCACCGCCTCGACCTCAGCGGCCTCGAGTGCTTCGCCTTCACCTACGAGGTCAAGTGGCCCGTTTCGCTGGTGCTCAACCACATCGCCATCTCCAAGTACCAGATGCTCTTCCGCCAGCTCTTCTACTGCAAGCACGTGGAGCGTCAGCTTTGCAAGTATGTTTTCTGCACTGTTTTGCCCTTAAGATCATTCATTAAGCTCTTTTTTTATTGCCTACAGAATTTGGAAGGAGAACGCCATTGCCAAGAAGTTCTCGCCCCAGGCGGCCGAGCTCTACCGTTCGGCGTTCACGCTGCGCCAGCGCATGATGAACGCCATCCAGAATCTGGAGTACTACATGATGATCGAGATCATCGAGCCCAACTGGCACATTTTCATCGAGAAGATGAAGAGCGTGGAGAATGTGGACAATGTGCTGCGGCTGCATCAGGACTTCCTCGACTCGTGCCTCAAGAACTGCATGCTGACCGAGTCCTCGCACCTCAACCGCTCCATTTTCAAGCTGTGCAAGATCTGCCTTCAGTTCTGCGACTTTATCCAGGTGAGTTGAGTCCTCCTTATCATCGTGTGTGCTTATTATCATATTGCTATTGCCAACCAACGGCGTGTGCTTCTCTTGTACAAACTCTCTTGTCTTGTTCCTTGCGCTGCTTTCACACTCTCTGTATCTCTCCCGCCTGTCCAAAACCCAATCGTACGTTTCGAACCCCTGTGAACCCATCAGCGCTCGCAGCGTTTCTTTCTGGACGCCGAGCTCAAGTCGATGGTATGCGACACCCACGACAGCGCGGACAGCTCCGAGTCCGAGCCGGAGAGCTCGCACCGGCCACAGGTATTGTGCGTGGGCTCGATAACGGCCTGCCTACTTATTCGTTTTGAGTTCCTGCCTCCAGTTCTTTGTACTTCTGTACTCCGTTCCTTTGTTCCCAGGGGATCCCAGCTGGATTGCATGACCCCGATTCTTAATAGTTAATTTTTATCTACTTTCCACCTTTTAGTTGTATTTGATTTGTTTACCTAGACATTTAAATTACATTTTATTTTTAAATTATTTCTTTCTTATTTGGCAAATAATACTAACAAAACTCTCGGTTTTGAAATCACTCTTAAATGTTAATACATATATGTCTAAAAGTATGCAACAATATATTTTTAAACCAAAAGTGATATGAATTCATACAGGACGACGACTATCTTTTATTCACTGCATACTTTTAGGCACATATTTTTACATTTAAAAGAGATTTCAAAAACCTTAAAAATTTGATCTGTGCAATTGTAACAAAATGTGATGAGTTATTAGTTGATCGGTTTTTAAAGTCTTACCAAAGATAAATCGATTTATTTCTTATTTACAATTACTTTATTACATAGTATATACCTACATTGCTTAGCTTAAATGGTTTTTAGTCAAAGTTTTTTGAAATTTGGTTCTTATTTTTTCTGTATTGGCTACTTTAAGACCGCTTCTTATTATTACTCGTAGCAAATTGAAACTATTCCACTGATTAGCCTGTGATTTTTGTGTCCTCTGTTAGTTGGAGACCTCGTTGGATCCCGCGGATACGTTTTCGGAGCGCGTCAAGCGCTTCGATCTAGAGTTCACCGGACTGCTTATATCCTTCCTTAAGCAAATCAATAATATGGCCAAGAAGAACACCGCCGATCGCTTCATGAATCTCGTGCACCGCATCAACTTCAATGCATTCTACTCCGATCAGATGGACAAGCTGTGCGTAAAAGATGCCATGGGCTAAGCCTATATGGAATATGGATACGGGAAGCACAAAAGACAGGAAAAAAGTATTAGATAAATGAATTTAACAATCACAAACGTTCACACATCGCACATTTAATTCGAATGTTGTTTTCCCATCATTCCCGCATGTCTTCTAGTTTGCCATCCAACTAAGCACACAAATTGTTTTTCGTTTAGTTGTAAAGACTCGAATATTTATAAACTAATAATAAACCTAATGAAATGTAAGTGGAAGATGAAGATCTATCGCTGCCGTTTGCGTCTACACAATTGCAATCAACGTCACTGGACACGGTTTTTGGGAACAACGTAAGCCAGCGGCGTCGAATGCTGGCTGTGCCGCCGACCAGGATCCTTCGTCACTTCGTCCTTTCTTAGCCTGCTAGGATCGATTGCTCTGCACTCACTATTGCACCTATTCCGGAAACCCTATCCCCGCTGTTATACCTATCAAATGAACATCACAGCGCAAGTTGGGTTCCAGTTTAGCTGCAACAATCGTTTGTCCTGCTTCTCCAGGTGTCCCTTTGGGTGGTCTGGTTGATCCTGCTCCTGTCGTCGCATCTCTTTCCGAAAAAAATATAATAAAATAGGATTAGGAATGCTCAACGCTGGGTAGGAAATTTTTAAAATAAACATTATGTTACATTGCATTCGATATCTAAAATTTTACCCATATATTTGTGTTTTTTTATTTTGAGATTTTTATATACCTTTTATATACTTTTATAACGCAGTTATTTACCATTACTTCCTTGCAGTCAGACATATTTTTTAATGCCTACAATTTGGGTGGTTTTAAACGTCTATTAGATCGTGGAATGGTTTCCCTGACACCGAGATTTTCTTATAGGGAAAAATTCGGATGGAAGATACTTTTTTTTAAGGGTGAAAGATTCTAATTGTAGACAAAAATAATCGGATTTTTTCTGGTTTTTCAGTCGTAATTTGGTCAAATCAAAGCCCACAACTAAAAGAATGACTGTTTTGAGCAGCTAACAACATAAACTAACGATCCCCATCACTTTCTGGAAAATTTATTTTTTGACCGATTTTCACATTTTTGATAAGGGGTTACATCACAATTTTTTGCGAAAAATCGCAAAAATTTAACATTTCTAGATTTCAATGCCAATCGTTAGGGAATTAAATCACGAGTTCAACAAGGTATGACATTCTATATTTGGACCATTATTTTCATTGTTACGGCTAAAAAACTGTTTAGAAAATCAGTTTCTGAGTTTTTCAAGTGGTTCTTTGTAAATGTACCAAATTGAGCTATAATAAAAGTCTTATCTTTCAGCTTTAAAGTATTTACTTTTAATTATGCAGGATCTTAAATGCTTTGATCGCAATTTCTACCATTTTCTATTCTCTTTGATTTCAACATGGCAACGATATCTTTCATGGACCTTTATAGGTACTCGGTTCTCAATGTTTTCTCCGCCTTTGAGATGTCCCTCAAAATGTGTTTGAAAACACAACACATTGCATATACGGGCCGATACACACCCACAAAAGCCAATTTTCAGGCAAAGTCTGGTGCAAATTGCACACACATATATATATATATACATATATTCTATATACGTAGGTATGTACACATATGTGATGAAAATATTGGAGTATATAAATGTGCATCAGTTGCCAGTTGTTCACATGGGTATGTCTGTATGTATCGTCTGTATATTTGCCATTAGCCGTCATCAATGTCCAACCGTCATCTCTATAACATCTCCATCTCTATAAGCCCCCCCTCCTGTCCATACAAACCATACAAACCATGCACACCAGCCAGGCAGCACCCACCACCCTCTGAATTCCACCCTCTGCTCCACAACTCCACAAGCAATTGGCAATTTAAGCTCGCATGAATTATCGACAATCAATTATGGTTTTTGGCCATGTCGCTCTCCAGGCTCCATCCACCATGCTCGTCCTCGTCCATCCTTTTCCTGCGAATGGTCTCGGACAGCTGAACAGTTGGACAGCTGGACATCTGGACACCCGGATAGTCGGATGGCCGTATAGTATAGCCATATAGCCATATAGCCGTATTGCGATTGTGCGCGCCTATATATGTTAATTAATCAAAAGCCCATCTATCCATCGATTCGGCATTTACAGACATATGCAAATTAAAAGCGTACAAGCAGCTCATTAATGTTCGCAGAAAAGCAGAAAAGCCATAACAACTACATACACATAACAACATCAATATCTCGAAAACGAAAAATGAAAAACAAACATGAATATCGAATATGGCTTTAAACAAAGTAGAGATTCCATTGCGATTACAAATTCCTATTAGTTTCCATTTTTGTTACTTAGACATCGTAAAGCCATTTGCTAAATTTATAATAGATTTAGGAAAGAATACCTACTTTTGCTGATGATTGTGTTTTATGTGGATCTTCAATGCGAGAATTATAACATTTAAATCAGAATAAATAATAAATTATAACATTTTAAAAATCTATTGATAGGCATTTCCCGTTTAAGTCGAAATTCGAGGCCAAGGCATGGTTTCGACGACGTGAATATCTCACCAGATATCAATTGCAGATGCGATATCCGCGTGATCGAGGCCAGACCTTGGGTTTAACTAGCAAGATACGATAATTAGACAATACGATACCCATTAGATCTCACCTTATGGACGAACAGTTGGTCAGTGCAGCGCTCCGCCATTAATGAGAACTAATCCAATGATGTCGGCTCGCCATTGGAGGTGCCCTCAATAATGTCGAGGCGATGCTTCCTCTTTCTCCTCCTCTCCAGCTGAAGCTTTAGAATAGATTCTTTGAAGTCTCCGGAATCTCTGAGTGCAAACGACCCCCACATCCGTATCGGGATGAAATCACATACTGGATGTAGGCAGTGTTTAAATTCAAGAATTCAATGTCGATTCACTTAGGAAGCTCTCTGTGATTCGCTGTAATCCCAAGTTCCGTAGTTCCATAATCCATCCATCGTAGTAAGTAGTTAATGGTAGTTAACTGCAGAAAATTTCTGAGCTTTCGTATTGTATATAGAATTCAGCATACAGTACGAAATCCCGGAAACTTGTTGCGATAATACCAAGGTGTCGTCCTCTCATATGTGTGCTATGCATACGCATACGCATTCGGAAATAATATTTGTTTAGTCAAGCCAACAATGGGCCAAAGTAGTATATGGTATGGTATATAGAAAAAGTGAGGGAAGCCGGCAGCTCGAATTTATTCAATTAGAAGGCCATACAACACGACGGATGCTGTTGGGTCGACACTCGCACATTGGCTTCCCATCCGCTTCCACACTTCATCAGCTTCCTTCCATACGACACGTGTCCTTGGACAATGGATGGGACTATGGGACTACAAGCGACCCACTTAGAAGGAGCCACGCCCCCCGCCCCTCCCGAAGTAACGCCAGGTAGCACTTAATTAGGCAATACAATATATATTGTGAATGGGCATAGAAAGGGTCCCTGATTTAAGTCTTCAAAATGTGATAGTCTAGTCGAAGGGAAAAGCCTTGTAAAGAATTTGTTGCATACTTTTAGACAGCTTTTTAAGCGGTTTAAATTCGCTAGGGGATCTTTAGGTTTTCTTTTCGACTGCAGTTTCTCCAAGTGCAATCTTAATTTAAACAAATAGAAATATTTTTATTATTTCAATTCTAATCTTTAAAATTACAATGATTTCCCAAAATCGTTTAATATATGTGTAGATAAAGTATCGAAATAATATTCATTTAGAGTTCTTCCTCATATAATAGTTATTTTGGATTACAAAAGTAGCTGATAAACGCCTTGGCTCTCACGTTTTTTAAAATGGGATTCGGAAACAAATGAAATGATTGCATTCAATAAGTTTAATAGATTTTCCCACTCAAAGCGTGACCCATATACATATAGAGACCCAGAAAATCAGGCAGCCACACGGAGTAGTACTGAGAGCAATCACAATGAGAATTGGCGAACTTTATTCGCATGTTGTGGGTGGGGGATTTTCTTTTATTTTTTTGTGGAAGGGCTTGCTGGGGGGTGTCATTGTCATTCTGTGCGAAAATTAGGAAGCTCCTGGAAAAGAGGAGGTGACAAAATTAGCGAACACAGCCGCACACGTGACACGGTTTTTGACTTCTTTTGACTCCTTGACTGCTCCTGTTGCTGTTTTGCTTTGGTGTTGGTGGAAGTTTTCGTTGTTTTGTATTGCCAAGTGGAGGCACGTGTCTCACCAAATTGGGTGATGCGATGTCCTGGATGTCCTGGAGGGCCAATAGCCGTGGGCAAGGCCAGCAGGCGGTGGTCAGGTCGCGCGGATGTGTGCGCGGATATGGCTGCAGTTGCCAATGCGGATGCCGATGCGAATGTGTGTGCGGATGAGGACGTATACGCCATCCGCATGCCGGCAAACAAAGGCATTGCGCTGACGTCAACGCACGCACCCACTCACAGAATCATAAACACGGTAACAGAAACGGAAACGGAAACAGGAGCAGCTCCTCACCTCGTTTTAGTTCTCCTCCTCCTTCGACTTGCAAGGACCCCATCCCGGTGGGACCGGAACCTCTCGTTCAACCATAGCCAACCGCCAAACAATGGCTCCTCAACAATGAATGCTGAGTTCACTGCGCCTAAATTCCTTCCAGGTGATAATAACTGACACAGTATTGCTGTTAAAAGAAAAGAACAAAAAACAGATCTTTAAAGTTTATTTCTATATTATTTTGGAATTAAAATATGATATATTTAATAATTTTTTTCGAGAAAAACCTTTTGAAGGCGTAAATTCCAAATTTGTTGCATACTTTTAAACACCTTTTTATACTTTAATCCGTATAATTGGGGTTTTGGGTTTTCTCAAGGATTTTCTCCAAGTGCATAGTATTCAAATAACCCAACCAAACTGACTTAATTCGCCAGTTGCAAGAGTTCCGCTGACAAAAATGTGACAAAAGTGTGTTATCAAAAGGGGAAGAGGAACAGGAACACATGTGCAAATTGATTTCGAATTTTTGTGGCATAATTCCACAATTCATTTGATCTTCATTTGGCTGTTATCGCTGTGACTCTTTGTTGTTCTGCTCTGCTCTTCCTCTGTTGTTACAATTTCACATTCATTTCAATTGTTTGCCATCCGACGCTAAAGAGGCACATCCGCATCCACATCCGCATCCCAGGACGAGACCTTGCCTACTCGAATTACCAGCACATTGACATCGACACATTAGGGCAAGTGCAGTGCAGGAAA